AACGAGACGCCATAAATAGCTGTCACAGGCAACGAACGACCCTCGAGTGGATGGTTTCGATTTTGGACGGGGTTGATGGCCGAACAGTGACGGCGAAATGTATAGTCTTCGGGGACTTCCGGTCGTAATTAAGCGCGGATGTTGACAGAAGCGAATGCAACAGAGGATCCACGTTGCTCGAGGAGGGGTTGATCGGACGCAACGTGTACGATTATCGTCCTAGATGTCGGTCGATGTAACAAACTAACAGTTTCTGACAAAAACAGGATACAGGTTGCCGGCCATGCCGTGGAGCTGGCTGGGAGCAGCGGCGCCATCGGCAGCTGCAGCTGCAGCGGTCGCCGCAGCCACGGTGACCCCATCGCCTGCAGCTGCACCGCTCGTCCTTGCACCCAGGGCGGCGGCGAGACGAAGGTACAGAGACTTCTAAATATTCCGAATCCGGAAGTTGACGCGAGATTGAACGAATCCACCAGCACGATACCAACCCCCTTTATCCTCGTACCACTCCTTCGACACGCACAGTGTCCATTTTTGGAGAATCGATATCGAGAGAGTGCTCTATAATTGGAACTTAAATTCTTAAATTCTTTTTTTTCGGAGAAAATGAAAAATTAGCCCTGATTTATATTCTAAGCTTCTTGACAATTTCGAAACTATCGTAACTTCGAAGGCAATCAAAGTTCTCCAAACATTCGAGATCTGTGGAGCCATTTTGGGCTAAAATTGTCTTCGAATCGATCGCGAAGCGCGAGGTTTTTTAGCCGATTAATTTCGTTCCAATTGTAAAGCTTCTAAAACCAGAGTCTCCATCGAGTCTAAGAGATTGCCTAGAGGATACGGATCCCATTTTGCCTGGAAATTGTGCCAGATACGTCTCTGACGAAAGATTACCCCGAAGGGGATGTAAGTGTTCGACCACGTTAGTCAGCGTTCCCGTTGCCTGCTGACTTAATTAGCCATCATCGTCTAATGACCGCGTAATCGGTCGACCAGCCTGACGGATCACCCCCGGCGCGATTAGAACGAATTAATTAAAAGGATCTTCCATTTTAATTACGTCGTATCTGGTTATCGAAGACCTCGCTCGATTCTCGGCTAATTAAACGATCTCGCGTTCCGGACGCAACCGGCCAAGAATCTACTCGCAAAGCGACGAAAATAAAAAGTTTTAATTGCAACCGCGAGTTGGGAAATACTCGATCCTCCGTTTGGAAATTTATTTAATTTTTATAAAATCGTAGAACGAACTTTTCAAAAAGAAAATCATAAAAGGCCTCTTATTTGTTCGTATAATATTTTTCATCAAAGTTGAATATTTGTACGAGTTTACTGGCCGTGTCTGACCATTATTTATTATTTCTACTTCTCGGTTACAAATAAAAATTAAAGATATCGGGAAACGATTTGACCGTGGTCGAACCGTCAACAATTTCGAGATTTATTTCATTGGATGGCAATCTCCCAAGAACTGGATCACGATAGACCCTCCCCGCCCTTTCCCCGTTTTCTTACATTTCCGTTTTTCGTACGCTTCGCCCTTTCGATTCGTTGTTCTCGACATAATAACGTTTCGCCGATGACGTTTCCGACGTCGCGCGGCTAACGATACAGCGTCGAAGGGATCTTCGATTTCGAACGACGAAACAACGCAGATCCCACGCGCGAACCGGAAGCGAACACACCGGAAATGCCCGGGGCGGCGGTTCGTCGCATTGTCGCTGGCTCGTGCACCCGAATCTTTTCTTTTCTACTTCTTTTTTTGTTTCCTTTTTGTTTTTGGTATGTTCTCTATCCCGTTCACTGTACCCAGCCACCCACACCTTTGTCTTTGGGGCACGCATTATCGATGTTCCTCTCACGTAATTAGCGAACACCCGACACCGCCATTTAGGGCGGCGTTCGCGCGACAACTATCGATCTGTGGTCGAAAGCGAAACGGTACTTTTGCTCCAATTTTCTACTCAGAAATTTCAATCAAAAGAAAAAAAAAATTGTAAGACAAGTCAATAAAATGTCTATTAACGTTTCTGTCCTCCAGTTTGTGATTTTCAATAATTTAATCGTTGAAATATGAACTGTAATCGACAACGTAATGATTTTATACAGAATACTGTAGTGTCTATAGCAATATCTATGATTGAAGAAGTGTTTAAGAAAGGATATTAAATTCAAAAGTAAAGCTTTGGCTCACTAAAAGTGGAATGCAAACACGAGTCTTGGACCACAGATCGGAACTGTCGCGCTGGAATTTTGCTGTTTACCATTCACACGAACCCCTCGTTTTTTGGAATGCGCCTGCTGTAAATGCATCACGCTGTTAGTCTTGTTCTTCATGCACCCAACATTGACACGTAAACGTCCCCGGTGGACGTTTAACGTCCGTTCGAGTCGCGCCTAACATCACGTGCGACACTTGCACGGTAGTTTACTGTTAATACCTCCCGTTGTTGTTGTTGACTGTTGTTGTTACTGCTGCTCGTTGTACACAGTTTTGCTAGCCTAACCAGCAGCGCCAGTGTTTCACTTCGCACTAATCTATAAATTTCTCGAAGAGATCCGGAGCTGAGGAGTAGCTCCTAAAATTTTCAAACGCTTGATTATTTTTTTAATTAAAAGAAAAGAATAATTGTTACTTAACTTCTCTACTCGAAAAATTGAAATTACGAAGCAACGCTAGAGCAATGAGCTGGAAAACGAGGCTTTGGAAATGTTATTAGAGCGGATAGGTGTATTAGATAATATAAAAAATCTATTATCAAATCGGATTAAATTCACGCAATAATTAACGAAGTGATGACCCATGAGAGTGGATTTAAATTTTCATCAATTCCACCGACGATCGTATTAATCTATTCGCGTTCATAGAGTGTACAAAGAGTTCGAAGTAATATTTTCGATCACGGGAGAAATTCAAAAGCGAACTTTATTCGGTTGAACGAATCGGTAATCCTATTTACAAATCAAAAATGTCTATATGCTATTTAGAATCTATTAAAAGTAATGGATACCAAAAGCTCGATCTCTTCGAGAACGCAATGTAGAAGCGACGTTAGATCGCTGAGTCGAACGAGGTGACGGCGCAGACAAAAGGTAGGCAGAAATCAGTTTTTATTGCAACCGTGGGCGGATCGAAGGATCCATGGATCGAGACGGAACGACCCCGTTGAAGAGGCGATCTCTTCCTAATTGTCGCTTGAAACGACCAGCTTCCTCGTCAGGGTTCTCGAGCGACTAAAGCTCGTTCTTTTTACGAGCAATCGTCGATCGGAGCACCTAGGACCGTGCAACGGCGTTTTCGAGCCCGGGTGCATCTTGTCTTTCGCTTCCAGAAGCTTGTCTTCCCTCTCCGCGAGGCTGGAAGATCGTCTCGCCACGAGTTTCTCGCTCGAGTTGAACCCGAGCGACTCTGTTCGCAGCTTATGAGTCGGTGAAACGGAAGTAGCGGGTACTTTCCCGTGTTTACGGTTGCTTGAGCACTCGCCACGCGAAATGTAATGGAAAGTAGCGTCCTCAACCCGCCATTTTCACTCCAAAAATCAAACGAGAGTCTGGTCCCATCGAACATCGATATATATTCGAGAGAATTTTTATTGGAGCAATAGATAACTATCTGATGATGCACAATAGGCTCTCTCTGTTTCAGTTAGTATTATATTTGCTGTCTTATTATTTTCCATTCTTCTCTCAATTATACGTTTTATTATCAAACGTGAGTGTTGTTATTTCCATTTATTGACCCAGATGTGCAATAAACTGAGTTTGTTTCTTATGGAAATAACAACACTCACGTTTGATAATAAAACGTATAATTAAAAAAAAAAACACAGAAAATAATAATACAGCGAATATAAAGCGTACAAATCAAGACTAACCAAAACAGAGAGAGCCTGTCGTGACTGTGCACCATCACTATCAATGTATTAATCTGTGATATTTGAACGTGGATGTAAAACCCTTGTCCAAACACTATTGACGATCTTTCGAAATCTAAAATTAATATCTCTCGCGCTTCGTAGACTATTTTGTCAAAGAACGTACGAGAAGTTTGAGTAAAAAATTCTCTGCGATGGCGGGTCACGCGGACGTCAAACCGGATTTGCAATTCACCTGTGTCGTTCTCTGCGTCCACGTAGCTCGTTGACCCACATCCCTCTACTTCTATCCACTCGATTCTACGTGCACCCAAGTATGTACCCGCTACTCCCAGCGTGTCACCTGGCAGCCGGCTGTTCTTTGAACTGCGTCTTCGACCTCTGTCTGCTGTCTTGCAGACATATCAAGGCCACATAGATCAAAGAGCAAGGCAGCAGCATGCCGAACAGTATGCACAGGATCACCCTGCAAGCGAGACTGGTGCACAGTCGTCTGCAGCGATCCAGAAAGATCGCCTTCCAGCAGACTTCATCGTTTGCGCCCGGTTCCACGATCCTTTCATCGATCTGGAACCTGACCATGGAGGTTTTCGGTCTTCTCGAGGCACTGGTCCTCATGATCGATTTGGGCAACTGTGTCGCTTTGTCTGAACACCCGGGTAGTTGTTCCAACTCTTTGACGCACTCTTCGTAACAATCCGGAAGATCGACGGACGTCGAGAACACGCAGGAATCCGGATCCTCCGGTTGGGGCTCCTTCTCGCCGATTAGGAAACGCCACCACCTCCGAGCGATCTTCTCCAGTCTGTTATCGTTCGGTGTCATTATCTCCCACCAAATTCCTCGCGTCCAAACGGACGAATCGTCATCTCGTGCGTAGGATCCCTCGGAAGAACTCTTCCCCGAGGAAGGTCTTCAGAACGATCTTCTAGCGGTCTTCGTTCCCTGAAATTCGGTCTCAAGGTTTGCTAGAACCCTCGTCTCGTCGCCGTTTATTGTCTCAATGAAAAGGTAGCAAAATGGCTGCATCCCAGGACCAGCGAAACGGCACTGGCCAGACTCACCGTGTACCACGACGAAAAGGTAGGCTTGCATTGGCATGTGCGTCTGTGTGTGTTGTTGCAGCAGCGGCGCTGAGAGGTGTAGCCATCCAACGGGGAAGAGTGAGCGCTGCGAGGGCGGCTTTCCCGACAACCGCGGCCGCGTTGGCCCTCGCCAGGAACCCAGGGCCGCTCGCAGCTGCAGCCGCGGCCACGGCCCTGCATCCCTTCGCACCCGCGTAAGTAGAAGTCTTCGAGGACGCCTCGACAGACGATGATCCTCCACGAGGGTAACTCGATCGCGAATGGCTGCTAAAAATTTAACACGCGCTTCAGATTATAAAATTTTATATGCCTGATAATTGGACTATATCTATATACGAAGTGTTGAAAACGAGGAATGCAATCGCAGATCACTGGCCACACTTTATATTTGCGGTAAAATTCCATTCACTATTGTAGAAGTTATGGCCGTTTGAAAATTGGACCAGTTTTATGGGGTTTTTCTCACTTTACGGGGTCAAAGAACAACTTTTCCAATATTTTTAAAATTTCTACATATTCTTGATTAAAATACGCGTTGTTTGCTTTTTGAAAAATTAAAATTGTCCAATCCGTTCATGAGTTATGACGTTTTAAACATACGCACGAAATTTCAGGAAAACATGTCAATATATGGTCAGAGATTATATTTTCGGTAAAGAATTTTTTTCTCGAAAGTACGTAGGAATTCGAGGGTATGTCTATTCACCAAAAATAATTATAATTGACCCTCGCAGCTAAAAATATTTTTTTTAGAACGATTTAAAATTTTTTAATTTCATCCAAAAATTTCAGTACTTACTCGAATTTTTTTCTCGAAAATGGGTAGGATTTCGGAGATACGTGTATTCATAAAAAATGATTGTAATTTATCCCCGCGACGGAAAATAATTTTTTTAGAACGATTTACAATTGTTATGATGACTCTTATCTTAACTATCAAAGAACTAAACTCAATAAAAAGTAGATTAAATTGCGCGACAAATGCTAACCTCAACTGCAATGATAACGTTTGATGCGTCGAACCGGAGAGAGCAGCGATCGGGCAATAACGGGTATTTCGATCAAAAGAAATTTACACCTCGTTCTCCATACCCCGTCGACTGGTTTAATTATTAGGTTTCATAGAGTCGATCGACGCGGGGCAAAAATTCGGCCAATTTCCAGCCGTGCCCCAAGGATCATCGAGCGTCATCGAAACCCAGCCACGCGTCGAGTTACCCGCTGCGATCAGCTGCACGTGTCACGCTCGTTAGCACGCTTGTCGAAATCACCGCACCAGCATGCACCGATTTAACCTTTGCGCCACGTGAACAAGCACGCTGTTTTTTCCAGAATCCCCAATCGAACCGACGACGAACCGTGGTCCTTCTTCTCGCAAACGACTTTGATCGGTGACCCACGTGAACGCGACGAGGGAATTTGCAAAATTATTCTACGAGGTTATCGTAATCTGACACCTTCGCGACTCGCGAGAAAATCGAACGTCGCCACGATCGTTTCTCTCGCAATTATTTGAGACGACTTTAATAGTAATAGTAAATTAAATGAACGTGAACATGACTTTGAAACGATTCAAAGAAGTTTATCAGAATTTTATGCGCTCGTATAAAAATTTCAAAAGGCATTTCGCGCGTAGATAAATAACTAGTCATCGATAGAACAATTCCGTCACGGAAAGTAGAGGATAAAAGGACCGAGGAGATTTTTCACGGCGCGATCGGTCGATCAAGCTTGGAGAACTTTATTACTTAGGAATGAAAGTAACGGTCGAGACAGGTGATTCACTGGCACGGTTCAGTGACACGCGACGCGTCTGAATCGTTCGTTTCCCCATTCAGAGATCTCGTCGCGTCGTGGTTCAGGGCACCCACCAATCATCGCGTTTTCAGACGAAGGACCAGGGACGCCCCGTGATTTATGAATTACCGTTGACTTTACTGGAAACGCCAGATAACGAGCGACGAGACACAGTTAACGAGGATCAACCGGTGATGGACGAGAAAATTTAATCTAGCGTCCGTGAAACCGTTAACCGATCCCCGGTGTTCTCCCACGGAAGCAGAAAATTCGGAATTCCGTCGGAAAAAATTAATGCCGCAATGCAAATTCTGAAACTGTCGTTGTTCGAACAAGCATCGAACGATAAATCGAAATTAAATCTGTCTTGCCAAGTATTCAAAGGTAATTTAAACGATTTCAATAGTTTGATATAAAAATACTGTTCCAATTTCGTGTGATTTTTATTTTATACATCAATAAGTCTTTCATTCGACGCGAATAAAGTTTTATTTGAAATGCTTTTTGCGTTAACCTATCAGCATCGCCTCAAATATCGTGGCAATTAATTCACGACTCTGTTTATAAACGAATTCGCTGATTAATTCCACGGTTCGAAACGTCGAACGAAAAGGTTACAAAAATATTTAACCAGTTAGCCTCACCGACAAATTCTCTACGATTGTTTAAATAAAACGCGGCACATTTATTTCTGTGGCCTTTTCGTTTCGTTGGAACATTTGATTCGTGTGGAATTTTTGACATTTTCAATATCAACTCGTTTTTTACGATACCGATTGAGAATCGCTGATTTCGAGAGAGAAAATCGGGACCCCGATGGTGGACGGTAAATACGTCGACGATGAAAGACGTTATCGAGGCTCGAATCGCGTTTTCAGCCTCGTAATTTGATCGAGCACGGTTCTTTCGTTCTCGATCGAACGGACGAGAAATATTCGTCGAGTCCCGGGGAACAATGTCCCCTCGATGGAATGGTAAAGTTAAACCGGATCCTTCGATGCTGTATTGTTGGCCGTCGAACTCAAATCGAGTTTCAGGCATCGACGAATCGTCTGGAAAACAGAAGGCACCGACGACAAAGATCGAATTCCGTTTCAAATATGGCGAGTGCAGTCCTCGTTCGCTGGAATTTCGACTCCAGCTTCCGATTTTTGCCAAATGTACCGCGAAACGTCGAACGGATGGCTCGGTCGCGTCTGTGCAGGCATTCGAATCTCCAAGAAATCGTACGAATTTACGAGCATTCCATTTTACAGAAGCGTTCGCGATTGGTATTTTCTACAGGAAGCAGAATGTTGTCAATTTTGCAATTTAACAAAATTGCAACGAATGTACGGATGATTTGAATGCCCGCTCGAGAACGACGAAAATAAATTCAATTCTAGTTGCAAGGCATTCGAGTCGAATGTAGTCGATGTTATTTACGTTTGTGATTTTTATTTTTCAGTGTTTATTACGACCCGTTCCTAGCAGCGCACGCAGCGACGCAGGATCCCAACTACAGGCTGCAGGTGAGACGACGTTTCCCTGACTTTCCGTCGGAAATTGTTACCCGTGCTCTGTTTCCGGCACCGGCGCGCCCCGACGAATGAGTTTTTAATTAAATCGAGCTACGCCTCGGGCCTGATTGAAACATCAGCGCGGTTAATCGATCACCTTTCAGACGTTGCCGTTGAATTATCGGGAATTAATTGGTAAACGAACCCGCACGATCGTCGACCGTGTATCGATTTCTCTCGATATCGGCGAAACTTGACTTAGGGGGAGGAAACGGGGGGCTCGAAAAATCGAAATTAATAAGCATATCCGACTGTCAATTATGGGTCCTAATTTATTACGTCGGTGGGTTAGATCGTTATTGGAAAATCGTGAAATATTGGATTATGTTTCGTTCTTTTGTTTGATACCGACGTTACGAGGCAACGAAAAATTCTTTAACGATGTATTAAAAATTAATTAACTCGTGCCTATTGGCGTTCGCTGACTGGGTGCTGGAAAAACTCGATTAACGAGGGAATGAAAGGCCCCGTTTCCGTGCAACAATGGCAGCCCCCGGAGAAACGGTACTCGACCGAACGCGACGGGATACACTCGAGGAAAAATTTAATTGTTGCCGGACTGAAAGGCTCGAGATCGATGGACGGTTCGATCCGCGGCGCTCGAGGGCGTCGTCGATCGGGGAACAGAGCGCGCGGTATTCGCAAAAAAAAACAAAAGGAACAAAGAAATAAAAAAAAAATAATAAACAAGTGGAAAATAGAACAGAGAGAAATGAAGGCACAGAAATATATTGACTAAAGTCTGCAACTGTTCCGGACCCGTTTAGCTGGAATGGCCTCAAGCAACAGCTGACGTTAGTTGACACGTTTTGCCAGGCTTGCACACACACGCGAAACGCAGAGAAACCGATAACAATTACGCCGTTCCTATCACGTGCTCCGCGTTCTTTCATCTGTCGTACGCCTCTCTCCACCCTCGCCTGCATTGCATTTTTTTTCTCTCTCTCTCTCTCTCTTTCGACCCTTTCCGCGCGCGTTTTCCGCCCCGCGAATCTCGCCGAGACATCTGAGCAGATTAGAGAAACGCGGAAAATTCGCCGGAGGGGGAAAAAAAACGCGAACAACACGGGAGAAACGAGCAACGCTATCGTTCTCGAGCTTCCACGTATGAAAATTAATTTCGAACCGTCCATATTTGTTTCGCGAATACTCGCGTCAAAAACCGCGCGCGATGACCCCCGGAATTCATTTCGTACGCGACGAAAATTATCGGGATATTTTAGCCGGAATTACACCGTGAAATATACAATTGATCGTTTATTATTATTTGTATATTTTGCCTGTCACAATGGCGAATTAATAAATAGAAGTATTTGAGTACTGCTTTATTTTGACATGGTTGTTTTCAAATTGCTCCTGCCCAATGCATTTTGTTCAAAATTTGAAAATCAGAATTTCATTTATTTTAACAACATGAATTAAAATGGGGCTGCAGCATCGACTTTGTCAGAAAGAAATTTAATAAATATCACGATCGAACGTTTATTCTATTTTTTGATTCGCCACTGCGACTGGTTTGGTCGAAAGAGGGATCAAAACAATAACGTACCGCGCACAAATATTAACGAAACTACCGAATATTTTCCTACGCGTATGAATCAATTGTTTTTGTCGCGCGACGAATGAATTTCCACCGGGAATAAAATACGCGAAAAATTCTGATTCCTTTTTCCGTTTGCATTTTTGCGGAAAATGAGCGCCGCTCGACGCGTTCGAGCCTTCCAATACTTTTACAAAATCACGAAAGAACTATGGACGATGCAAGATCAATATGTCTAGACGTTTTCTAACCGATTTCACGGTTGTAATGAAATTTTGCAAAAATATTCCCCCGCGGAAATTCACTGAGAAGGGGATGGAAACGGTAACGGGGATCCAAGATAATTCAGTAACCCTGAAAGAATTATGTTTCCCCCCGTCAGAGTGAATTTCCAACACGAAATATAGCATTTCATGAATCAGAATTTTAGAACACGTCTCGATCCGTCCCTAACGTCGCACCCTGTCGCGTGACACGAAATCTCACAGCATGCCGTTGCATTTTGTCGCCTGATTTCTCGCGCTCCTTCATCTTTCTCCGCCTCTTTTCATACTTCTTCATCGTTTCACGTTCGAAGTCGACGCAAAACGTCGATAGCTCACGCACACGAAATCGATTTTAAGCGAAAACGCCGACGTCTCGGCCACCCGGTATGTCTGGCCGAATCTCTTTTCAGGTTTGCCGTTTGTGTTTCAGGCTAAAGCGCCCGCCCTGGAGGTAGGAATTTTAAGGGTTCGCCCCGTGAACTTTCTTCATCCGTTGTTTGTCTGTTTTTTCAAATCCTTCCCTCCGTCTTCTTTTCTTCGTACACTTCTGTCTTCGTTCTCCCTGGTTTTTTATTTTTACATTTGGACGCCGGTCAGGAGTGCTCACCGATCGTCGAGACATCGCTCGATCCGTGTTTCTCTGCTGATGTCCCGAATGTTTTTCTTTTTCTATTTTTTTTTACTTTTCACATCTATCGGTAAAGAGTTGCTGTTCCGTAAAACGTTCGATACTCGAACGATCGTGCACCGACTTCAGGCTCGTCGCAGCCCCTCCCCCACTCGCTTCTTATTTCTGTTCTGCGCTTCCCTCGAGTGTGTTTTACCCCCGTTGGAACGATGTAATGCATGCACTTTGTAGCATTTGATTTTTAGCGTTGTCGTAGAGTATATCTTCGATGTTCACGATCGGTAGATTTCACGAGACATTCATAGGAATACAGTAATTAATTATGGTTTGGCTCCCTCGAAGCGTACGCGGTGGAAGTCTTTTCAAGCATCTTTAATTTTATAAATCAAAGTTTTCTTGAATTGTAAATATCATACGTTTGTATCTGTCCCAGGTAGTTTTAATTTCTCGGGCAAAAAGATGACAAAGTTTCAAATCGACCCCTCTGCGCGCGCTTCGGCAGCAAATTTATGTTTCGCCGGAGGAATTCGAAGCGTAAAATAGTTGAAAACTTACCCGCCGCGAATAGTTTCGAAGCCGTGAATCGTTGCAATTTATTAAATGTCCCGAATAGTTCGCGTCGCGAGACATCGACGCGCGTAAAAAGGACGCGTAACCGTTCGAGAAAACATCCCCCACTCGAGAAACGTCGAGAGTTTCTTCGTGTTCCGTTTCATATTTTCCCGAGAATTGAAACTGGTGAGCACTCCGTCGATCCCGGCGAGTATTTTAGAAAGAGTTCTTTAGCTAGGTTAGAGTTTACTCCCATTTCCACGGACTCCAACACCCTTTCAGAATTAGTTCTGCCCAGCGACTCAATCGAGAATCCTGGTTCTCGCTTTCGACGAAAACGTCGACGGAATTTTACGATGACTCGAAGGTCTGATGATAAATAATAGAAAAGAATTCGAATTCTGTGTGCAAAATTTTTATCCAAATTAGCGAAGGTTTTAAGTGCTTTGACCGTCGAGTTTCGCGTGACTTTCCGCTCTTAGAAATCTTTCGCTCTAGATGGTTTCGTTGTGTACATACGTAGCTCGAACGATCGAGTTCGCAGACGATTGTTTACGACTCGGCGACAGTTTCATCCCTCCACGTAGAACCGTTTCCGCGGGAGTTGTCGCGCGTAGGAGGCATGTTTCCCTTAGGAACGCCAGAAACGGTTTACGACGCGTGTAAGTAATAAGCGACTTTAATAAAATTCGAGTTCGAGCCACGGGTACCCCGGCTGTCCTTTGACCGAGAATTTCTAATTAAATTTTTCAGATTGCAATATCGCGCCGTACAAAATATCTTCCGAGTGTACCATTCGTTTTTTATTTTTGCCAAAAGGAAGGTAACGGAATCAAACCCTGAAAACGATATTAAAATTGCTGAAATATCTTACGATGCTAGAAATCGTGAATTAGGTTCGTTTAAATTATTTTTTTACAAGTGCAATTTTTATCCCGATTCTCCGGTCTCGCGGAGCCAAAATGGTTTTTCGCGATCGTTCGCCGGGGGATGAAATTCTGAACGAAGCACGAACCCCTGAGGGGAGGGGGCCGATCTCCGACGTCGGAAATTTCGTCGTAAATTTCCTAGCGTCGCACGTGCGTCGAATCGCGGTCACGAAATTTTCGCGGCTAATTTCCGAGCGTTCGCGCGACGCTGGGCGTCGATTCCCTTCCGGTTGGGGAGGCGCGTTCCGGTCGACCACGAAACCGGACCCACCGTCGGGGATCTTCCTGCTCGTCGGAGGATTTACGAGCTTCCAGGAAGCAGTCGACCGCCTCGGACTCACCCGGAACCTTCATAAATCAACGTCGCGTCATTTCACGCGTACGACAGCTTCATTCCGACGGAGCTCGACGTCTTCGACGCTCGTAACGAGGCGTCGTTCGTATGTGGGCCACGTTTCGTTGTTCTTGGCGACCGGAAACAACCGGTTATTAGCTCGAGGGGAACGAGGGAGAAAGGGGTACGAGTTTCAATGAGTCTCTTAAAAGGGAATGAAGCTTTACTTTAGATGGAACTGTATTCGGTAATTATTTACTTCAGGAGACCTCAACTCTAATCTCAATGATTTTGAAATATGTTATTAGAAAATAAGATTCTGAACAATTCTTTCCTATACATACACGGTGTTCGGCCACCCCTGGGAAAAATTTTAATGGGAGACTCAAGAGACCAAAATAAAACGAAAATCAAGAATATCAATTTCTTGATTGAGGCTTCGTTAAAAAGTTATAAAAAATTAAATTAAAAAATTTCAAATTATTTGGAAAAAATTATGTTTGGTTGCGGGGCTCAATTACAATCATTTTTGGTGAATATACATACCCCTGAAATCCTACCCACTTTGGAGAAAAAAATTCAAGTAGGTACTGAAATTTTTAGACGAAATTAAAAAATTTCAAATCATACTAGAAAAATTATATTTAGTTACAGGGGTCAATTACAAGCATTTTTGGTAAATAGACATACCCCGAAATCCTACGCACTTTCGAGAAAAAAATTCCTAATCGAAAATATAATGTATGGCCAGAAATGTACCCGGAAATTTCATGCGAATCTTTAAAACATCATAATTTTTGAACGGATTGGACGAATTTAATGTTTCAAAAGGCAAACAACGCGTATTTTGGTATAGAATATGTAGAAATTCTAACGATGTTCGAAAAGTTGATTCTTGACCTCGCAAAATGAGAAAAACCCCCTAAAACTGGTCCAATTTTCAAACTGTCATAACTTTTGCAATAGTGAATATATTTGAATGAAACTTTTTTCTGACGTAGAGCTCATGGGTACCTACAAAAAAGTATTAAACAACTTTTCTGTGAAGCGTCAAACAAATTTATTAAAAATGAAAAACGAATTCTTAAGAAAAATCGTGCTGAAATTTTTTGGCGAAAAGAAAAAATTTCAAATCGTTCTAAAAAAATTATTTTCAGTTGTGGGGTCAATAACAATAATTTTTTGTCAATAGACATACCCCAAAAATCCTATCCACTTTCGAGAAAAAAATTCGAGAAGATGTAAAATTTTTCGACAAAATTAAAAAATTTCAAATCGGTCTGGAAAACTTATTTTTGGTTGCGAGGGTTATTTACAATCATTTTTGGTGAATAAAGCTAACCCCGAAATCCTACTCACTTTGTAGAAAAAATTCAGAACGGGTAGAACTTTAAACGTTAATAACTTTTTAACGAAGCCTCCATCAACAAATTAGTATTCTTGATTTTCGTCTTATTTTGGCCTCTAAAATCTCCCACTAAAATTTTTCCCAGGGGCCCTGGTTTCTTAGATATTCGCAAAATTCCTTGAGGCCCCTGAAGTAAATAATTAACCTGTTTTTTTTTTTTTTTTGTAATATTCTGGGTACAAAAGTGGAGGGTTACGAAGAAAGGATAATTCCCGGGTCCAGCTGTCTATCGCGGGTCCGTGAAATAAAATTTCCTCGATTTTCAATTTCCGGGGATCGGTGGAGGAGGCCTTTCTAATCGGGAGATTCATCTCACCGCGACTCGGACGTGTTCGACACAAAGGGAGGGCAATAAGTCCCGTAAAATCCCGGGTATTCGTCGGGAAAGGTTAAATAATTTCCGCGCAGAGCCAAACAGCTGAACAGGCCAGCGCGAGGGTCACTTGACCCACATACTCCCGCACGAAATATCCGGCCGAAATCGCGCGACGAGTAACGCGTCCCCGCGTTTCGGGAATCGTCAGTGTCCCAAATACCCGCGTCGATGTTTTTCTCGTTCCGCGACGCCGGATTTCCTTTCCACCCTCGTGGCTACACCCCCGTCGAACAACAACCGTCCCGGAGTCGCGGAAAACTTTCCGGCGCCGTCGAATCTCGTGTTTTCGTCGCGTGCACCCTCTCGTTACTTTCCAACCGCGTCGAGAATTGTTATTGCAAGTTTCGCGCCACCGGGATGAACGATCCGGACCGAAGTCATCCCTTGTTTCCTTCGACTATCTCGATTCGCGACTTCCGTGCAAAAAGACTCCGTATCTGTTACTGCAAAGTGGACAAAATTTTGATCCTGAAATTTCTTTGACGTTTTTACTACTCGTAAAAAAGATGGCTTTATTTAAGCTTCTGTAGCGCCTAGAGTATGGTGAATTTTAGCTTGATCTCTCAAGAATTAAATATTGAGAGCAAAAGCGGAAGTTAACGAAGAACTCGGAAGAGAGATTGAAATTGGTTTTTGGACGAGAATTTCGTACCATAATCTGTAGAGGAAGTTGTATTAATAGTGGAATCGCAGAAGCAACTGCCCTGTATAATTCAGCCACCCTTTCTTTTGAAAAAAATTTACATTTCTCAGGATTCCCCGACAATCCCCATTGTCTCGATTTCAGACACATACTAATATTTTACCCCGAGCCGTTTCGAGGAGGTCCATTATTTACGAGGAGTTCACTTAATACTTAGAAAAGAAACCGTGTCCGTCGCGGAGCAATCATTAATCACCCCTCTTTGAGAAACGCGCGCTTGTTCCGGAGAAGGGCGTTTCCACGTCGTAGAAACTGGAAATGGACCATTTTGTATTCCTCGCACTGTCGTCGGGTCGAAAAGAATCCAAAAGATTAGAATCACAAGAGTTCCATGCAACTCTAATTTAAATCAGTTATAATCACATTTTAGGTTTCTGTTGCCCTATTATTTAAATTCGCGAAATTTTAAGAAAATGGACGCACAGAAAATGGAGCGTTACGGGGAGGGAATTAATTTTAAGGGACGACGGGGATTTTCGAGAGAACCTTAAGGCAAACGAAAGTAACGACTTCGTCAATTATTCCAAGAAAATGTTCCGGGCGTAGTTTTCGCGCTGGACGGTGAGGTTTCGTTCAAGAAATATTAAAAATTCGAAGAGCTTTCTGCCGGAGGCCGAGAGTAATGTAATTTGGGGATTACCGGCGCGGGACGAGAAGTTTCATAAAACGGGACGAAAGTAAGAGCGGAATTTAATTTCGGTGTGCTTAAGTGCACTTCGCGGGGGCGGGGACAGAGAGAAGGAGAGAGAGAGAGAGAGAGAGAGAGAGAGAGAGAGTGGTGCTTCGATCGGTAGAATGGTAATGCCATGGAAATCTCGAGGCACCGAGGGGCGTCGCGACGCATCGTTATAAAAATAGAACTACAAGACCGTCCCAGAAACCGCGGCGATATTTCGAAATTTAAAATCGAAATTACCACTCGCGACCGCCGAACAAGAGACAGAATCGTCGTTGATTAATTGGCACTCGCGCGCGGATTCGAAAAGCGCGGCTCGAGTGCTTCGCAAATTTTCCGTTCGAAAATTTCATAAGTCTGGAATTTTCCGGGCCAAACGATCCCTCGAATCCAGGTTGTATCACGTTCGCGTAAAACCTACTCGCGAATTTGAATTTCATAGGCACAGGTTGAGCAACTGTGGAGTTTGTAAATAAATTGTAAATATGCTACGGAATGTATAGAACGTTAGTAGATACCGTACAAATTTATTTATGGACTTTACAATTCTTCAAATTTGATATGCAATCCAAAATCGTAGGTAGGATTAAGGTTGATCCTGCAATACTGTGAATCAACCCTATAATTACCCTAAAATTAGTTCCGTTACTAGAAAGTAAATTCTATAGCAGTTATAGTAAACCAGGCGTAGAAAAAAAATGTTCTGCGTCGCGTTAGAGAAGCTGAGCGACTCGACAGGTAAAGTTCTTCGATCGAGACATATTTCCCGAACTATGCACTTGCATTCTAGACGCATGCACCGTAGTTTCCCCTCAGCAATAGATGGTGAAATTCGCAGATGTACAAATCGTCGCTTTGAACGCGAATTTTCTCGCTATTCTTGATCCTTCGCGCAAATTATTTAAACGTACGTTTATTTCTTGTAAATCTTTACTCTGTCTCTGCTATATTTGCGCGAAACGCCATCGTTGCGTCGCGTCGCGAAAATCGATTTCGAGGAGCGAACGGTGCGATCATTCTCGCGTCATTCCCATGTACATAAGGCATTCCTGAAGCTTTGACCGACAGAAAGCAGTAGCTTCGACAAACGTACTTAGCCGAGTGCTCGAAATATTTGTCTACCCGCATCCGTGGCGCGTCGTCGAAACGGCACATTTCATTCTCGACGGGACACGGACACAAAACAAAATACAAATCACGCATGCGTGCTGCCTCGTCGATGCGCCGCGAAATTATGCTCGAAAGGGTCCTTGCAAATCTATATCGAGGTTCCAGAATGCTTCGAATATCTCATGTACAGCAAGAGAGATCTTCTCTAACTCGAACTCGTTCAATTTCGTGTACAAAACTGTCCCGATACTTGCAACAAAGTGACCCTCGGCACCTGTATGATCGAAAACCCGTTTAACTGCAAGAATCGAGGTGGTATTGTATGGTGGATGGAAAAGAGGACCTGGGATCGTCGATTGTAAAGTTTGTTGGTGGTTGCAAGGACCTTCGCGAGCCGGAAGGGAACGCGTTAGTGCCGTTTCTCCGCTAGGCCACCCTCTTCTGGTCTGTCTTGGAGCTTGCTTGAGCCTTGCATGGCGGGTCATGGTTCCTGTTTCAGGCCGCGGCAGCAGCAGCTGCAGCGACGTCACCGTTGCTGAAGACGCCCCTCTCGACGGCGCAGCAGGCCACCTTCGCAGCTGCAGCGACCTACACGGCAGTGGCTGCGCGCGCATACAACGCAGCTGCAGCTGCGGCACAACCGGTCGCAGGATATGCCGCAGTCGCGGGGTAAGCGCACCCACGTCGCTGGATCTCCTACGTTCCGAAACCCCGGGCTCCAGTATTCGCTGGTTCAAGGATTACGTTCGTCAGTTTCGACCCCTTCACGATCCCAAAACAACCCTGGACCATGGTATCTCCTTTCGAGAACGAGAGTTCTAAAACAGTAGCCCGAGTTTCCTGTTTACTTTTGGGTTAGGATTTAGAGAAGGGCGCCCAGAACAACTCCCAAACGTACCCCTTTTTATTTGGAAGAAACGAACTCTGAAAGATACGGAAGTTTTCATGTACTGGGACTTAATGGATGAATTTTGGCGGCCATTTCATCTCGGTATTTTATGTTTACAGTCTGAGGTTTTCTAGTTATTATTACTGGGAGTGTTATTTGGGAGAAACTAGAAATCGATGACTCTGGAGATAGACTTCGTTTAAATATTCAATTTTCTTAATTGGAAGGATATCCGGGGAAGAGTTAGATACGCGCAGTTTTAGATATTCCTGATACATTCCGCAAAGTGAGTTAAAGTACCGTGTATGTTACGAAACTGCTAGCGTACGGGAAAGAGTATTTTAATGGAAAAAGGATCAACGAAAAAACACATCAAAGAATAAAAAGCACAGAGTCACGGGTAGATGGGCTCCATACACGGATGAAAAATAGAAAAAACAGTTCCGCGAGCGGATAAAATACCACCCGCGCTACGCTGCCTCTGCAACAAGAGTTCGTTTTCCGTAATTGACTTTAAGTGACTGAAATTTTCGCATGTTTAAGAATTTATCTACCCTAAATGGAAGACAGACGCTGCTCGTTATTTCCTGAGCTTGTTCTGCGCACCATTCCCCCGCATCTGAAACAAAAATCATTGCAAAAACTTGAAATACGAATTCACAGCTTCTCCTTATCAAGAACATTCCAAGAACAAAGATCGACGTTACTCCAAAAATGAAAATTAGACTTAGAAACAGCACCTCGCTTCTTTGCACACATCTTCTCCCACTAACGTTAAACTTTAATTTGAGCAACGAGTACGTTGAGCAAAAATGAAATGAGCATGCCTAGGAACGCAATGAAACAAACTGGGATCGTGAAGAACGAACGACGAGCGCCTGTCTGGAGGAAATTAATAAACTAATCGTAGATGTTTGTGTATTTTGAATTGGTACTGCGATTTGCATACGAAGTACGTTCCTTGCAGACTAACGCGTCGTCGTGGTCGAGCTCTTAGGAGTCGCAGATATTTGGAGAGCCAGATCCGACCTGACAGTCCCGTCGAAAATCCCGATAGTCCTTAAACCTGCGTTTGTATCTCCTTTTGTCTCTATCCTTTACGTTTTATTCCTCAACAGCGTACCGTCACGGAAACGTACCGAAAAGTCGACGTTGAATGTTTAACGTTTTACTCGTTGTTCTAGTTACGGACGTGAATACGCAGACCCCTACATTGGACACGGCATTGGACCAGTAGCCGGCTATGGGGTAAATGGGAACTTTTATTTATTCTTAAACGATTCGTTAACTGCCACCTGAAGAGCCCTTCTGTTCGAAAATATTGTCATTTGTCTGTTCATTGAGTTGTTAAGAAAGATGGATCAAACTAATTCGGAGGGTTGAATTCTTACCTCGTCGTTCGTGGGCCAGTTTGATGGCAGTTAATTAACGAGACGAATGCACGGAGCAATCGATGGGTTAGCACAGATTACATACATTGTCTGCCCTTCCATTGGATTTTGGACAGCTTCGTGGGTTCGATGAACCCGGCCGACGCGTGCTGTAAATACCTATAGACGTTCGGTAAACACGATCCAGCGTCCATAGTGTGCTTCGCCCGCGTGTATTCAGTGTACAGGATCTCGACTCAGGGGAGAGGGTTAACGGTCGCCCTAGCCTGAATAACACTGCATCGAAATTGGCAATTGTTTGCGCAATAAATTCCATAATGGAACGTAGTTGAATCGATGAAAATGACAAGTTGCACGATCGACCAGAAAACGTACAATATTAATCTTTCGAGTACTAAATTAAATTGAAAGTTTCGACTCTGGTTCAAAATGTTAATTACGGTAGTTTACATGTTTTAGATCGTATAGAGGCGAGACAAAGTATTGATAGAATATAGTATTATCATCGTATGACGGAGGGACGAAATGTGTTCGCAGGCGACAGTATACAGGGGCGGCTACAACAGGTTCACGCCGTACTAAGGGTTGAAAGACAGCGAAGCGCGAGCCTTCCAAGTACACCGTTATACTCAGCAGAACATGACCAGCAGTCGACACAATCATCATCGTCATCCGCCATCGATCACGATCACCCCACGAAGCGATGCCTGGATCCTCCGCGCGTGCTGACGCCAGCCTCTTAGCGTCGAGTTTAGCTCTCGTCGATCGCGAGAACGCCTCGAGTTCGAGCACACGATCCGGGAACTGATCGAAATTGGACGCCAATCGACAGGATCGAGTCACCACCACGTGGCCCCGTGAATCCAGGAAGAATCAGGACGCTTCGAACTCGAATCTTCGATGCTACGAGTTCGAAGACGGTCCTCGATCGGGCATAGCAAACCGTCGACGAAGGTTTGCGATCGATGATCGTGAAAAGAGGGGGAGCACACGGGGAGAAAATTGGTAAAAATCAGCGAAGTAAGAGTCGGACCTGCTCGAGGCGCGGTAGAAACTTTTGGGTGCAATTTCGTTGGGGGGGAATAAAGCGAACAGGTCGAAAGGTCGAATCGTTAACGAGTCGCTTGTCGGTTAGGTCCGTCCGGAAGCGTGTTACGGAGATTCTCGAAATTCTTAAGGAACGTGGCATCGCTACGTCAAATCTGTCCGTTCGTCCCCGAGTTCGGACCCGGCAGCCATTCCAACTCTTCGAGAAACGACCAGGGCGGGGAAAACGATCACTTTGGTATACTTGGACACGTGTACGGTGTACTTGAACATTAGACACGAGTAAATACACAATTTATATAATACGGATGATTGATCTCTCTAGAAATCGATTGTAATTGTGCGATTCGTAGCTCGTGCGATCGGAAAATTTTAAATCGCGTCCCGGGGCTACATTTTAACGCGATTTTTCCGGGGATATATTTTAATCGCGTACCAGGCGTTGTATCATACGGCGAAGAATCGTACGAGAAATTTTGTACATAATTCATTGATTTCCAAGGCAGCGTCGCGAACGCCCAGGAAGCTAGGCGAGAAACTGGCGATCGATCGTGAAATCAGCTTTTCGCGTCTCTTCTGTTCCGGGCGTCTATATCATTGCATTTCGCGACATTTTTTTTTTTGTATTTTTTACGTTGATTAAATGAATATCGCGGAGTCTCAACGAGGCTCCCGTGAGCGCGGAATCTCTTCCTTTTCGCGTAGATCGTTCGTCGTGGGCAAAGATAGAGAGAGAGAGAGGTCTCGCAAATGGCTGCCGGAAAGGAACTCTTCCTTCGTGCCGACGAGGTAACGCGACTTCTGTGTTTAGTCGACGCACACTCGGTGATCCGAATAAGAATTATATGTGGAGATACGAGGAAAAAACGCGAGACCCTTAGGTAGAGCTAAATCTAAGAAGGAAAACGACGAGGCAGTTACGCGTGAGCGGTAGGGTTTCTATGCCAAATATGTGTGCGTGCGTGTGTGCGCGTAGATTCGTCGATCGAACCAATCAGGGATGAGAGAGGACACCTTGTTCTACTGAACGGGAGCTAGTCGAAAAAAATCTCTAAACGTTTAAAAAATTAAGACTATAGCGAAACCAATGCAGCTTTCTTTAATACTCATAATTTCGACGACGCTTCGAGGAAAGAATAATCGTTCGGGATACTGGATGACTTGTGAATCAAGAAGTTTCGGAGAACCTTGATAGCGTGGACACAAGTAGGTGTATTTCTCTGTTCTCCTGTTTTCTGTTCAGTTTCGCTGGAGGAACCGGAAACCACAGATCTTTGTATGGTTGTTCGTTTAGTTCGATAGTAGAGAATAACTAGAGGCTTGGCTAAATTTTTCTATATTTGTTCGTTATTGCAAACCTGACATAGAACCCTGATAGATATCTTTTTATCGGTAACTCCATTCTTTGTTCCTCTACGCGGACAGTGAGGGGAATCTCTGTCCAACTCTTTCATTGATACGAAATCTTGATAAAAGACGTCCTGTCACCAGCAGATAGATCTCGGAAGATTCTTTGTTCATTTGCTAAGATACTACGAAAGAATCTCTGTACAATTCCTTCGTTGATATAAGTTCACCGGCAGACCTTGCAATCTACTTTAATATAGAATCTTGAGAAAAGAAAATGAAGACGTCGTTTCAGCAGCTATATCTTGCTTTTCTGTTAATTTCCCCCAACAATAAAGAAGATTCTAATCGATCATACTTTAGATTTCACATGGTTTCGACGCATGCACGAGATCGATGGGTTCTTCGAGTCGGTAATCCGTTTATTAATATCGAAAACATAAATACTGGTGTAGATCAATCGGTACCACCTGGAGAATAAAATCTCTTGCTAATTTTACCGACTCGAGGCGCCACGAACGAACGCAATGTTAGAAAAGATCTCCTGTGTGCGGGAAATCCCCGAACACGACAGTTTTTCAAGCACGATGGAGCAACTTCCGGTTCCTCGACGATCAAAATATTGTAGAAACGATCTCCTTTGTACGGAATGAAAAATTTGGAGCGATCGAGGACGCGATCGAGACCTTTTTCCAGGAACCGATCCCTCGAAATCTGGAGCAATCTTTCGAATAGCCTCTCCAAGAATATTTTCAAGTTCCTCGATCTTTAGATCCAATCTATTAATTTACTCTGTCCACCGAGATTGCTCGTTCCTCGGATTCTTCTTTTACGTTATATGCACCTTGGAAATGAAATTTTAAAGTTCCTCGACCGTACACCGCGTTCTCGATCGCTCCGAAGCACTGATCTGTGATCGATCGCGAACGAGACACACGCACACGCACGCACGCACAGAACACTCCGTGCGGGAGTAACGCGAAAGGGAAATGGTACGCACATTGAGCCGAGTGAGTGATAATCCCTGTTAAATTCTAGTTAAGTGGAGATTTATCGTAATAAATATATACATAAATATATATATATATGTACACATACATATGTGTGTATATATATATAGATAAGCCGCGTAAATGAGAAGGAATGCGAGAGGAACGAGTGAATGAGCCTGAGAGAAAGATACAAAGATCGGCGTGAGATAGAAGCGAGATAGACGCGGCAGAAGAAGGGATATATAATACACAAAGAATCGTGTGAAATAGCCAAATATGACAAAGATGTTCTTTTCCGTTTTGTTTATTTTCTTTTCTCTCTACGATTTCTTTTCTGTTTTTTTTTCTTCTGTTTTTTTTTTTTACATAGAAAGCACGACAGGTAGCTCCGTCGAGGCTTAACGTTTTTAATCTAATCTATCGTTAGGATAGTTGAAACTAGGCTAGTTAACGAGGGGGCGAGGTCCACGCGTAGGTGGTCGACGCGGGCCCGCCAAGAGAGGAGAAAGCATATTCTCGTTTTTTGGTTTGCGTGTGCGAGCGCCAGTACATGTAAATAAAATAGAGGTCGTAAACGACGATCGATCGCATCGTCGAGCACAAAAATAATCACGGCGGAGTATGACGCGCGCGCGCGCGTACTCCCGGGCGCTGTTTAGGATCGCTGTACCAAGCGAACCTCAAAACATACTCATGATTCTTGTAAACGTTAAATTAACGAGCGTAGATTTTAAAGGTGAGAACCACGCGAGAATGGTGGAGAACGCTAGTGATACGAGAATTGTATTTCGCATCCTAAAAAAAAAGAACACCCCCGGGACGCGGACGGGGGGAAACTGGGCGAGATGATTCGACGCGATCGAGACACCCAACTCTCCGTGAAGAACGTTCTTTCCCGAACAAAAGGGTCCTGGCGCGAACGTTCCTCGCCGAACGGGACGTTTTTACTTATACGTAACCGGGGTCCTCGAGGACCCTGCATGCTCGAAAGACGATTGATATTAAAGACAAAGGCGGACACTGATATTAGAATCGTCCGGTCCGGGGGTAACGGCGCGTCAGGCTTAGGGTACCAGGCGATACATCTATCCCCTGTATATTGTACACTGTAATTACAATTTATACTTACTCGTAATCGATACCTTTATCGGTAGGCTATTACTACTAGCGGCTAGCGTAAGGTCAAGCTCAAATTCTAGGCGAGACCCGTCGTCTTCGCGTCTTATTCTTCGTCACGAGTGCACAACTCCCTCCACCGAAACAAAAAAAAAAACCTCATCTCCTCCTCATGATTCCTCTTCTTGTTCCGACTATCGTTGTTCTTTGCGCTCTTATTCGTCCCCAGATTGCGTACACAGGCCTATTCACGACCGACAACCGGGCTCCACCCAAATTCCCTTGTTTCCCGCGCCACCCCCTTCCTTCTTCTCTTTTCCGCTTGACACTTCGTTTCGTGACTCGGGGAGACGCCTCCGAGGAGCTGGCGGAACCCCCCGGACGCCCCGTCGAAACCACCGAACGCGCCGATTCTCCAAATTTGTACAATACAAAAATGCTCTGTTCGCTCGCGTTCTCCGAAAAGAACGATCAAACGATCGGTAAACGTATCTCGAATCTTGGAATTCGGCAGCTCCGGGTGCTCCGACAGCTATTCATTATTCCTAAGAAACGCTAAAAATTGTATTCAGCGAAAAGCAGAGGCGCAAGAATAATACACGATCTCCAGTTCTCAATTTATTGATCTGAACGAATGCTGAAAACGGCTTTGGTTACACTTTTTATTCCATATTCGCGCAGTAGAGATAACCAGTAACGATCAGACTAGACGTCCTAGTCCTAGTGAATTTAGTTGCTCGAACGTTTCACATAACTTTCTCGAGAATAGAATCTAAGAAGGTGTCTTGAGACAGGGAATCGGCTCGTCGGTGGCTTGGACGCCGAGGAAACGAGAAGGGGAACGTAATCCCAAGGAAAGCCCCCGGCAAAAGGCCCCGGTTTTACCGTAAACGCTCGACTCCAAAGCAGCTCTAGCGCGGGACTATTCGCAGTGTAAAATAATCGAAAAGAAAAAAAAATTAAAATACGATGATACGCACCGTAACGTTATACATATATAAATATTATTGATATAATAATATAATTAATTATTATAAAGCAGTACCGTAAAAGGGATTTTTAAATAAATAATAATTAACAAACAAAAAAAAAACAGTGGATCTAGACGACTACATTGACTAAACGTAACGACACATCTTTACGAGCAACATATCCTAGCGTACTAGGCGGGGGCGGTTTGAAGGCGGGAGCGATGGCGAACGCTCGAGATCCCCGGGGCGCGGTCTGGTCGCCTTTCCAGCGGCCCACGCACACTTCGAGATCCTCGCACACGGGCAAAATTTTCTTCGATAAGACGACGGACGAACACGAACAGTTAAACTTTTACGCGTTCGATTCCAAAGCGTGCAACGATTGTACCCCATTCAGACCGTAGCTTTAATTCGAGAGATACCTTTTTATTCGAACGGAAATTTTACCCTGACCAGCGTCGCTGGGGGAGGGTTGATCTCGTCGACGCGCGTCGGCCCCGCCCCCGTCCCCCCCCCCCTTTTTTCGAATTATCGCAAGACGAACGAACGGGAGAAATCGAGAAGAATTTAAGTAAGAGACGTAAGGGATGTTCCATGACATTAGGACGTTACGCTGAACTTAATTAAGTCTAATTATCTCTTAATGGCGGCGCGTGCGTGCGTCGGACCGGATGTTCGTCGCGTCCTCGAATCGACAGGCGCGCAGATCTCGATGTTCGTAACGTTAACGCGTTGGGGGGGCCGGCGAAACGAATCCACGAACGCGTGATTTTTTTGCGGACGAACGACGGGGGACGGGAGGGGATCGTCGCGAGAGCGAAATCCGTGAGACACGGAGAATCGCGATTCGCTGAGAGAGACGGTCGAACCGAGGGAAGGGGAAAGAGAGACGAACGACGAGATATAGTAGTAACGATTTAAAGAAAACAAAAACGTGGGGTATTCACCATGAAAAATGAAAAAAAAAAAATATGAAGTAAAGAAGTAAACATGATAAATAATAGAACGTCGTAAACGAAAGCTAAATGCCACCTGTTTTTCGCTTCTCTCGCAGTGTAAAATGGATTCGCGACGGGAGAACGCGCGCGAGCGTCAAGCTAATCCGGTTTCCGGTCGCGAATCCCCCCCCTCAGAGCAAAGCTGAGCGTATGTGACTGTTCACCAGCCCCGAGAATGCAGGGGACGTCACACGACACACGTACACACTCGATACATACTCTCACACACACACACACACACGTACACCACTCACAGATACCATGAGCGACGGGATAAAGAAAAATATTGCGTATGAAAGTCGGACGAACAAATGCTGAAAACGAGAAGAGACGAAAGGACAGGTACATAACGAGAGAACAAATGGATACGATCAACTCGAACTTTAGTTTGCAAAATACTGATAGGAGTACACGAGGTGTCGTTCAGGAACACCTTTATCATTGTCTGATTTGATGATATTTTGTAAGTCTGGACCAGTTGTTAGGTTCTTATTACTCCCATAGCGACTTCTTATGGCGTATTTTCTCTGTATATTGTCAATGTTTATTATTAAATATTTTTCAAATAAACCGACGTCGTTTCATTCTTGTTTCCAACCCCTCCCTTCCTCATCATTTTATCCTTGGGACGCTCGGTGAATGTTGGAGAATAAAATTGCAACTTGCACCTTTGAAATTTTTTATTCAAAATCTACCAAACCCTGAATTGCGAGAATATAATCTAGAGGCCACAGGGAGAAAGAAACGTTACGTAAAGTTTGTGGAGTTTAGCTAGATCTTCGGGAATCCGTAATATTACATGACACTCTTGAAAAACGACAACGAAGAAAAATTTACAAATCGTCTGAAAATTCCAAAGTTACAATTTTATTTATTTAATTGTCTTCTTTAGGTATATGGTATCGTGCTCGCGACCGAAAGATCCACGTTGATCCCATTCTTCTCTATCCTTGGACCACTCCGTCCGTTTCCTCTGGCTCGCGACGTGTCACGAGACGAGAAAAGAGTTCGAGCCAAGACCCGTTCGAAGGAATCCGCTTTTCTAGGACGGTCTTACGTTTCCGGTAAAAAGAAGAGTCCGCTGCCAGCCATGATCTTTTTTCTCGCCAGTGACTCATAGCGCACATGGGATCACCATTCGTTCTTCGGCATTCTGCTCACTGATCTGTCAGTAGTCCGCGGACCGTCAACCAGAAAGGACGCGTACTCGCCTCCTCTGGTCGAACGACGCGCACGTGCGTGACCAGGAACACTGACTCGAAACCGAACAAGTGGTTCCCGCCCTCTTGGTACTCGAGCACCCCACGAAATCTCATACAAGGTGCACCCTTAACGCGTTCGTTGCAGGAGGAGAAAATTTCTTTCCCCTCGGAAACGTTTCACATTCTTTTTTTTTTAAATAGAATTTGACACAGAAGGGTTCTGGAAAAATGGCACAACAAAAGGGTATCGATAGAGAATTAGTAGGTGATTTAAAAAAGGGGAAATTTCGAGGATCTATAGCATTCACCAAAATTGACAAATAAAGTTAGGATTTATCTACTTTGTAACGAGCGTGTTGAGGGGAACACCCACAGTGAAGAATTGTAAAAACTTTTTGTGTATATTTTTGACAAGATATTTGATTACTTAAAAGTATATTTCTAAAGTTGCATTTGGAAATCTGGGGAAAAACTTTTTTTCAATGAACGAATAAATTGCTTGGGGAGCGATTCGAATTCAGACAATAGATTGTTGGTCAATTGATAGGGGGTGTCTCAAATCTTTGTATTCCTCCCCTTGTATCTACAACTGAATAGAATATCTTTGCAATGAGTACTCTTTTTGCAACCATTAAATTGTAAACTTAAAGAGTTTCTGATAAAAGAGAACCCTTAATTTACCCCAATTGTATATAAATCCCCTAGCTTTCCATAGTCAGACTAAGACACCCCCTTAACATTAATGATTTTGACAAAGGAACCGGGTTTTGGTAAGGGCAACTCGTGGAAAAGACAGGTCGATGAATCATGGTGAACTCGTAATCGTAGAAATGTGTAAATACCACGTAACGCTGACAGTGTTCGTGCTCGCCACGAAGTAACAGAATACCGATTCGTTCATTCAGAAAAATAATTAATCGTACCCGTGATCAGCGATGTGCAAAATTCTAAATGAAAGATGAACAATAATTTCGTTACATCTCGCCTTATAACTAAATTATTGTGCCAAATCGATACGAACGAACATCGCGAATAAATTATCATAGGTATGGCTTATCGATTATCTATTATTCGAGTAAAATTCTCCCATCTCTGCTCGTGGTGACCAGTATTCGAACAATCGTGGCACGATCGTCGATCTCGTCGAATGATCGACAAAATTCGTGCTGAACGGGACTCGGGGAACGAAAAATGATATATTGAACGTCGATCGGAACCCATGCTCGAAAGTGATCGGTTTCACGAGGAAACGGAACACGTAAATCGCAGCGGGACGGTGACGTAACAGAAAAACGAAGCAACGGAGTCGTCGCATAAATTATGGTAATGAAACGCGTCAAGGAATACCGCCCGGGGACACGTAAGTCTAGTTTTACTTTGGGGTATTGCATTCGTCGTGGCGATTTTAAAAATTCAAATTAACATCAACATTATTAGGAATAAATCTCTTAGACGTATCTGCAATCTCGACAAGCTATATACAACTGATACTCCAGCCCTCTTGAGTGTATACTTATCTATAATAATGATAATAGTGCAATTATTAGTAACAACTATTATCTGTAATAATAGTGAAATACGTATTTCATTATTATTACAGGTAAGTGTACAGGATGATCGATCATGGATCGCGAATACAGCTTGAAATTAATGTACAGTACGATACAAGCAGTTTTTTTTATCGTAAAGAAAAGGAAAAGGAACAAAGTCGTTTAATATTTTCTGCAAAAAATAGGAATAATTCTAATCGAGTAATTAAAATTAGCTTATCGGATTTATTTGTAACCTATTATCGTGAAAAGTTATCTGCAGATAGCAGAATAACCATTCATCGATCCGCAAAAACATAAAACACTGTGCAGACGTCGATGAAAAGAGGTCGAAACTAAACAGATTAATCGTCCGTCGTGTTGTAATTCGCTTCGCTGCTGAAAACTTTTAATTGCCAGCAATCAATTTCTAATTAATCAGCTTTATCGTTCGCTGGAGATACAGATTTTGTTGTAGCAGAATTTTACTGGTTTCGGAGTTCAGATTTTACAACCAAATTGTTATTTCAGGATTAATGTACGACGCTATCGCCACCATTCGGTTGAAATATGGTTTTAATATGATTTCGAACGTGAACGCACTTTTTATCGAGAGCTATCCGACCGTAAGATATTTTTAGTGGGAATATAACAGCTCGTTGTCCAAAACGAAACACGCGTTTCTACGTTGATCCCATGTACCACTGATAGAAACTATCGACTGGTACCATAATTATTATTTGCTGGCCTTTTTAATCAGTAAAATAAATACAGTGTCTCGTCTATCTTGCTCGCATTAAATATCTCTGTAACAACCATTACATGAATAAATTTGTTTTCTTATGATCCACACCACCGTGTTAATGAAAATATGGCATCCCTTTAGAAAAAAAGTCGATAACCTTGAAGTTTCATAAAACATGAGTAATAAAAAAATATTTGCTTATCATAATATTTGCCCCAATCGAACAAACGATATTTTTACGGAAGCACAACCATGATTTGCATAATGTTTCCTGACAGCAGGAATAAAAATAAATTCTGCACCGTTCTGGAATAATGCATTTCGCGGAGCCCGTTCTAAACATCCTGCGCCATTAAATTATGTTTTCGCGCGTTCGTGAAATCTGTATCAGAGGCGAAAATAAATCGAAGACGTAAATCGCTGGAAACAAATCTAAATCTGGTCTATGAGAATGTACGCGATAATAAACCAGACTGTGAAAAAGAAAACAAGCAAGAGTATAAAAATCGAAAAAAACGTCTGGATCGATTCAGTTTAAAGTCAAGGTTCCTAATCTCGTAGCAAAGAGAGGCGTAAGTACGTAACGTGCACGGACACCGAACAAATAAACGATATTTTCAGGCGTTCATCAGAAGTATGCGTCGGAATCGTGTTATGGGACTCCGCTGAGAAAAACCCGCAGTTAAAATGGAGTTCTGCAAAGGATACGAGTTTCTGCGCGTGTTACCAAGGCCCGCGAGGCGAATCGTGTGGAAATGGCGAACGAAAAATGGCACGATCGCGCGGGTCGCCGAAAACGATCCCACCGACGACTGTCTGATCGAGATTATCAACATCTTCGTTCCTACGATCGCCATCCTCGTCGTCCTGATCGCCAGCCTTCGACTCAAATGCTACAAACCACGCAAGTAAGTCCGTACGATGAACCACGAAAGCATAAATTAATTTGTAGAGATGGTGTTTAAAAGCAGAAAATATTTGATTTATTTATTTATGGAAATGAAACTGATACGTCGATGGACTCTGATTGCGAGGTACATTTTGATTCGAATATTTGCTAGATGAGATCACTAGCAAATTACGATGAAACAAAAATAAAAATTCTTGACTTCGCGAACGATCCGACGTTAAGAGTTAAAGATAAATGCACGATTTTTAGTAGCAGGGAACGTATTTAGTCCGACGAACGCAAGTTCGAGCACGTGTTCAATTTATTCTGTAAGGAGAAATGCTAGTTGAAGACCTTCGGGGATTCCCCAGAGTTTCAAGTGGGACAACTTTCAATTAACGAAATGTTCCACGTTCGCTTTGGGATGCTCTATGATCCAGACTAGGACCACGTCCTATTTCGAACAATTTGCTCCAATTGACAGAGTTGGGCGTTACTTCGACGAATCCTCATCAAAGACCATTGTTCGAGTGAAATTTTATTCTATGTCTGCGTAACTTGCGGCTGATGTCATCCGTGTTTACTTATTCGGTGCGATAAGTCACTGTCCCTGGAGATTCAGTAATTAGCACGCGAGATGTTCTTGCAACGTATCTGTTTTTATTGCGTTTGCAAGATCGGGCAAATATTTTTAATCTGGTTATTTAAGAAGGAATTTTTTCACAGAAATAAAGAGTTTTTGAGATGCCATTATCTTCATAGTTACATTTTCATGTATTTATACAAAAACGAACTGGATATTTTGCCTTTGCTCGAACTACACCTCGAGCACGAGGAACTAGACGTCTCGTTGCTTCGAACGCTTAGAAATACAGTCGTCTGTCAATAATGAAAAAGTGTCACATAAATTCAGGTATGCAAATGGTTGTTTTACGAGTCACAGACATTGACATTTGCACATTAGCAAATTCCAGCAGTCTAGCAAACGTGTAAAGAATATTTGTATCGCTCGGGCGTGTCAGTAGAATGCAGACGATCATAGTCAGACATAGAATAATGAAAAGAATTCTTCAAACGCTAAACCTACAGACATCTTGGGAACACCAGTGTTTAGAGGAATTTTTTCAGCATTCCGATTCTTTGTTTTCGGCTTATCAACCACCCCTTTTGCAAACAACCGATCATCAACCAAAAGAATAATCGTTTCTCGGAAACTTGGTCGATTGTTTACTCGTGTTAAACAATGACTATGCTCTCTCCTTCCAGGAAACGGCGTAAAATATCCACGTTACATTTCTGACGAGTCTTACTTCTCCCATCATTCCACCCACGATCAAAATTTGTAGAGAAAGAATTTCTTTATTTTTATCAGATCCGTCTCTATAGGTAACGAACGTCAAAATCGAGATGAGACCGAGGTCGGAGACCCTAATGAAAACGTCATTGTTCCCGGAAACCGCGAAAGCCACAGAGAAACACCGCCCAAGTGCGTCGTCCGAGAGGCTCGAATTAATTAACCGAATAATTTACAACACGTGTACTCGCCAGCCACATGCTCTTTCCAAGTTTGCGTCACTCCGACCATTCTGGGAATTTCGATCGACTCGAATAAGATGAGCACGTGTGGTTTAATACTGTTATTAATAACCTCTACTGTTTAATTTTTAAGAATTTTGAACTCCTGAGTGAAGTACATTATGATCCACGTTTGGATCAGCGGGCAATCAACCTATCGAATATTTTGTATAGTCAAAACTATCATGGACATTTTAATATAAGTTCTTCGGAAATTAAGTTACACAAGATTCGCTGGTAGATCAATGGCCGTCGTCTCGAATTCGATCGGACGTTCCTAACGAACGCTTGATCCCGACCAGGGGATTAACTCGCGGGCAATTTCTAGGGATCAAGGAACGACTCTAGATCCGAACGAGCAGAAGTTGTCGCGCGACGAGTCCCGGGACGATAAATTATTACACGTTCGAGCGGAACGGCTAATTAATTTCTTCGAGCCGGACGACTGTACGCGCGCCTCTCCGTAAAAAAAAAAAATAAAATCGAATTCCCGTTTCATAAACGCGACGCGTTCGCAATTACTCAGACATTAATTTCACGATTTTTGTCGAGATACTATTCACAATTTCTGGATCTTACAGATCTCGTTTCTTCGGTACTTTGATCGATCACGAGCCGCGACGCGAATGACAAACTTCGAGTCAGGCTCGCTGGTTAGATTCTTGTTAACGCATTTATCGTCCAGGACGATTTTATCGGGATCCTTCTACTGAATCTACAGCGGCGGGATTATGCATAAACAGGGAAACGTTTATTTTCGAATCCAACCGTCAGCGACGTCATGAAATTTGTTTTTATTCGCCTGGCGACGAATTAAATAGAGTAAACATGTTTCTTTTCCGTTTGAATAGCAAAGTGATCTAGATTAATCTAGAATCTTATTCTCGTTGTGAAGAAAAAGAATTTTCTTTTGTTTTGTTAGAATCGTCGGTGAACTTTTTCCGTTTCACGCGACCAGGACATTGTTGTGCATGTTGCTTCTATTGGTACTTTTCACGGAGCTCTGCGAGTCCTTTCTGACGACCATTTCGTTCTCGTCGATCCTCGCGATCCTCGCGGTCTTCTCTTGCTGGATCCTTCATCGGAGGACCGAGATCAATGGCGGCTACGGGACAGTCTTCACGGCCGGAATTCTCGCCGCGATCGGGTTGTCGCGAGCGTGGAAATTCACCATTTTGTCCGGGTAAACGTCCAACAAATATTTGTCCATAATTAATGCGCATAATATCGAGATTTTAATCTGCTTAGGCACGGTCTGTCGATCCAGCATGTTCGATTTGCTACAACAGCCATCACTGCCGTTCTGTGCGGCTCCTTCGCCATCTTGGATTCTTACACGCTTTATCTCACGGTGAGCGACGTTGCTTATTGCTATAATTACACTGACAAATCGATCCACCGGGATGATAAAATTAACTTGAAAATAAATAAAATCACCTGTCTTCCTCGAAACGTTCGATTTTAAATTATAATAGTTAAAAATGAAAACTATCGATCGCTATCTGAGATAAATGAACACCGTTTCATTAAATATCGCATGAAAATGACTATGTTACTTGGAATACGATTTTTTGGAAAACTTGTAACATCTTAATCTCGATCCGCATCGTTCCCGTGTTCTTGGAAATGCGGTTTACAGTCGGAGCGCTTCTTGCTGAAAGTATCAAGCCAGGAATTAACGACAGAGCGGTACAACCTTATCGAGGAAAGCCAGCTACTTCCCAGTAACCTAGCGCAAATATTTGTTTTACATTTGCTCAGCTTGTTTGAATAATAATGTTTATTATCGCGATCGGGCGAGAGTCGGGCTTATCGAGTGATAACCTTACTTTTCCACCTCCGCGGTTCGAACTAGATCGCGAAAATAGATTTTGTAAGTTTCGCGTTTCCCTTAGCTTACACCCGATAACACGAGATTCCAATCTTCTGGATTAATTCTAATACTCTCAGTTTATTGTCGAAAGAATCCAAAGCGTACAACGGTATAATTAGATTCGATCTTTTTTCTAATTTAATTATACGCTGTATCTCGGGTTCTCGAACGTTTAAAATCTGATTCACGGACACTCTTATCGAGAATCGTATTCCCGCTCCATTTATTTCGCTAATAGGAACATGAAAAATATTTCTTATTACCGCGCACTAGGATCTTCTGTGTCCGCCACTGATTGGAGCCTTTTATTATTCGGAATCTAGCCTACATTTCCTTATCGCGCCTAAGTTATCCGCACCAGTGGCAACTTTTCTCACAGACCGATAACGAACTCGTAAAATAAACCTCGGTTCGTTTGTTTGTTTGTACAGGAAACTTTGCACGATGCTGGGAGCAAAACGTGCCATTTTAAAATTAACAAAAAATTTACGAATATCGTGTGTACCCATTATATAAATTGTTAAAAATTTCTTTCGCGTCCGCGTTACGAGACGGTCCTCTGATGGGTCGCGATCCCCACGGCGGAAAACACGCCCGATTTAATTAGGAAATTCTCGACTGGCGACATTTCCTCCTCCGTGCACTCGAATTGGCCGCGAACCAGACAGCATATTTCACGTCTAATTATAATCGCGTTAAGAACACGCCGCTTCGGGCACCCAAGTGTCTTCGATGGCTCGTAAACGCGGGATTCCAGGCCTGCGTTTGCTCCAAATATATTTCACGTGCACAGATGCACACCCGGCCCCTTGACCCAGTAAAAACAAGCATCCGTATCGTTCAACGAACCGTGCAAACAGATCGTTTTAACACTACCTCGTGAATCGGTCTAATTTTCTCTATCCAGACCAGACGAAAGCGAAGATACTTCATCAGGCGAGTCGAGGACGCCCGAACCGTCTACAGACACTCCGATTCTACTTTCCTCAACAGGATCACCTTCCATTGGGTAACCAAACTGCTTTCGAAGGGCTATGGCTTCCCTTTGGAGTTGCAAGACCTCGGGGAACTCCCCCAAGAGGAGGCCACCGGAACACAATTCGCGAAATTTCGAAGAATTTACGAGGAACACAGGGTAAAAAATTTAGAAAAATTATTTTTAGACACAGAAGTAACGAAACGAAAGAAATACCATGGAATACTCTTGGCCTTACAAGGGTTAAAATGATCTGAAACGCGCCAATCGAGTCTTATTAAAAAGCAAATTTCTTAAATATTCGTTCCCCGTAGAAGGATAAAAGGAAATTGTCCCTTTGGCGATGTTTTTGGAAGCAAGTATGGTTCCCCTTCGCCATTGGAGGCGTGCTGAAACTGTTAGGCGACGCCGCCACCCTCGTCGCTCCAATGACGATTTCTCGGATCTTGGACTACGTTTCTGCCTCTCAAAATGGCACCACGAGTCATCGCTTTCGGGTATCAAACGCACTAGTTCGTAGACTTCGATCTGACAAACTCTCGTCCAAATCTTGGAACATTTTGCGACCTTTCAGGGCACCATGACGTTCTCCGAGGTTCTCCAAAATGGCTACTTCCTCGGACTGCTCGTGTTCGTCTTCGCCATTCTGCAGAGCACTCTGAGCCAGGCCTCCACCCACATTCTCTGCGTCGAGGGGATCCGATTGAAGACTGCTCTTCAGGTACACACTCGACGCTGAACTCGACTCGACTCGAAGACTCTCATTACGATTTGGCATCGCAGGCGTTGCTGTACGATAAAGCTTTGCGTCTGTGCTCGTGGAGCATCGACGAAGAGGAGAATCCACAGACGGACAAGGAGAAAGAGCAACACAGGGGTTACCGAGCCGGTGACATCGGGACCCTGACGAACCTCATATCGGAAGACGCTTACAACGTCATGAGCTTCTTCTGGATCGGACATTACACCTGGGCCATCCCGTTAAAGGTAACTGGAGGATCTCCTTAAAGCTTCCATCGTTTGGTGATTCATTTGCTGACATTAATTTCAGATCACTGCTATAGTCTTCCTGCTCTACACAAAGCTGGGCGTAAGCGCGATCATAGGTGCACTTTGCTGCATAGCGATAGTGACGCCGATGCAACTGGTGCTTGGGAAAAAGATGTCGGGGAATTTCAAATTCGTCGCTGTACGTCTATTTTTCTTTCGTAAATCCAACAGACCCAATTTATTTTCTTTCGTATTTCTACCCAACAAGTGCAAGCGTTGAATTAATTGAAGGAATTTACATAATCGAGGAAACTTCTTTAGAAAGGAAGCGACTCCAGATTGCGTCTGGTGAACGAAGTTCTTCAAGGAAAGAGGCTGGTGAAGCTCAGAGCCTGGGAGGACATCTTCGAGAGGAAGATAAGGAAAACAAGAAACGACGAGTTGAAGATGCTGGACAGAGATTCCTTTTACTGGACCCTTATCAGTGAGTTCGACGTTTCTTTCTTTCCTTGCAAGATAATTCTCTTTCAATTAGAGTAACGAAGGAATGATAAAAATTGCTCTGTGATTAGATTTTCTTACCCACGCCTCCTCGGTTCTGATGACGCTCTTCACTTTCGGCGCCTATTTCTGGCTGGAGGAAAGAACCCTCGACGCTGGAAACGTTTTCGCGAGTTTGGCTCTGTTTTCCCAGCTCACTGTACCGCTTCTGATCTTTCCTGTCATGATTCCTATCGTCATCAACGCTATGGTGAGCACAATTCCATCGACGTTACAAAATTTAGCGATAAATTTATCACTCTTGGTCGTTTCATTCAGATTTCCACGACCAGAATGGAAGAATTCCTTCAGCTTCCAGAGATCCAGAACGTCCTGCCGGATCCTGGCGACAGAAAAATGGACGTCGAGAACGAATCGTCTCGGACGAACTCTGTGGACGAGAGTACTGTGAGTCGAAGTACACTGGAGAAAATAGATGTAGATTCGATAGGGGTTGGTTTGAACTTCGAATACTTCAAGGTAGAAGCCACGAAGGTGCACAGCACCGCGACTTTCGGATCGCTGGACAACATCGAGGAGGACGAAGAGGATGGCCAGTCCTGTTGCTTGAGGGAATTCAAGCTCGACATAGATTCTTCCGTGGACACGGTGTTCGAGAACGATTTGGATATACCGGTGCTTCGAATGAAATCCTGCACATTTTGGGGCACGGACGAGTACCAGCTATCGATCGCTGGCCTCAGCTTTCCTCGTGGTAATTTCACTTCCACTTGTTTTCTTGTTTCTATTTTTTATATTGTTCGAATGAACGAGTCCCAATTTCGTCTTCAGGTCAATTGACTCTTATTGTCGGAAAGACTGGCAGTGGAAAGACTTCTTTGTTGCTGGGAATGTTAGGGGAGATCCAGAGCACCACTGGAACGATCGAGTGGTCCAAGTAAGCGATCCCAAAATTGTCCATCGTTCACCAATGTTTCTTGAATATTTTCTTAACGAAACGTTTCGGAGTCAGAGGTTCGAGGATCGCGTACGTGGCTCAGAAGCCTTGGCTGTTGAACGCTACTTTGAGAGACAACATCCTCTTCGGATCAGCGTACAGATCGCGGAGATATCGAAACGTGTTGAAGGCTTGCGCCCTGCAACCGGACGTCGACATACTTCCGGGCCACGATTTGACACGAATCGGTGAAAAGGGAATAAATTTGAGCGGCGGACAGAAGCAGAGGGTGACCATAGCCAGAGCTCTCTACAGCGACGCGGATGTCGTTATCATGGTTAGTTGAAATCGATACGAAAACTTTCACGCGATGATACTTCGATGAATATTTCTAGGACGATCCACTGTCCGCGTTGGATCACCAAGTCGGTCGACAGATCTTCGATCAAGGAGTCAGAAAGCTTCTCCTGAGAAGCGGGCGCACAGTAATCATGGTCACCCATCGTTTGGAATTATTGTCCATGGCTCATCAGGTATGCTGATCGATTTAACGCAACGTAAGTACAGTCGTGATACATGATAAATAATCCTGAACGTCCAGGTGATCGTTATGGACGGTTGTCGAGTTCGAGCCGTGGGCACGAAGTCAACGATCGAAGAATCGGACCCGGAATTGGCGACCGAATGGAGGCAGGCTGCAACTAGACAGACTGATGAACGTCGTAATCATAGAACTGCCAAGGACAGGTGGTCTCTGGTTAGACTGATATCTAGGATCAGTATTAACGTGAGGAACAAGCAAACCAGCGACGGATCGTGGATCACTGATCAGGATGCTCACGTAGTAAGATCTTTCTTCGATTTGATCGCCTCGCGTGATTTCTCTTTTCATTATTTAGAAACAGAGCACATTGTTTCCGTATTTCAAGCTCTAAACGCGGTTCAGAATCGTTGTAATATGAAGTTACAGTTCTGTGCGCGATTATGTTATCCAAGTGACAAATGTTTCCTCCCGTGAATCCAATTACTGAAAATGGCTACCGCCGTACGGTTAAATCGATAGAGCTCGAACTATAACCAAAGTTGCAAATCTTGATCCAACAGGCGATTGCCTTGGCCGTAATTGATGATCTGTTTCCGTTTAACGATCGATGGTTTGTTCAGACTTGGAATAATCCTTCTTTGCTAGAATCCACCTGTCTTCGTGCCGTTGAGAATGCGACGAGGCAATCTTTCCGGATCGAGATACCTGGCCCCCGATCTCATGGACCTTCCACTGCCCACGGAGGAGTGGAACATCGCGAAAAAACCGTGCAAATCTTATGCAAACGCTGTTAGGTCCAGCAGCCTTCAACCTCGAAGACAGCCACCGCTCGTTCTTAGACAAAACAGCACTCCGACTATACTCGAGAGTCAACACGTCGTTTCTAGGTAATTTAGAATCTAATTTACAGAACCGTGAATTTTCTATCGATCATTACATATTCTACTTTTCCAGGAAAAGGAACAATACTTTCGACAATGGACAGCCGAGCAACGTTTTGAGACAAATATTTTCTGGCAGGTTGGTCGCTCTTATTATGGAACAGAATATTTTTTTAATAATTTTTTTTATAATTCACAGAATTGCCAATGTACACCCTGACGAGACGTCGTCCAACAGGGAAAAAAGTGTCCTGCGTAGGTTGATACCATCCAGTTCCAACAGACAGGTTCATTACAGTGTCAAGAAGTATGACCAGTTATAACGATAAATTTCTTACTTTATTTTGTGGTAAAAAGAATTGAGTAAACATTACCAAATAAATTGTGCATTAGGGTCAACCAAAATCTAGAACATGACCATTTCCCGATCAAACGATTGCTGTTGAAGGACTCCAGGGAAACCGACGAATTCGACGAACAAAAAAAGAGTTAGTAGACGATCGAAACGGCCTCAAAGGGGAGACAGAAATATATTGAAAGATTGTTACAGAAATTTATGGTATGGAGGAGCACGAAGATTCTTACGAGGACAGAAGCGGAATAGTCACGAGAACGATTTGCATGGATTACACGAAAGCTGCTGGTTGGATACCAGGATTAATTTACATAGGGGTTGCAATTTTCTGTCAGGTCCTTCGAGTTTACACGGACCTTTGGCTGAGTCGATGGACGGATCAGAACAACGAGAATTTCGGCCAGGAAGACCAAGATGTAACGTTGATGACTGTTTACATTCTTCAAGAATAGATAATCGATGAGACCATTTAATCGATATTGCGATATTAGTTTAACTAAGTTCTAAAGTACATCGTTGTGGTTCATTTCAGACACTGTTCTACTTCAAAGTCTACATAACCCTTTCCATGGGCTCCATACTTCTATCTTTCGTATGCAACGTCGTGGGACAATGGACGGGAGCCAGGGCGAGGAGAAAGTTACATGAAGAAGCTATTTCCAGGCTACTGAGAGTGCCAATGTCTTTTTTCGAGCACGATCCCGTTGGTAAAATTTTGAACAGATTCAGCGCCGACATGGGTGTCATCGACAAAGTTAGTAACTAACCGATAAACGAACAAATATCTCGCGTTTACGATAAAGGGATAACGTACAATTTTTACATTCCAAAGAAAATATCCACGTCCATCCAAAGATTGACGTTCTTCGTTCTGTTGTGTGGATCCGCGATCATAGTGAACGTGATTATATCACCGTGGTTCCTCGTCGCTGCTCTTCCCACGTGTGCTGCCTATTACATGGTTCAAAGATATTACAGACAAAGCGCGAGACATTTGCAAAGATTGGACGGCAGGTGTGCAATTATTTTTTAGTATAGTCCATCTTAAATTGCAGATAAGAATGTACAATAACTGGATTTCCACTTACTCGATTTCAGCACTCGATGGCCAATCGCCACGCACTTCTCTGAGACCCTCTGCGGCCTCCCGACCTTGAGAGCGTCGAAACAGGAAAACCGCTTCGTGGAGCAGGTGATGGTCTGTCTGGACACCAACACGAACGCGTTTCTGCTTCTGAACGCGAGCAGTCGATGGTTGGGAATCGCGCTGGTAAAGTATACTTCCCGAATCACCGTGAGGTCCCAATAAAATTGATTGACCGCTCAAAGCCACTGACGCGCAGTCCCCACGCGTTACGAATCCGGAGACCAGCGAGGCCAGAGACCCACAACCTCCTCACACTCCTCCATACTTCTCGAACTGTCCCGACTTTGATCGACGATGCCTGAATCCGAACGGAGGAACCCATCTGTAATAAAAATGGAATAAAACGAAACATAAATTTCACAGCATTTTTAAAATAACCAGTTCCAGCTCGCGTAATCTTGAGTGGCCAATTATGTAATCTCGTTTCGGACATAGCCAATGTTTATGACGAACAATTTTTAGGACTACCTAGGCGCAGTAATCGTGGTCACGGCAACGTTTGCAGCGTTAATTTCCGCACAACTGTACCCGAGTCGCGTGACCCCAGCTCTGGTTGGTCTCGCGATTAATTACACCCTCCTGGTACCGATCTACTTAAATTGGGTGGTGAAATTCACCGCGGAGATCGAGATGTACATGGGTAGCGTGGCGCGAATTTCCGCGTACAGATACGCTCCTACAGAAAACTATCAACAAGAGGGTAAACGAAAAGTTTCTGAAAGGATTCATCGATGTTTCTGTCTCAACGACACCTGGTGCACCTTTTCCAGGCTTCCAGGTTCCGGACGATTGGCCCAGGAGAGGCCAGATCACCTTCGAGAATGTTTCTCTGAGACACGATTCGCAAAGGGAACCAGTTATCTCGAATCTGTGCCTGAGCATTCCAGCGGGTCAAAAGATCGGTATTTGCGGGAGAACCGGAAGCGGAAAGTCTTCTACGGTGATGGCGCTTTTTCGACTGCTGGAGATCACTCAGGGACGCATTCTGATCGATGGCGTAAACGTTAATCAGATTTCTTTGACCGTGCTGCGCTCGAGGCTCTCGGCGATTCCTCAGGACGTGATCATGTTCAGTGGCACTGTTAGGTAAATTCTAATTAACCGACGAGTTCGGGAACTTCCGAGTTCGTGGCGAGTTTCCCAACTCTGTGTAACGTTTGGCCAAGTGTTTGAGATGGGTAAACGTGCACTGTCATCGACGTTTTCAGAGAAAATTTGGACCCCCGTTCGGAGCACGAGGATCGAGAACTCTGGGATGCTTTGGAAGTAGCGCAGATCAAGGACGTTGTGGCTTCGCATACGGAAGGACTCGGTGAGTGAAAATTTAAAATCAGCGAAATATTTAATAAATATGATTCTTGGGGTGAATAGATTTCGAAGTGCGCGAGGGGGGTGAAAATTTCTCTTCGGGGCAACTTCAGCTGCTCTGCATGGCGCGCGCGATCCTCCGGAAGTCCTCGATCGTCGTCCTCGACGAAGCAACCAGTGCTCTCGACGCGGCCACCGAGAAGTCCCTCTTGAAAGCAGTTTCGATCGCTTTCGAGAACAGAACTGTGATTGCTATCGCGGTAACTACGCGTCGATTACCTTAACGCTCTTTGCATTCGTCTCCAAGGAAGAAATATCGTTCGTTTTACGATTATTTTGCAGCATCGAGCGACAGCGTTATTGGATTGCGATCGAATAATAGTCTTCCACGAGGGTACGATCGTCGAGGACGGTTCCCCGATGGATCTAACGAGGCGACAAGCTGGATTTTTCGCGAATATGCTGAAATCCACCGAACAGTATGTTCCTAGGACTGATTCGAAAAAGAAAAGGGATTGCTGAAGAAGATTACGAGTAGCTACCTTTCGACTCGATTGTGAGATTTATTTTTGATAACGAAAATAAATGTGTAATACACACCAACACGAGTCGTTGAATTACTTTGTATATTGTAGGTGTATCAAGAGGGTCGTTGATCGATCTCCATGCATGCATTTCTTAAACTTTTTTCACACCTTTTTAAGAAACCGAATTATTAAACGCCTTCATCGTGTGCAACACATGATTTTAGGAATGTAATTTGTCATTCTTAACGTAATTTATTATAATAATCGCTACACGATTTACATAATAAAAAATATATTTTAATAAAAGACATGGTTTTTAATATTGTCTGCGACTTTAATCTATATACCTTCTATTTGTTGTTCGAAATATTTATCTAGATAAGAATTTCTCCCATCTCTGGATTAACTTTCGAAGAACGCGAGGAACGAAGAACGATCCTATTAGTAACCGCGAAACGTACTCGAAAAAGTACGCTCTTATCGTGGAAGTATAGCTTAGCAATCTGCTCGATAATCTACTGAAAGATAATCCAATGGAATAGTCCATTAGCAAACTGTTTTGGCGATCGTATCGATCGTAGATAATTACGAGGTTACTTAATGTGTACTGGTCGCCTAAATTGTGTCACTCCAAGTTCTTTGGTTCTTTCGTTTATCTAATGGTGAATGTATGAAATGACTAACGAAAGTACAGATGAAAGATTGACGAACGATATTCCGTTTTCTGCGTTCTATAAATACGTTAAGCCATCGTTATTTTGATTAAAACCACCACGAGGCATTTTAAACCGTTCCAGTATGATCGTAAACCATCATCGTTACTAATTAAACAGACTCATTTCTCGCAATAAAACATCCATAAGAAATAATATTATGCATTCATGAATTACGAACTCAGTTTATTAGTGTGCAATTTAATTACTCCTCTGGCGAAGGAGCAATTTATAGTTTGCCTTGTAAGGTGCTCTACGAAAGACATTAACGCGATTTACGTGCACGGTCTCTAAAGAACTACTTGACCAGTCGACATCAATTAAAGACAAAACTAAAAGATTAGAAAAGAAAGTACTTCTTTTCTTTCAGAACCGTTGCAACATTGAAATGGTATTTTATCAATATTTCTTCTATTTTTATATTATCTCAAAAATATCGATGGCTTGAGGGCATCTTTCGTGTTTCGAGAGTGCACGCAGAAAAGACATGTTTTTCTTATCGCATCGTGCGTCAATCTAATTAATCAATCAGCGAAAGTACGTGTAAAATTTGAGGAAGACCCGATCTGCACTTTATTCGAAAAAAATTCTCAAAGATGAATCATTTTTCGAAGCATTGCCTATGACGTAACATAAGATTGTCTAATGTAAATATTGAAAATATTTCTTAAAAGCTGTTTGTACATTTAATTCGTGGAAATAAAATTAATTTCCATGAGAAATATCGCCGGTAAGGTAACATAACTTCCTAAATATGCAAACTGGATCACACAGCGAGCATTAATTATTCCCAACAGCATCGTACACTTTCTCAAAGAACAAAAGCCTTCGTCGAGAATACCAGCAGCTAGGAATAAAGAAATTTCACTTCGATCGAACGAACCTTGGAAATAAATCATTTTGTTTCTCATCTGTTTTAAAGTTCTGCCCCGTCTCGGTTTAGTTAACATTTCTACAATTTAATTAAAATGAATTCTTTCGACAGCGACAAGTGCGAATTTTCGCGACACGATTTAGGCAACTTTCCCCTAACAGATACCGCCGGTCAACGTATCGCGACGGATAAAGTGTCAAACGATAATAATTACCAATACCCCCACACACGTCGTATCAACGATGGAAAACGTGCGCGTGTTTTTCTGCTAGTGGCTTCGAGACCTGCCTGTCGATCACACGCGCGGCGTTCGCGATCGAAAGTCCATCGAATCCACGGATCCGTTTCGATCCTTCTGCAGGATGTCGACGTACGCTCAGACCTTCGACTTTCTGCCTATTTCGTCGACGGTTCGACTTCAATGACACCGGGCTACGCTTTCACCTCTCGGTGCCTCCTCCTAGCTGCGCAAGAAAACGCGCGTTAAAAAAAAAAATGAAAGCGCCTCGTTGACTCCGAATTGCTACCATCTATCAGCCGTACGCGTAATCGTGAACCATTGATACGGACAATGAATCTCGAAAGCGGACTCCGGACGACGCGCGTCGACCCAAAACTTTTGTGAATCGACGAAGACCGTTTCAGGAGTTACAAGACACCTTGAGACGTGAGTACTTCCGGCGAACGGTAGCGGACGTCCGTCTTTTATTTTAATTCTAAATCGATAGCTTGTTTTACGAGAATCGTAATTGAACTTTTTGTGCCTCGCTGTTTGTTCGCATTCTCAACGTGTAAATAGACAGTAATGGCCTCTTAAAACATTTAATATATTTTAATGAATACATTTAAAAACGTGCTGTTAACAGAGTATGTTAACAATGGATTAACTACGATAAATATATTTTGTTAAGTAATAATAGCTTTCACAGTGACAGATAGAACTTGACGATTAATCTAGAAAAAAATGATAGTGAAAGGGAAAAGTATCTTTTCCTCGAGATCATTATGGATCCGTGAAAAAGCAGGACACGCGTGATCTCCGGATGAGGTTAGATCAAAAACTACGATTCCCCGGTCAATTACATGAAGTGTATACCGTTTAATTGCAATGTTGCTCGCGGAGACGCGACTCCTTGCGACACACTCGCGAAAGAACTGGAGCGCGAACGTTTTTACTTGGTCGCTGATTCACCAGGTAGCCAGGTAATCGTAATTTTTATTACGTCCACGAAGAGTGAAGCTGTCACGAGCTGTTTGACGATTATACCTTTCTTTTTGTCTTCTTCGAACTCGACGGTAACGAACGTGCACACAATATTTTAGAGTTCATAATTTTATAATCTGTAATACTCGAGATGATCTAGACCACGTGAAATTCCATTCTTCTCTTGAGATTTTATACAAAATCTGTCCCATTGCTTTACCTGTTGTATCTAGGTCGGAAAATAAGTAAACGATGTAAAACGGCGTGTTCGTAGAAACAGCTGCTTCGTCGCGATAAAGGACTGTCAGGTTCGTTGTAAAACAAAGAAAAGCGGCTTAACGATAAGAGACTAGCGTTCCGAAGATAAGAAAATAGAAACTAGGAAAACCGGTCGGCCATCGTTGTCTTCGAATCGCAACGTGAATCAGTGATCGATCGATAACGATCTAACGGTGATTATGTATTATGAACGGTTTCTCGATTCTGATTCTTTTGTATCGATTTCAATTAAACGTCGAATATTTGTAATGATCGCTGACGCACGCTCGATCAAAAAAGCCTATCGATGAAATGCTGTGAAAGATCGATCGAACGTGATTGGAAAACGATGTTCGTGATTCGAGAAGCTCGTTAAGTCTTTAACGTAAACACAAAATCAGCTTTGTCAAGGATCGCTCGGTAACGAAAGGAAACCGAGCGAAGTCAGTAATTCAAGGTCGACTTTTTCTCTTGGCACTTCCACGATACGAGAATGCGGGAAAGCCTTGAAAGACTCGTGGATTATTAATGCAAAATAATATATTCTTGGCCGCGATTGCGATATCTGTTCTTCGTAGATCTCGAGCTACAACGTTTCAAAATGTGAAACAGTTTCGAAGACCGGGCATTTCTCGATGCAATTTAAACAATTACTCAAAAGCAGATCCACCGACCTATTTAACGAAACGAGAGTAGGACTCATTAGATAAGACGACCGTGCGTGTACCTGCCTGTTGACACTGCGTCTCTTTGTTATCGGCTAGATAAGATTTCTGCGTCTTTGTCGAACCTGAGACATCAGTTTCACACGTGAATTCAGCGAGTGCAGCTGATATCGTCCATCTCCCAAAAATTGCATCTTCTCACGCAGTGTTCGATCCACGCCAGAATAGATTTACCCGCGTATTTCTACTGTTATCGGAGGATCCCAGCGTCCGTCGATCTGTAAGTTTAAAAATCTGTGAGTTTAAACACTTCGTCGACCGTGAATCACGGCGTACTGAACAAGAAACATCAATAATAACGAAAAAACGATACGTTATGCTTCGTTAAAGGCTTCCCGTATGCACTGGCGATTTATCGCTTGTATCTAATCGATCAACGGAAACGACATTCGTCGTCAGATAAAATCGTGCCGATAGTGCGTTGCAATTATATTTCGACGAGAGAACGTCGATCTATAATAGATATCGCTTTGAGCGTGCCGCGGTTAGGTTGAGTCCCGTTACGCAATTAACGAGTTAAAGCAGAACCCAGACGATCCGCGAAACGACTAAAGAAACGAAAATATTGACACGGCTGGCACGAAACAATTTATGATCGCAAAGTTTCGTGCTTCAACGCGTAAACCGTGGACGACGATCATCGAGCGAAGCTCGGTGAATTCGACCGCGATAAAGCAATCAAGGTAAACGGGGCAATTTAAAAGGAAATTAAACGCGATAACGAAACGAAAATATTAGCAGGGCCTAAAAATAGGCGGTGTACGTTCAGCCAATGGAATCCGTTTCGCGGGTGACGTCTAACAACCGACCACGTGGTCGTCTATTACGCTCGAGCTAATTACACTTGCGAGTCGCAGCTGATTAAACGGCGACGGTGACTAAAGGCCACTTAAAACGATGTTACAACAATGTTTTTTTTTATGGAGAACAATCGGTTTCGAAACACACGCACGAACGTCGGTGAACGGTCCCAAGCACATGCTAATTATCAATCGCGTTAACGCGGAACGCGTTTTGCCAATCGTTCGTCGGTTTTCTGGAAAACAAAACCGTGTACATTATATTTTAGTGAGTCTCGTGCATAATTAACGTTCGAGAAACAGAACATTCGGCAGATCGTTTCGCTGGGATACAACAGAGACTCGATTCGTTCTACCAAGTATGTAACAACTGTTTTTAAATACAATCATTACAACATATGGATATACGTTAGAGTGTCAAACAGAGTATTAAACGTTTGTGAGTAAATTTATATATCACGATTTTACCAATTATTTTCATTTAAAAGAGAAACAAATAAACTTGAACGTATCAAAATCCATCGTATCATCGTACAAGAAGATGGCCTTTGTGGATAATTAATATTTCCATTCCTTCCTCGAGTACGATTTGCTTAAACAAAAGTACACAGAAGCTTACGAAATGGATATTTTGTCATCCGTAAATGCCAACTCCTTAAGGGGTCATTCTGGTTTATCGGGCCGAAAAGTGAGGTAAATTCTATGATTAGAAAATTCTAATCATTAGTAAATTCTACGGTTAAAAACGCTGTTTTTCTTTTACGTTTCTTTTAACCGCTGCCATTTTGTTATTTTTTAACAGAAATTGTTCGACGAGGTACGGGCGATAGCGACATTCATGCCGATTAAAAATCATGTTCATTTTCTTCTTTCAGATAACCCTGAAGACTGTAATCACCTACGCCAGCAACTTAGGTTTTTTTTTCAGTGTTATATTTACGCTAATAGAACACTAACAATAATAATTGTTTATGTATAACAAAATATTTTTCATAAAGCCAAAAGATAGTACAATAAATACTACATGTATTTATTTCAATATATAAAGTATTTAAATCAGAAAAAATTCATAGAATTTACCTCACTTTTCGGCCCGATAAACCAGAATGACCCCTTAAACAACGTCGATGAAAATGGCGTCGATAGATCGTAACCGAACTAAACAGTGCCGGCGTAGCACGCAACAACTATCGAACGCAATAGATCTTAGCCTTCCCGTAATCGAATCCGCCATCGCGGCGATAATGGGCCAAAGGAACAGATCGCTATCGTTTCTTCGTTAATTTATCGCGTTCATTGCGTCGCATACCTGTCGTTCGCCGCGTTCGACCGGCGATACTCGATGTTGTGCAACGAAAATTACGAAACGTAACATCCTCGCGATTATGTAAAAAGAAACGAAAAAGAAAAGGCAACGGGCGACAAATATGCCGCGACGCTGCCCGGCGATGACGGCTTCAATTATTGCCAATCTTCGACATAATTACCAGCCTCTAACGAGACAGGAAACGTTCCTCCGAACGAACACTGGCGCAGTTAGATGCGATCGCGAACGGAAACGAACGATTTTACAGAATATCGCTGTTTCACGCTTGGTAATCGAACATCGGACTAACGACGAAACGTTCAAAGGGTGAAAATTATTCCTTTTTTTGTATTTTAAATCTCTAAAGAATTGAAAAGTATCGCTTTGCCAACGAACGATTCAAGAAGGCGACACGCCCATTCGAAATTCACAAATAATTTCCACAAACAAAAATTGATTCTGGCAAAAATATTCCCGGATAACGAAGAAGATTATCGTGGGGCAATGATTTCTAGGAACGCGCTCGATTTGCCTGCAACTTGCTCAACAAACAGGTTGTAAATAACATTTGTGTAGATCCTCCTCGCATAACTAATCAAACATCGTTATCGCTCTTTTAATACCGTACAAACCGACCGTGTTCTGCGTAAACGAGACTTCGGTACCACTTCGAGAATCTCTTTGTGTTTTTTTCAATCGTTGACAAATAAATTTTCTAACGATTCTTTCTTCGATCGATAAACTTTATCTCCCGATCGGATTCGAGCTTTCGAAACGAGGAGGTATCAATTAATTTCGCCTCGCGTTGCATACACGTATGCACGTTCCCCATCGTTCCTTCTTGAGTTACTTAAGCGAGAGGCTATAGCTTTTCGCGAACGTGCAAATTTTTTCCGCCAGCCGAACGCGACTGTGTCGAACCAAGACGAACGAAGAAAACGCGATATCGCCCAGTTCACGATAAGATCGACTACAGCCTTCATTAACTTCGACGTTCGTCAACGACAAGCGACTCGGAGATAATCGTAGGAAATTACGTAAAGGAACTGGCTCGAACATCAAACCGTTCGAAACGGACTCGTCCAAGAAATCCTAGAAACGCGAGAAATTTTTATTTCGCTCTTTAGATACACAAAAATTCTGTCACCACCTCTAAACTTGAGGTCCAGATTCTTTATTTATAGTCAATTTTGTTAATATGCAGCATTTAAGACTTCTGAAAGCCCGTAAATGAAAAGGAAATCGGTAACGATGTTTTACATTTCGTGTACACAGTTTTAAAAATAGTGTTTCGAAAAAAACATGTTTAAAGTTTCACGATTGTACCGTACGTGTGTATGGCTGGCGCTAACGGGCCATAAGTTGTACAGTAAATAAAAATTTCGTTGTGGAACCGCTCGTATACTATTTTCAATGCTTCAAAGTTTTTAAGTTCCGTTCCTCTTAATTCTCTATTACGTTGATATGCAAAATTTGCTGCTTAATACCTTACGTGTTCTTGCAGGTATAATTTAATCCATTAAGATTTGAAAAAAACCAGAGTGTCGAAACGTAAATTTAAAAACTATGTTTGATGGCTTGTACCAACTCGTTATAGACGTCGTATAAGTAAAATAAAATTTCGATTAGTATCTACCGTCATTATTTTAATTAAACCCACAGTAGTACCGCGTATCACCTTCACCTTTAACTGTTCGCGTGTTTCGTCGAAATATTACGTTCCATAAATCACATTGAAATATCTTTCCGTTTTATTACTGCCGGGCATTTAATTAGTTTTAATTCGCGCTTTCCCGATTAATAGTCTGTTAACGTTCCCGATTTTCATTCTTCAATCTTCATTTTCACCGTAACAACGAACGGAAAACAGACCGTTGAACGTTCCTAACAACACTGGTATGCAGTTTTAAAAAAAGGACTCTAGTAATACTCCGTTATCATTATCAGTCGTTGTATATACAGATAATGTGAAAAATGAAGGCGAAACACACAGGGTTGTGAAGAAACATAAAAAAAAATAACGAAAATAATGCTCTTGTCTGAATAATTATCTACTTTACGGTAATGGTCTGTTAATAATAATGTATGTAACTTTCAGTAGTCCGTCTAATCAATTATGATATGGAAAGAGTGGAAGAGGTTTATATCTCATCCTTTACTTTATCACACCAACTGTCATCGACATTCTGTACCAAAACTTACTATTAAGCACACGATCGTTAAATAAATAACACAGTAAAGCTGTACTTTCGATTTTCCGCCCGATTTCGTCGCTTCTTCCTCGAATCAAACATGGCGGATCAAGTTCAACGACGATTTCCGTACGAAAAATTCGATCACGATCGTCGAGGAAATTTTTCAGCCTCGATAGCGGCGAGAATATACCCGTCGCGGGAACGTGCTAATACGCCGTGACGTCAGCGAACATTATATCGTGCATCGAACGTGATTAGCATAAGCATGTGACCAGGAGTAGAGCGTGCCGCGTGCTCGCCGCGAGACTTCCGTCAGCGGTGTTTCGACGATCCTCGATCGAAGAGGAGGAACGGAAATAAAGCGTGCACGCGCTCCGGGATCTAGCGTCCGTCGTTCAGTTTCAGCCTCGCGTCGAAGCGTCTCTTAAGTAATCCGTGCAATTACACGTCTCGCGGTCCGCGCCGCCAAATATTTGCGACTATTCGCGGGCAATAAAAGAGACGCGATAAAGCGTTAAGAATTCGTTCGCGAAACCGCGCTCCGTGCAAACGATAAGCGCGCCTCTTATCTTAATTAACGACGATCGTGATCGGGACTGCGACCTGCGGAGAATTCGAGTCGTCGCGCGCGAATCGAATCGAACGGGCCTCGATCGACGCGTCGTCGATCCACGAGAAGAAATAGTTACCGGAGTTAAAGGTGAAATTAACACGCATCAACATTCGCGGGCATCGATTGCACCGTAGATCGCACAAAACAATTAAAATTCGATCGATAAAATATTGGAAGCTAACGACACCGTTATTCTAATCCATACAAGTGTTTCGATATTATTAGATTCTTGCAGGCGTCAATGTCCTGCTCACGGAACGCGTCATGATTATACGATATAGTTTCTATACGTGACAATTTGGTGATTAATGGATTATAAAAGGGTGATTCCGTCGGCGTGTTTCAGGTGTTAAACGACCGTGCTTTCGATATGCCCTGGACGAGGAAAGTATGATGATGTTTTCGTGCTTTCCGCGACCAAGCATCCTGGGACAGAGGGGTAGCATAAAACTCACCCCTCTGCCAGGCACGGAAGATCCGAACGGCGTGATCGGAGTGAGGATAGTAAGCGATTTCTCTTCGTAGATGCGATTTTTTAGCAAAGAACGCTCGGGTGATCGTTGGATTTTGTTCCCTTGCAGAACGGAAACTTGAAGAGCCCGGTGGTGACGAGCTACAAACAATCTGGGGAGCCGGATCTAACTCATGGCGTGGTGAGTAATTGAAAGAATACTGTTTTTATTAAAATTGTGAAAAGAAGGCGCGACCTATCCATCTGTCTGCTCGGCTGAAATGGAACAGTGCACCGTCATGCATAAACCATATGCAACGTGTACCTAATATTCTAATGAAACGTTTTCCAATAATTCATGCAATCGACTAAAGAAATTAGCATAAAATTGACTTTTTAAACTCCCATTAAGGAAAACAAGAAGTTATTAAAGATTGTGTACGAACAGTTTAATGATTCTTCCACCTGTAAAAAACTCACCAAGTATATCTAATACGTAAACAAAAGAGTATGTTAATTAAATCCTTATGGAGGAACGTCAACTAGTGAATAGCGAGATTCTGTCTTTTGCAGATACGATCATTACCTGGCGTCGCGGTGTCCAATGGGCCCAAGCCAATCCTAAACTCCACCGGGAAAAGCAAAGCACCGCCCCCGCCTCGACAAGCCAACAATCATCTTTCGACTCATCACGAGAACGATCAGGAAGATGTCAGAAACTCCGAAAACTCTGATCAGCCCACGCACAATCCCAGGGGCGGTGTCATCGGCAGGACCCCGACGCCACCCTCCGCCCCAACCCCCGTCTACGAAAAGGATACGAAGTAATTTCTGAAAGAAAAATAATTATAATCTAAAAAACAATAGACGATACAATTGAATTTGTAACCGATTCTTTCTGCTGCAGATGCAGACGACAGATCAAGAAAGCCATTTTGGAGAACGAGTTCCTTGGAAATCTCGAGGACAATCAAGTGGAGGCCCTGGTGTCCGCCATGTACCCGAAACAAATACCGCCGAGCACTTTGGTGATTCGAGAGGGCGATATAGGTAACGCCTAATCGATACATATTCCGATAACGAACAACGATCTAAACACTGATCTATCGAAAACACTTCAGGCTCCCATCTTTACGTTTCGGCGGAGGGGGAGTTCGACATCTATCAGGGCAACAAATTCCAGACGAGTTTCGGACCAGGCGTCGCCTTCGGGGAGATTGCTTTGCTGTACAACACGAAAAGGCTACGATCGATCAGTGGTAAATCGCGTTACGATCAAGCAATAAATTTATTCGCGATAAAGGTCTGCATCGAGACGATTGCAATTTTCAGTGAAAAAATTCGGGAAAGTATGGGTGCTCGACCGATCCGTCTTCCTCACTATAATGATGAGAACCGCCCAGGAGAGGGTAGAAGGCAACGTCCGGTTCCTTCGACGCGTTTCCGTTCTCCAGAAGCTACCGGAGCCGAAAGATCACCTGCTCGCGAAGATTTCGGACCTCATCCGCGTGGTACGTCCCCTAAATTCCAATGGTCTTGGTAAAATGTTCTTTTAAAACCTGCAACCATCAAAGAGGTGATACGTTTCTTCTAGGAATTCTTTCCTGCTGGGGCAAAAATAGTAAGGCAAGGAGAGAAGGGCGACAAGTTCTACATAATCAGCGGAGGCAACGTCAGGATCACGAAGGACACCCAACACGACGGCGAAGAGGAACTGGTGGTCCTTACCAGGGGCCAATATTTTGGAGAGAAGGCTCTGTACGACGACGAGGGTGAAAATCGTCGACACGCCAACGCTATCGCGCTCGCGCCTGGAGTCGAATGCTTGACCTTAGACAGAACGTAAGTTCTCTTCCTGGGATCTCGTTACCTCAGCTTCCTATTGAGATAAAATTAAATTAACCTCAGGTCCTTCTTCAACTACTTGGGAGGTCTCGACGAGATACGCAACAAAGACTGGGTGGCGGAGTACGAGAAGCAGAAGAGATCGTTGACACCGAGAAAATGGACCAACGAGTACTCGAAAATCACTCTGAACGATTTAGAGACCAGAGGCACCTTGGGGGTCGGTGGATTCGGTCGCGTCGAGTTGGTCACCCTGCAATCGGATCCCAACAAGAGTTTCGCGTTGAAGAAACTGAAGAAGAGGGTGATGGTCGAGCAACAACAACAGGAACACGTGTTGAACGAGAAGCACATCATGCAAGCCTGTGATTCTCCATTCGTATGCAAGTTAGTAAAATTCTGTTCGATACGATCAAACGAAGTTCAAATAATTTATATTCGATTCTCGTACTCGTGTCTAGGCTCTATCAAACGTTCAAGGACACTAAATACGTGTATTTCCTGATGGAGGTGTGCCTTGGCGGAGACTTGTGGACGTCCCTTCAGAGGAGACGATATTTCGACGACGGCACCGCACAATTTATGGTCGGTTGCGTGGTGGAAGCTCTCGATCATCTTCACTCGATGAACATCATCTACAGAGATTTGAAACCAGAGAACCTTATGCTCGACACTCGCGGATACTTGAAGCTGGTAAGCTTTCTACGAATTTAAATTACTTGGTATTTAAACGTAACCATCGATCATTCTTTCAGGTTGACTTCGGTTTTAGTAAGAAGGTCGGACCCCAAAAAACGTGGACCTTCGCTGGCACGCCGGAATACGTGGCACCGGAGATTATTTTGAACAAGGGACACGACAGGCAAGTGATTTCAAAAATGTCGAGAGAAATGTCCTTTCTTTGACTGATCATTCAACGTTTAAAAGAACTAGGGCACTCCTCTTTGCATCTATCTAGCAATTTTGAACTGATCGAACAATTTGTTTCGTGCTCGAAGGGCGGTGGACTATTGGGCCCTTGGGATCTTGACTCACGAGCTACTGGTTGGCAAACCACCCTTTCGAGGCTCCGACCACATGACCACTTACAACAAAATCCTGAAGGGTATCGAGGTGGTCGGGTTACCGAGTATCGTCAGCAGGAACGCGAACAACTTGATCAAGAAACTTCTTCGTCTGAATCCCTCGGAACGTCTCGGGTACCAAAGAAACGGCATCCAAGATATTCGAGAGCACAAGTGAGTTGTTCGCAAGTAGAAACCACTCAGACCCTGTAACACTACACACGATTTTGTTAACACTGTGCAATGGGAGAACTGTATAACTGTTGAAGAAACTACGAACTTTTTTTAACGAAATTTTGTTTGTGCAGGTGGTTCCACTCTTTCAACTGGCAGTCCTTGCAGAGACTAGCTCTGCCAGCACCGATTGTTCCAACGGTATGAAACGTTTGCGAAATATTTGTGAAATTATACTAAGAGATTACGGGCAGGAAACATAAGACAGTCTTTATTAACTCCGATAACCAACGAATAAAAATGAAATATCGTAAATAATTGCATGACTAACGCTGGAAGACTCTACAATGGAATAGTTAAACCTCGTAATTTTATAAACGTGGTATGCTTCGAGTGGCAAAAGTATGAGACCATCCAATAAGATTGTGCGTATTTTGTTTCACAGTAGATTTCTTAAATAATTTTTGGCAAACTTGAGAACAGGTACCTTATTTTTTCCAGCCCGTCATCGTGACGTGATTCCTTGGGATTTCTATAATTGTTGCTCGATTTCGATGATTTTGATTGTTTCCAGGTACGGAACCAAACCGACACGCGAAACTTCGAAAGGTATCCACCGGATCGCAATATTCCGCCTGACGAATTCTCCGGATGGGACTCGAGCTTCTGATGGGGAAAAAAAATTTACCCGATAACATCAGGTGTACGTGCCTTATCCGTCGAAAGAACGATAAGAGTGAACAAATCGTGGAAGTGCAGTGAAAAGGATTCTTTCAATGACAATCGTTAAATACAAGTCTACCGATAATAGGATTATTGCTACCTTGACCAGATTTAGTTATCATCGACGAGTATATCAAAAAACTTTTAACTGACCTATTACGTGCTGATTAAATTATAATTGCCACTTAGGATCGGTTTGTGTCACGAATTTGATAAAAGATGCTTAATAGTATTTGCTATTGGTCATTCTGCCATGAAAAAATCGAATGTTGTTTCATGAATATTCTCTGTCTCATCAAATTCGTTATACAGGATGTTCGGCCATCCCTGGGATAAATTTTAATGAGAGATTCTAGAGGCCCAAATAAGACAAAAATCAAGAATAATTTGTTAATTGAGGATTCATGAAAAAGTTATTAACGAAGAAGTAAAGAATTTTTTTCTCGAAAGTGGATAAGGATTTCGGAGGTATATTTATTCACCAAAAATGATTGTAATTGAAAGTAAAAATAATTTTTCCAGAACGATATAAAAATTTTTTTTTCGCCGAAAAAAGGCAAATTAGGCCCTCTCAATTTTCCTTAAAAATTCGTTTTTCATTTTTAATTCATTTGGTTGACGCTGTACAGAAAAGTTGTTTAATATTTTTTTGTAGGTATTTATGAGTTCTACTTCCATATTAAATTTCAATGAGATACCTTTACTATTGTAGGAGTTATGACCGTTCGAAAATTGAATCATTTTTATGGAGTTTTTCTAACTTTACGAGGTCAAGGAACAACTTTTTCAATATTGTTAGAATTCCTATACATTCTTCACTAAAATATGCGTTGTTTGCATTTTGAAACACTAAAATCCTTCAATCCGTTCAGAAGTTATGACGTTTTAAAGATACGCAAGAAATTTTGAAATTACATTTCTGGCCTGAAATTATATTTTCGGTAAGGAATTTTTTTCTCGAAACTGGTTAGGATTTCGAGGGTATGTCTATTGACCAAAAATGATTGTAATTGACCCCCGCAGCCGAAAATAATTTTTCCAGAATTATTTGAAATTTTTTAATAACTTTTTAACGAAACTTCAATCAAGAAATTAATATTTGTAGGATGGTTAAGCGGAAAAACAATCTAATGTTTGTAAAAAGACTTTATTTACGTAAGTTGTCTCCAAGGAGTCCGGACTAAGACTAGCCTTTGCCTTCACTCGGATCTCCTTAAAATACCCATTCACACACATACTCATACATACACAACCTGGCCCCGGAGGCACGTGTTCGGTGACACGTGTTCGATGACACGTGTTCAATGACACGTCGGTACCGATTGTCGGTAGCGGTGCCGATTGTCGGTAGCGGTGCCGATTGTCCAACGGCGGCATGTATAATTGCCTACATATTCTTGATTTTCGTCTTATGTTGGCCTTTAGAATCTCGCATTCAAATTTTTCCCAAGGATAGCCGAATACCTTGTATAACCCGACTCGATTGCGCAACGTCCTTGTATATGCACGTTTAGGTTTCGTAGACAAAATACGTGTTCTAAAAGATACTCCGACGATCGAAAACAACGATATTTACAGCCGTTATTGTTACAAATTGATGATAAATTTATACCTGAATTAATAAAAAGTTTAAAAAATGTGTGCGTAAATACATGCGAGTTGACTATGGGGAAGGGATTGAAATTCATTTCTAAATCTGTTGGTAATGTTGCGAGTGACACGAAAATGGTAATGGGGTTTCGAGACCCCAGAAAAATGGACCGAAAAAATACATTGGGTGAAAGATCTACTCGTATACCTCCTCTGTGCTGATACATTGAGTTCAATAAATACTACTATGATAAAAACCCTTCCAAAAAATGCATTCATTTAATCTGACGCAAACCCTCGATAACATGATACTTATCGATTACATCTGTAATCTTTGTTGGTGACAGATCGACATTGCAATTCGTTAGAGATAAGATCAATATGCTTTATCCTTCCTATTAAATGTCAGTCTATCATAGATATTCTTCGTACTAGTTTCACACAAAGAGATTTACAAATTTTTACTCATCTTCTATGTTAAATTTTGTTCTCGACTCGTTGTAATAATTAAATTATACTCGATAGCGTAAAATAATTATATATTTCGTCGAGAAACGTCGCGATGCATAATCTGTGCTTTCGAAAGGGCTTTCGAGCCAACATACATTTGTTTGGGTCCAAGAGACGTGTCAGCGAGGAATGTTACAGGGATTTGTCCAATCAACGAAAACGTGGTGTCATCGGTGAAGTAAACCTGTCATCCGACACACAAATCAACGCCTTCAAGAAGGACGAAAAGTAAATGGACAGTTTGTAAATTATTTCCCTCGTTCGCCTGCGAGTACAACAAATTCAATGAATTATAGGACAAAGGAGCTCATCAGAGGCGCCATTCTGAAGAACAAATTTCTGAACGATCTCGACGAGTCGCGAATAAATACCCTCATTTCAGTGATGTATCCCAAAAACGTTAAATCCAATACGCGAATAATCCACGAAGGCGAAACTGGTAAGTGATCGATTCGCGAATGCAAAGAAACAGGGATGTAAATCAGGTTTAACAATCGTTTTATAGCATAAAGCACAATTAATCGTTACGTATCGGGTTAGGTTCTCACATGTACGTTTCGGAAGAAGGCAACTACGAGATCTACGTAGACAACACGTACCACGGGAGTTTCGGCCCTGGAGTTGTTTTTGGGGAACTGGCCCTGTTGTACAATACGAAAAGACTGAGCTCCATCGACGGTACTAAAAATCTAATGCTCGACTAACGAGTCTAAAATTTCTATTAGTTAGTTGCGAACTAAAATCTGCCGAACTCTGCTGACGAAATACTCGTTTCTTCCTAAGTGGTTACGAACGGAAAAGTCTGGGTGCTTGACCGACACGTATTTCAAACGATAATGCTGCAGAGCAACGAGGAGAACGTGCAGTACCATCTCAAGCTACTTCGTAAAGTCCCGATATTCAAAGATCTACCAGAAGATGTGCTTCTAAAAATATGCGACCTAATAACAGTGGTACGTATGATATCGTGCAAAGAGTTGAAAAGATCTATGAAGAATATCTATTGCGTCCTTAGGAATTCTATCCTGCGAACTCGTACGTGATACGGGAAGGAGACTGGGGTACCAAGTTCTTCATCGTGAACTGTGGAAACGTGAGAATCACGGCGAACAAATCGCACGGGATGGAGGAGGAATTGACAATACTCAATAAGGGCGATTATTTCGGTGAAAAAGCATTGTACAGCGAGGACGAATCGCGCCGAAAGGCGAACGTCGTCGCGTTGCCTCCGGGAGTCGAGTGTTACACCATAGAAAAATCGTAAATTAAACAAAGGATTCGTTCTAGTACACACTAGAATCCGAGTGTCAAGCCTAGTTTATTTATCGTGACTATGTCTGTTCCGTGTCAGAGTGTTTCAGAATTATCTAGGCGGATTGGACTCCATCAAAAACAAAAACTGGCTGCATCACCAGGAGATGCACGTACCCGACGACTGGGATCCAAAGTTCCAAAAATTGACCTTGTCGGATTTAGTGGTCGAAGGAACGCTCGGGACTGGTGGCTACGGCAGAGTGGAGCTGGTAATCACGGAGTCTATGCCCTATACTAGCTTCGCAAGGAAGAAGGTAAAGAAGTACATGATTACACAGGGTGGCTTCCAGAAGATGATCTACAATGAGAAGAATAACTTGAGACTATGTAATTCGCCCTTCATCTGCAAGTAAGCGCAAAGAGGCTAAGGTCTATAAATCTAGATCAAAGAATCTAAGTTGAGTGTCCTATAGGACTTAGTTTAAATGTTTCTTGACCTACAAGGACCTTGTAAATAGCGATTATTCTAATCAGAAATATTAAAAATAAAACATTCATATGAAGATTAGATTAATTAGTTTGGAGTAATTCTTACAGGTTGCACAAAACTTTTAAAGACAAAAGATATCTCTATTTCCTAATGGAGGCGTGTCTCGGTGGAGACCTAAGGACAGCCTTGCACAGAAAGGGCAAATTCGATAATTCGTCAACCCGATTCATCATTGCCTGCATCGTTGAGGCCCTGCATCACCTTCACTCGCTCGGAATTATCTATCGAGACATGAAACCTGAAAACATTGTGATCGACAGCCAAGGCTACCTTAAGCTTGCAAGTTCCTCGATATACCTAGACCAAACTTTAACTATTTCGTGTTTCTAAGCTAATTTAAAAATTTATTTTACAGACCGATTTTGGGTCCAGCAAAAAGATTTGTGGTTATAAAACAAGAACTTTTGTAGGAACGCCGGAATACTTGGCTCCGGAAATTATTCAGAGCAAAGGATACAACGAGTATAAAAATTTTTATAAGGAATTTGTAATATTTTATTTTACGAAACGAATCTAACGAATGTCTGTTTCCTCTTAATAAAAAGAGCTGCTGATTATTGGACATTGGGAATCCTCACGTACGAACTACTTCTAAATCGAACACCTTTTCAAGATGTCAACGACATGGAAATGTACAACAAAATAATTGAAGGTTTTAATGAATCACTTGTACCGCCTATCGTGAAAAATACAGCGAAACAGTTCATCGCATCTCTGCTGCAGAACGATCCCGTTAAGAGATTAGGTTATCTGCGAAATGGTGTTGTTGATATTCGCAACCATAGGTATACGATCATGCAGCTACGAAATGTGTTTACTTTTTGTGAATTTATTGATTATTTATCGAACTAATTTCAGATGGTACCATTATTTCCCATGGCAGGAATTGCAGAAACAAACGATGCCTTCTCCCATTGTGCCGAATGTAAATACAAATCTATGAGGTTATGAAAAAACTCGGTGATCATCGAGGAACTATAGCTTGACGATAATTTAATTATTTACAGGTTAAGAATCACCTCGATCTAAGAAACTTCGACAGATGTCCACGCGATTATACAACAGCGCCAACCGATTTCTCCGACTGGGACACGAATTTTTAATTTAACATAAACTCACTACACAGTGTATTTTCTACTAGTTAATTTTGTACATAGATATTATGGAATTCCTTCAATTTGACAATATTTAAATTATAATTTTTACTTTGTACGAAAAGTTAAAATGTGTCTTATATTACTCACTTTGATACTTGAAGCTGTGTCGTAATATATACGCAATTACATAAAACGAAACAGTATTCTTCATTCATTCATTCGTCGATAGTAATTAAATGTCGATAGGAAAAATACACGTACCTTATTATCTGTAAAACTGCCATCTTACAAACACATTCTTGATACTTGTGCTCGAGGATGCCTCGGGTAAAAATTATGACTGCAAAAGATTCAAGACCAAAATTTAATTATCAAATGATTTATTATCGTTATACTTTTCCCTATTACTGTGCGAAGCATCCGTTTCTCGATATATCTCGATCTATCATACGATTCATAAATAATTTTACCAGTCGAAATATTTTATGATGTACATTTTAATATAAGTATTATGAGAGTTGTTCGTACACTTCGCGGATGAGACGCATCTGCAGTGTGACTCGTCAACGAGGGTCGTAAATCGTCTCGAATAAATTCGACACCTGAAATAATACGAAGTACTGATATCCCTACGTCCTGTTAAGTCGGTCGGAATTAATTAGGTTGAAATGATTGTTGGCAAAGTGTGACGAAAGAAGAATATACAGTGAGTGTAAAAAGTATTCGTACACTAGTCAATTTGAACAAAAACTTTGCAGAACTTTGTTTATTACAAAAGTATGTTAACAAAAACATACATACATATTCTTAGAAATCTCTGGAACAAATGTCATTAACAACAAATTATTTATTTATATTTATTATGAAAATATTAACAAATTTCCAGAAATTGGCGTGAAATATACGCGTAATAAGTATTCGTACACTTCTAAATTTACAACAAAAACTATAAATTTTAGTACATAAACGTAACAAAAATCAGTCTATTTGCTATTTTAGTATCTAGTGGGATTTCCTTTAGATTGTATAATCGCTTTAAGCCTTTGCGGCATTGAATTTACTAAATTTTTGGTTATAGTACTAGAAATTTTGTTCCATTCCTCTAAAAGTGCATTTTTTAAATCTTGTTTCGAAGAAATGTGATGGTCTCGAATTTTTTCTTCAAGATGACTCCATAAGTGCTCTATCACATTTACGTCTGGAGACTGTGAAAGGATTTTTAATTGCTGCGGCACATTATATAGGATCCACTGACGTGTATTATAAGCATTATGCTTTGGATCATTATCTTGCAAAAATATATAATTGCCCTGTAACTGCATTTTATTTGCACTAACCTGAAGATGCTCTTTTAGAATATCGATGTACATTTTGTGATCCATGGATCCAAACTGTGACTGATCCTCCTCCATGCTTTACGGTCGCCTTCAAATTTCTTTTTTCGTACTCGGTATTTTTTTTCCGCCATACTGTACATCGTCCATCTGACCCAAATATGTTAAATTTACTCTCATCAGTAAATATAATACGGTTCCAGTGCTCCATAGGAACATTAACGTACTCTTTCGCGAATTGCAATCGTTTCTTTCTATTAATTTCATTTACGAAATATTTCTTACGAGCTACTCTGCCGTGATATCTTCTATCCCGTAAAAAATTACGCACTGTGCTACTGCATACATTAATGTCCAGATCATTTTTAAGTTCAGCTGTGATTTTCACCGCACTTATCTTTGGATTTTGCTTTATTTTTCGAATTATCCATCGGCCGGTATACTCATTTATTATTCATTTACGTCCGTTTCTTGGATAATTTTTTTCAGTTTTTCGATCGCCATATCTGTCGATGACTCCTTGAATCGTGGACCTTGGTCTATTTAAAACTTTAGAAATTTCACTCAGTGTTTTACACTTATTATGTAAATTTATAACAATTTTCCTTTCTTCTTCAGAGATTTCCTTGCGTTTTCGTCCCATTTTACTGATAATTTCGTTGATAATGTTTGAATTCGGGATACTACCTATACCGACAGCGTCTCCAGAGATGCTGATGCTAAGTATGTTTACATATCATGGATTATCTTGTAATCGTTCTATGTGGAATGTTACGAATCAAAGACTGTACGAATACTTATTACACGTATATTTCACGCCAATTTCTGGAAATTTGTTAATATTTTCATAATAAATATAAATAAATAATTTGTTGTTAATGACATTTGTTCCAGAGATTTCTAAGAATATGTATGTATGTTTTTGTTAACATACTTTTGTAATAAACAAAGTTCTGCAAAGTTTTTGTTCAAATTGATTAGTGTACAAATACTTTTTACACTCACTGTATTTATTTTGTTAGACACGGTAGTTGTAAAATGCAGAACAGAACAGTGTATGAATGATCGCGAACGTTGAGGATATTAATGTTTGAACGCGTGTTCGTGAAAATACTTTTGTAGTTGTTCTACTGATCTCGTGATATATTTGTTAAACTCTGATCTCTCGGCGATCGGGGCCCTGGCTATATACCCCTGGTCCCGATCGTCTTTTGGTTTTCCTTCGCGCCGGGTGCAAAAAGTCTTAGCGCATGCCGTGGAACATTCTCGGACCTTCAAGGACCGAGAATATTCCGCGATACGTGCAGTCAATCGATTTTGCACCAGGCCCGAATCGGTTGCACACGGCACCGTTTCTAACAATAAGTAATATATAAAAATATTTGCAATTTACTATTTACAGCCTCGAATTGCTGCTAATCCGTGTGCTATGGAACAAGAGTATTACCAATAAATTTACGAGGTTCTCCTGATGAAAGGAAGGAGAAATACAATCGGCGCTGATTCGATCTGATTGTGAGTCACGTAAGTAGTCTGCCCGCATTGACAAATTTCGACAAGTTTTTTTTCTGTTGAAGTGTTTTCCCGGAATTACCGTCCTTCCCAGAACTACGACCATCGTTCGTATCCTATTACCGAAAATATAAGGTCAGTGACACGAAACGGAAACGTTCTCAACGACTGTGAATATTTGTAAGATCTACTCTTATACCACGTCTGTAGTAGGAATACAGAACAATGGTAGAGATTGTTGAAACAAGCTAGACAGAGCAAAGGATATTATATGTATACATTAGTGTGTATTTACTAACCTTTATTAATATATAGACCTTCGGCAACATTCATATGTAACTTTTGTAAACATTTTATTCTAAAATATATAATTATCAACGATTTATGAAAACTTCTAACGTTATTAGTGCTCGCTTTATCGTCCAGATCTCGAGTAATCGATTCCTGAGGCTACGTCGATAACATTCATATTCGCTTCTCTTCGATCGATTTTTGAATTCCAAAATAAAAGCTCATGTACTTCGGCAGTTTTTATAATTAAACTTTTTAACTTTGTTTATTTGCTTTATAAATGCAAAACTATAAACATATTCCTATTGACAATACGCCGAAATTCATACGTATTCCGTGCATAGTAAAATAGATTCAAATTGTTCTTTTACTATACAATCTGTTCGATAAGTGGTCTTAATAGCATTGTTACTTTAATAAACACTAACTTGTACCTAGAGCGTGGTTTTAATGTAAATATAAATGTTATTTGTGTGTTGTGAAACAAATAAAGTGTCATAAGGCGAAAGAAGATTATCCATTGGGAGAGAAAAGGCTTATTCGTAGAAGTCCCAAACGACATCGTAACTGCAACAAAATGGGTAAGTATAACATACTACTATAATAAATATTTGAATGTTTATAAATTTGGTTCATCGACTCTTTTGAAGTATCGAAATATCAACTTGTTGGGCATTGCGCAAAGTATGCCGACAACTTCAGGTGGCGCACGATTTGGTGCACTTCTGTGCAAATAACCTCGTTACACCATCGTTCGAACGGTGGTAAATTTACAAATTTATATAATAAATAAATCACGCGTGCTGGATTAAATTCCATAGTCATGCTTTTACAAGAGTAATTTGACTAATATAGAAATTCCATATACGTAGTTTCGTACGCAGTTAATAAAGATAAGTCTTGACGATACGCCGTATTGGATTACAGTGTGAGAGAGACAAATATACACTACGTTTCTTAACAATACCAATAAAGGAAACACAATAGTTTGTAATGCGTTTACGCACATCGGCAAATACCGCTTGGGTATCAGTGGTGACAGGACCTAACTTAACATGAGGTGAAACTAGGTCTATAAAGATTTTACTTAATACATTTCAGTCTTTAGCATAACATACTCCACAATGGAATCCCACGAAAATGAACAGTACGTTACATTTCCTCTTTCTGGGGTACACGATGGTATACAAGATAATATTATATCTCATGAGGAGATATGTGAACCTGTTGATGAGTGTGCCCTTCAGGAAGGTCTTACAGAAGTATCCGTTACGGATGTCAATTCTGGTATTACAGAGGCACAAGTTGCTGTTGAAATTTTAACGGAACATTCTGATGAGGAAGATGAAAATCGTGTAGTGTATCCTATATACATTAAACAGGAAGAGCAACAGCAATACACATCTGGAGACGATGAATCTATGGCTGTAGAAGCCCTACGACAACTTGGTGGAATGTATCCATGTTTTGATGATAAAAAAGTATCTTGTCCTAATTGCACAAACCTTTTTACACAAACTGAGATGGCCAAACATCATACCACATGTACCCCTACTAAATTATCTTGCATGACTTGTGGGGAAAGATTTGAAAGGAAAATGGACTTGAACAATCATATGGTTTGTCATCAAGTGGATCGGCCGCATGCTTGTAGAGCTTGTGGTAATTTATTTCGTTCAAAAAGCAGCTTAAGGTGTCATATGTTAGAAGTACATCAAATAGAAAGACCTCACAAGTGCACAATATGTGGAGCAGATTTTCAGAGGCCTTCCAGTTTATCTAACCATATGAAAATTCACACGTATGTTGCTGGACGTGCCATCATGCAATCACAGGGTAATAGTATATCGCAATCCGAAGAAACATTTAGAAAATGGCCAGAAGATATGACTGAATCCCAAAATAACCAAGTGCCATCTTCATCTATACAAACTGTTCAGACTTACGATACAGTTAATTGGACAGTTCCATCTTATAATTTTCACAGTGAACAATCAACAGTAAATACTATATCCAGTCCTCAAGAAAAAATAGACACTCTACATGAGTTTACTGTGATGCCAAATGGAGAAGTTACACAGTTTGAATATACCCAGCAAAGTAATATAAATAACCAAGTCAATCAACAATACAATCTCTCTTTAAACTCATTCAATAATACAGATACAATGGTAAAAGTTGAAACATTATCATATAATAGTGAAAATAGAAGAAATTATGTAGGAATTGAAACAAATGGTACAAAGCAACATACTTGTAGACACTGTGGAATTAGTTTTTCTCGCGCAACAGCATTGGTGTCTCATGAAAAAATTCATGCATCTAAAAATTGGAATATGCCAATTGAATGTGAATACTGTGATAAACAGTTCCAAGATGGCAATCATTTAGCTACTCATCAAACAACTTGTGCAAAAAAGATAATGCAAAATAATATAGAGCAAGGTACACCTAATAATAAGTGGGGTAAACACTCGTGTTCCGATTGTGGTAAAAAATTTACAACTAAACAGAAAATGTTCAGGCATCAATGGATTCACAGAAAGAAAACACATTCCTGTGAGGTATGTGGGACACAGTTTGAAAAACAGAATCAATTGGACGAGCACAGATTATCAGCGCATCCGGGCGATTCTCCGTTTACTTGTACAGAATGTGGTAAAAGTTTTGTGTCTCGTCAGGGACTTTGGGAACATGGTAGAACACATGCTGGAAGTCCTGCCCATTTTCATTGTGACACATGCTCCAAAACATTTTCATCTAGACAGGGTTATTTAATACATCACAGAACTCACACTGGAGAGAGACCATATGGTTGTAAATTTTGTTGGAAAGCATTTAGAGATGGTGGAACATTAAGGAAACATGAGCGTATTCACACAGGAGAAAGACCGCATGTTTGTCCTCTGTGTTCAAGGGCATTCAATCAAAAGGTTGTTCTCCGAGAACATGTCCGATGGGTTCATGCAGCTGGGAAAAATGAAACTGAAGTAACTGGACCTCCTTTCTCTTGTCCCATATGCGGTGCTTTGAATCAAGATCGCGATGAATTATGCGCGCATATCGTTAAACATTCTGATCAAATGATAGCAGAAGCAAAAGCTAAAACAAATAATAATGCCCCAAAACCTAAGCCAGTTAAAAAAAAATCAAAAGTATCTCCAACTACTAGCTTGCAAGAAAAACAGGGGGCTGTAAATCGTATGATTTCTAAAGCTGAACAAAATGAAGCACTTTTGTCTATCACAGAAACGGATAAATCAGACGACCAGCAAATTTTAAATGATAAGCAAAATAGTACCTTTCTCGTAGTCACCACGGAAAAACGGAATGAAAATTATATTGCAATATCAGAACTTAAACCTGATAATGTACAATTGATAGTTAATGAAAAACAAGATGAAAATATGCATATTTCACAAATTAATCATAGCCATGGGGAATCTTTAAATATGATCACTATAGATAAACAGAACAATGCAGCTCATGTAGTTTCCATAAAACAAAAAGGAACCACACTCCATCCTACGACCAGTCATAGTGAAATAACTACAATGCATTTAATACAAACTTCAAAACAAAATAATACTTTGCACTTAATATCAAAACAAAACGAATCATTACCTGTTCTAACACTACCAAATCCTCAGGACCATGAAAACTTTTCCAGTCAAATTGCACAAATAAATAATAGCGATATACCTATGGATATGGTAACACATCATTCAACTAGACAAGATCAAAACGTGAAAGATCACAATGAAATTGGACAAGAATCATTAATGCAAGAGGGAACATCCCAGACAGCTGTAATACAAGTTGTACAGTATCATCAACACGAAAGCGACGACGGAGACGAATTAGTCTGTGGTATTTGTGGAGAAGATTTTAATGACAAAACTGTGTTGATGGAACATGTTAAGATTCATATATAATTACTGTTAATTTCTTGCTATCCAAGTTTGTGATATTCTTATGCTATTAATGTGACTGTAGGAAATAATGAACTTGAACACTTTTTGCATTGGAAGAAAAAAATGCTAAATACAGCTATTTAAGTATTATTTCCAACAATAGTAGTAGAGCACCAGTTTTCTATGTGTCCTAAAAATGCACTGATATTAAAACAGGGAATTTTCGATTATATTTATACATTTTTAATTAACACGTTTTTGATTTATGATTCCTTAAATGCTTTTGCACAGTTAGGTTGTACACTATACATGTGGTTAAATAATGTACATGTATTAAAATAAAATTGCATAGATGAAGATTTATATATTATGCAAAACATATTAATAGTTATGTTGAGGAAAAAGAAGAAAAACATATCGTAAAAAAGTAATTTGAGGTTTAAGTAGTTCTGCTTAATGCAGTTTTATAAATTGTTTGGTCTTTTGAATTCATGTATCGATTTATGATACGTAAATTATAACTGATCCAAATGCCGCATGTAATGTAAATTATGAGGTGCAATAAGAAAATAAAGTGCATTTTATTTTCTACATTTATTTTTTACTTTATATCACACTAAAACATATTTTTCTTTAGCGCATTAACAATTTTCAAGGTATACATTTACGTAATAATTGGCTCTTTTATGTTTGTATTGCCGCGCGCTTTTCCAACACAGAACTATGAAACAGTCACGTGTTGTTGCCGGAACGAAATACAAGTGCGCGTTATTGTACGAAATAAACAATTATATTTTGTAAATGTATTTTATAATTGTTATGTGACGTGATTGCATAATTTTAATAACCGATCATCAACGTTCGATTATTTGACAAGGTAAGTATCAATATTTACTAAACAATGATAAAAATAGGTTCTACATTCATGTGGTTTTGAATCTTACAAAATATGATATACTTATTTATTTATATTTAAAATTCACATTAACAATATAATGTGAATTATGATGTGCAACGGTTAATATTCCTGATAATTTGTAATTTAAGTTAAATGTTAACCTATACTTTGCATTACATTTGTCTCGCCTTTTTGTTACCAGTACGAGAAAGTGTTCAGCTAATGTCTGACGTGTTGTATTTTGAATTGAAACATAAAGAATACTTTATATAAATATATCACAATAATATAACAAAAACTGAATTTTAAATATAGTTCATAAGGTGAAAAAGATATATTTTAAAATAAAGAAGTTTTAACCTCAATCGTATAACGCGTGGATATCTGTACAAATTAAAGAGGTTATGTAGCCATTGCTTGGCTTTACCGGTCAAATAATTCTGAAGAAAACAGTACTGAAATAAAATAAAAAACCTTACACGAACTTTTAATCAAAACGCGCAAATATGCCTACATGGAATCAAATTCAAGCTCAACTTCGAAATCCAAACAATCCGGTGGTATTTTTCGACGTGTCTGTGGGTACTACTGAAATTGGTCGAATGATTTTTGAACTTTTCGAAGATGTCTGTCCAAAAACATCTGAAAATTTTCGACAGTTCTGTACAGGAGAGTACAGGAAGGATGGTGTACCTTTAGGTTTCAAAGGTGCCATTTTTCACAGAGTTATTAAAGATTTCATGATTCAAGGTGGGGATTTTGTAAATGGTGATGGTACTGGAGTCATAAGCATCTATGGGGGTGGAACATTCCCTGATGAGAATTTTACATTGAAACATGACTCACCTGGATTATTATCTATGGCTAATAGTGGTAAAGACACTAATGGTTGCCAGTTTTTCATCACGTGTGCAAAGTGTAATTTCTTAGATGGTAAACATGTTGTTTTTGGAAGAGTTATTGATGGACTCCTTGTTATGAGAAAAGTGGAGAATGTTCCTACAGGACCAAACAATAAACCAAAAATTCCTGTGACAATATCACAATGTGGACAAATGTAATAGCTAATGTAATATTAATTTATATTTTTATAAAGAATGTACATGTAAAATACAAAAATTTGTATTATATTTTCATAGAGTAAAAATGATGTTCCAATGAAATACCTTTTACCAGTTTGTAAATGTTTACAGGAATTATACTTGAGGAATAATTAGAAGCTATATTGGTAATTAATGATGTCTGTAATTACAGATTCACCCTAAAGCTATTTGTATTTTATCTTGCCTCTAGGTATCGTATAATTACTTATTAATACAAATTGGCTATCAGGACTTACTTATTGCTACTTAATATCTACTTATACAGTTTCAAAAGTTATGAAATTACACTTCTATTAATGAATTGATAATAATACGAAGGTATTAACTGAAACTTCATGCACGATGCAGATGAAATCAATTGAAAGAATTTATTGTTTTACGAACTTCGATTTTATTACGTTAGATTTACATACGAAATAAATATTCCATTTCACAATTTACACGATATTAAGCTGGATAAAAATCCAAACTCGTTTAGAGAATTAATACAATCTATGACTCGGTTCAATTTTTTTGGAGGTGAAACATCCAAAGTGAAGACGCACATATGTACGTACGTATGTAGTACGTGATCTAACTCTATACTTAGTATCGATTGACAATAATTCCAACCGTAAAATTTTAGGTCATTCTTTCATATTCCGATACAACGATCTATTCAGAAACTATTATATATATATATGTATATATATACATACACAGTTCGTTCATTAAATAATTTAACGTCGTGTCTCTAAGATACAATCGATGTACTTAACAGTGAGTCTTATTTTTGCACAACTACGTATTAATTTCTAACATGTTTTTAATTGTTACACGAATCGATAAATTGCTTATTCTATGTACAATTATTTCATTTTCATTCCATTCGATACGAAACAATTATTTTAACGTCCCGGGAAATACATCCAACGCATTTACAAAACGATTGCGATTCCCGCGTGTGCGAAACGATGATTATCGTCGGTGCACAATCACCGTATTCGATCGATTGCGGCATAAATACGAAAATAAAATTCCAGTTGCACTTACGTTGCGTAAAATCGTGCATGGAGAGGCAAATTTTCCCAAACGATTTGCCAACGTCTCGTAAAAGGTCCGACATCCTCGGCAAATCGTCAAAAGACATCTACCAGCGTCGCGTACGATCAGCCTACCGATACTCTACATCAAAAACACTATCGTGCAATTGTAACATTCTCAAAGTTATTTACGTCTCTCAAGTCGAACCACCGTTACCAGCACCGCTTCCTGTAAAACAATTATATATTCTCGCAGCTGCGACATGCCAGACAAGAACGGCCGGTTTCGAGAGCCTTCCCTATCACACAAATCACGAATCGTCCGGATATCATCATCATCGGGATCGTCACGACCTGAAACAACATTACACCGATCATCATCGTCAGCAGCTCACGGCAATGATAGCAACTGGTCCCTCCTCTTGGGCACCGTGAGCTGTGGCGCGGTCTACCTGCTGTTGCAGAAAACGTCTTCCTCAATGGTCTCGACCTGCGAGTTATCGTCAACGACCATGATGGGCGTCGCGCCGTCGTGGAGGCTCGACTTCGAGATGGACCGTTTGTAAACGTCCCTGGTGACGCTTCTGGTAAAGCTGAACTTCCGCACCAGCTTCTTGTCCAAGGCTGCTGGACTTTTCGGCCCCTTCGCCCGGAACTCGTCCTCTGTGCCCTCGTAATGCGCCAGCATCACCTCCGTCGCGTGTTCCTCGATCACGTCCACGGCGTAATCGATGTCGTCGTCGGTGGCGTTCTCCTTGATCACGCAAAACCTCAGTATGTACTTGCCCATCACCCTGGCCGGTATCATGTGAAGTCTACCGGACGCGTTGATGTTCGCCAACAGCTCCTGATTGATCTCGTCGCTCTCCTTCAGTCTGAAGCAAACCAGACCCACCCTGACGTCGTTCGTGATCTCGAACCTTTTGTCCTTCCTCATCAGCGTCTCGAATCGTCTGGCGAGCCTGATGTGGTTCCTTATGTACTTCTGCAGCCCGGTGATCCCGTACGATCTCATCACGAACCACAGCTTCAATGCCCTGAAACGTCTGCTCAAGGGGATGCCCCAGTGTCGATAGTCAATCGACTCGCCCGACCTGGCGTGCTGCAAATACAAAGGATCGACGACCAGTGCCGACGTGAGCTTCACCCGATCGCGCACCCAGAGGCAGGAACAATCGAAGTTGACCAACAGCCACTTGTTCGGATTCGTGTTGAACGAGTCCGCGTGCTCGATGCCGGCCATCAGCGGCCTCATTTCCGGGCAGATGAAGGCGTTTCCAGCGTAAGCGCCATCCACGTGCAGCCAGACGTTGGGATAGAGCTTGCACACCGGACCGATCTCCACCAGATTGTCGAACGCGCACGATCCCGTGGTTCCGAACGTGGTGGAGACGAAGAATGGCACCAGACCGTTGGCCACGTCCTCGCGGATCGCGGACTCCAGCCGTTTGCCGCGAAGTGAGCCTTTCTCGTCTGGCTCTAGGACGCGAAGCTTCACCAGGCCGATCATCGCTGCCTTTTCCACGCACGAGTGAGCCTCCGTGGAACAGTAGGCCACCAAACGCGGCAAAAAAGCCGAGTCCTCGGTGTTCGGGTCCTGTTCCTTCAGGGTTCGGATCGCTTGGGTGCGCGCCGCCAGCATCGTGACCAGAATACACTCGGAGGCAGACCCTTGTATCACTCCGCCGCCCTTCGAGGTCTTGTGCTCGGCCAGGAACCCCGGCGGAAGGTCTATCGCTTTGGCGTACCAGTCGAGAACGATCGTTTCCAGTTCCGTGCAGGCAGGGCTGGCCGCCCATGAAAACCCTATGCAGCCGATCGCGTCGGACAACATGTCCCCGAGGATCGAGGGGAACGAGTTGCCCGCTGGAAAGTACGCGTGGAATCGTGGATGTTGCCAGTGAGTGATCTGGAAAATAACGGGGACCCATCAGCGAAAGGGGTTGGTCTAATTTGATTTCTAAAAATTTACTTGGACTGTGTCTGTTTTATTTCAAACACACGTAGTTAAAAGGGAAATTCGCCGAGGCCATCTTTAAACCGTGAAACTCAGCGGAAAATTTGTGCAAGGGACAGATGCCCGACGCATCGATGTCACCGTCTCGAATGCATCTTTACCGAGTTTTAAAGAGATTTTGATCTTCGTTCTCTGATCTGTTGTGTTTTTGCAACGATAGTCTGGGAGGCATTGTAGTAAGCTATTTGCATACACGATTATTTCTATATTTAATATATATACATATATGTTTTCTTAAAATCACCGTATAATATGAAACATTTTATTTTCATCAAATTTACAGGTCGCTTCTTCGATAATTGTTATACAGAATGGAACATGTAAGATAAGTCACTCAGAGAAGCTATTTATTTTTAAAGATAGAAAAGAATGTGGCAGAAGTTATTTAATTTCATGGAGAACGTAGTGTGGTAACGCTTTTTTTGGTTCCAGGTAAAAGTGCCGAGGACATTGCAATTTAATATTTAAAAGCGTTGGGGGAAATATGCGAAGAACTCACTGCCTTAGGACAATATTCACTTCGAAACGAATGACAAATTTATAAAAAAAATCAACGATGTTGTAACAATTAATAGGTTAGATTATAAATCTTGAGGTATGGTATTCATGGCCAGAGGGCGTTGATAGCTGTCTTAACAAGACAATTAGTCTGATTACTTAATTGCTGAACCGAGTCGTTGCGCGTCGATTTACGGCCGCTTTGCTTTTTACTATTTTTTCGTGTTCGCGAATATTATTAACATCAAAAGAGGTCGGAATCAATAATCGAGCCACGGCCGGCACTCACCCCGGGCATTATCTTGCATTCGACGTCTCGCATTATGGCGTCCCATGCCTCCCCTTTCGCTGGCGCCTCCTTGGGCAGAAGGGGCCTCAGGTAGCCGGGGTCCACGTTCGCAGTCACCCTTTTCCCTTCCAGGGTGCGAAGGTACTCGCAGATGTACTCTATCATCTGCTTGCCGCGTACTTGAAACTCATCGATGTTCATGGTAGTCGCCGGCTGGAATAAAATTTCGAGCAAACGATGCAATGCGTACAATCGAGCACGTATTTGACGAACGTGTACGTGATCGCGGCAGTTTTCGGCGTCTTTTATCGGGACGTGAAATTAAATAAACGTCACTCGCGGAATACGTTGTGACGTAGAAAATAATTTGAACGAAACAGCTTTTGTATTCCCAGATTTTGATGCCCAGTGTCCACTGAGAATGTTCTCTAGTAGACACAGATATTTACAGTAAGGATTTTTTCACTTATTTTCGATATCCCAAGGGTAAAACTCCGAAGTGTAGAACGTCTATGAGAACTGGTGACTACCATGCGATAATTTCTGAAAGCTTTGCATTGGTCAATGATAAAGAAAATAATGTACAAATTTGGTAGATAGAGTATCAAAAACTTGAGAACTGTTTTTCGTACGAAACTCCGCGTCTCTATTTACAGTAAAATCGTAAAAGGCATTTCTTATCAAATATAACCGTTCAAATATGCATGTTCAGAATTTTAGTAAATCGTGTGTCTCGAGTAGCTTCGAAATCGATTTTCTGGAAAACGAAACCACGTATGTACAAGGAACTTCTGATCCGCGTTTCTGATTAATTTGTCCACGTAGAATCACTTGCGTCTAGATTCCGAAGCCGTTTAGATACGTCGTTTCATCACTGAATACCGCTAGAAAATGCTTTTCTTCGTCTGTTTGTCGCTTCGACAACGTTGATCGGGTTGTCATGGGTCCCGAGTGATCCAGCTTCGGTCTCTAGCTACTCTGTATATTTTCGATCGTTTCACTCACGTTTCTCTATTATCGGACGAAAAACTGATCCACTCGATGCCTCGGTTACTCGTACGCCGCTGTTCGAATCGTTGTGCGCGACTCGGCTTCGGAGGAAACGCGTAACAGGTATGCCCCGCGTCGTAACAGAGACTGGTAGCACCGGTCAAAGCGCCGGTCAGTTTTATTGCGCGCCTCCTCTTCGTACATCCCTGCTTCACGCGGATAAACTTGAGGCGGTGCTCCGGCGATCGTGAAAAATTTTAATTTACCTGCTTCATTCTAGCCCGCGACGCCGAGCGTCCACCGTGACGGTTATCGAACGTATCGTCGCTCGAAAATGGAGCAACGCCGTTCACCCTCTCGCAGAAACTTTCGCAAGGCATTCGAACTGATCGAATTCTCATCAAATTATAAACATCCGACGGTGTTTCTGAACTCCAGTAATAGACAGTTCAATTCACCTGAAACATTTATATCGCCATTTCTTCGAGTCGAGAAGACGTCGTTAAAGTCCGACGCGTTTCACGCGTTACTGTTCGACCTGGTTCGCGGAGAACCGCGGGGAAAACATTTTCCACGCCACCATGAGCCCTTTTATCGACCGGCCCGATGGTGCTATTTTAATTGTTGAAAAATCGATTCACCCGGCGCGAATCGATCCCGAAAATTTGAACGAAAATTCGCGAGAAGGGTGGCCGGCATCAATGGCGATGCGTCGGGGATGGGGGGTCGGTGCTTGAATAAGCCAGCGTGTTGTCGATGATGCACGGGGAGTAAACTCGCCCCCTCCTCCCCCGTTTATAAATAGACGTTTACTCTTCACCTACATTTACAACACCCCGTAGGGAAGCGGTGACAGGTCACCGCTCAATCTTTGTAACACACACATGCAGACCGGCGTGATCACCATTTTCTCTCGTCGCCACCTTCACGCATGATCTGCTCGCGTCCGTAGCTTTCGAATTGGATTCTCGGCCGAGGGTTGCCGATCGCCGCGTTCGAATTAATTAATTTCACCAGCGACGGGACCCTTTTCTATATTCGAAAACGATTCGCTTAAACGCGAACGCTGATAACGAACCTCCAACCGCGTCGCCCAAAACAATTAGGGTTTCGCTATTAGTGACAAATTGGAATATTAGAGATAAGAGGAAAAGAAACTACTATCAACGCTTATTCCGGTCAAATTTCGACGTCCCAATTTATGGTATTAGCTCAAAAATAATATCTTAGGTATTGAATTAGTAACAGAAAAGAAAAACAAACTTTGTGAACTTTCATTGTTTTTTTTTTTATTAACACATTTCTAAATGTTGTTACGATGTTCTTGAAAGGTCCGTATGACAGTGAAATGTACTTTTTACAGCCCGGAAATATTGTTTTTCGTAAAGATTATGTTGGCAATGATTTTATGGACTAAAACCTTGGCTTTTCCAACGTAATAAAAAATTTATTTCGGTTTTTTAATACGTCAGTCGTGCAGATGCTAATCTCGAATGATAGAGACTTTATACTATTGGATATTATCGCATCAACCCAATCTTCTGGCAACTCGACGCATAAAATGTTCATGTTGCAAACGCTATTATACTTATTCGTTCCGTATTTCGTAAACGAAGTCAACTCTTCCAACCTACTTCTTTCACTGGTAGCAAAGGTACTCTCTGCTTCTAACTTGTACATATAAATAATTCTGCAAGGCTAGATACGTCTGTAACTGTGTTTCAATATTTCTGTATCACTTAATGATATCGAAGCTAAAAAAAAGTATACGTTTAAACATCTTTCCAACTCAGAAGATAGACTACCTTTTTTTAATAGACAGTTACCAGAATTTACTATGTGTTTCTATATAAAATACCCATAATGTGTGTTACCAGGGGTTGCGGTATTCTAATTGAAGCAAAGGAATTGTTTCGCCGTTGTAGCGATTCGTCGTGTACCCAATTACTCAACATTCCCCGACGCGATTATGCTTGCGCGCGTTTCGCTTGGCTTAGCATCTTTCGGCGATCACGTACTCGCGCGGGACAGTCGTGACATGTTTTGCGTAAACTAATCGAAAGCGTGAATTAAAATAGAATTGGATCAATGTCATGGATACTTGGAACATCGAACGCGAAAGAATAAAGAACGTGGCCGAATGAACGAACAGAATCCAGGTGCATCGGTCACCCTAGTGACCCCAACCTTTTCGTTCTTGGGACGAACGGAACTCTTTATGACCTTTTTTTCATATTCCCGTGATGCGAAAGTTTCCCCATTTTCGTTTCCTTTTTTCTCATTTTTAGCCTAATTTGCGCGCGCGATCAACGGCGGCGACCCGTGCTCCGAGGGAACGGTGTAATAATCAGAACGACGTTTCTTTACTTCTGAAATCATTTACTATTGACGTAATGCACGTCCTTTGTATATGTATATAGGTGTGTATGTTACAGGTGTGCCGCGTGGAACATGATTCCGTCGCGATCCAAACAGAGCACATTTATATAAACAGATCGATAAGCAAGTAAAGAAGATGTACTTGTATTTATCGAGCGCCTCTTTCGTTGGCGCGTTTGAGCTACTACGGTCGTCGGGGACGCGAAATTTATTCAACAGCTACTACAAAGTTCGAAAAACCTCTAATGAAAGACGCAACGAGAATTGATGCCGGGGGACACACACATATTTAAACGAGCCATCGATCGATTTCAACTCCGTTCGTCGTCTGTTCGCTGAGCAATTCGGGGATGTCCTTCTCGGTCCACCTCCTCGTCGATTACCGTCGGCAGTATCTGTTCGCAAAAATTCCATTCTTGGTCGATGCACCTGAAGAAATCTTAGAAAATAGCTGGACGATTTGGGGATTGGGGCGCTTTACGCCCTGCCATTAGGCGATCTTCCGCGAGACGGTGAACCGGAAGGCGATGGCTCGGGGCTGCAACCGTTGCTACTGCCGCGACGACTTCCGGTACTGCCTGCCTTCAGGCGCACCATAGTGTCCAGATGACGGAATCTGAAAGAACTGCCTCGTAAGTCTGTGTCTAAACCGAAACGTGTTCACGTCAGGAATAAAAATACCTGAGAGATAGTTCGCTCGTATCAGCAGAGTCCTTCGCTTGCATCAAGTAGGCCAATGGCCACGATATCCACGAACGTCTGAAACCACGGATATTGGATCAGTGATTTTACCTAATCAGTCATCATTTTTGCTACAGTAAAGTGTTCGAGTCTTACGACGCGGGATGAGGATTCGATCCAATGCCACCGATCGTTGCCTGCGTGTCCAATTTCACGCCCGTCCTGTTCGGGGTTTTCGTAAATCCTGGCTGAATCGCAGGATCGGACACCATGCGGACGAAGAAGGACCTCCTTTGCTCCAAGGTGGCTTTCCTTTTCTTCTCGCGGATGTCTGCCAGCTCATCCATCACGTCCTGTAATTCAACAAAAGGGCATGAGTACTTTGAAGATTCTTAGAATCTGGAACAAGAAGGATCGTCTTGCTCACCTTGGACTCCAGTATTTCGGACAGATAGTCCGTTATGATGCTCCACGCTATGTCTACAATAAACAGATAATCGAAAGTTAATGCACGTAAAAATTGCGACAAAGGAGCAAAGAGATTACACACCGACGTCATTGCCAGTGGCATTTGGCGCAGCCAGCGCAAAACGAATCGTAAAGCGTTGATTCACTCTCGCTGGCACCATGTGCAGTTTCCCGGAATCGTTGATAGTACTCAAGAGCTTTTGGTTCAGCTTGTCGGTGCCCTTGGCGCGAAAGCACACCAATCCCAGCTAAAGTATCAAAGTAAATCGTGTATAGAATCGATACCGATGGTAGTAAATCACAAAGATCGTGACTCACCACAACTTCGTTGCAAACTTCGAATCTCGAGTCCTTCTTAACCAGGGCCTCGAACCTTTTCGCCAACTCGATGTGGTTACGGATGTAGGCCTGCAAGCCGGATATCCCGTAATTTCTCATAACGAACCACAGTTTCAGGGACCGAAATCGTCGACTCAGCGGTATGCTCCAATGTCTACGGTAAAGTTAAAAATTAATTTTGGAAAATGGTAGCTTGTATTGTAATTGTACCAAGAACGATTGTATTATTTCCATTAAAAAAATGTGAGAAAAGTATTCGATACCAAGAGTGGGAACTTTAAATTTCAGAACAGAAGTGGATTTAAATATACAGTTAGGAAAAGAGAAGGCTCAATCGAAGAAACTGAAGTGCTATGGATATATAAAATCCGACCAAAAGGGCACTCCAAGCGTCACCTGTAATCAATGGCCGTGTCCGCGTGAGTGTGCTGAAGATAAAGCGGATCGACAACGAGCGCGCTGGTCAGCTTGAACCTGTCCCGGACCCAGAGGCAGGAACAGTCGAAGTTAGTCAATAGGAATTTATTGGTGTTCGTGTTGAAGGAGTCCGCGTACTCGATGCCAGCCATCAGATACTTGAGCTCCGGGCAGATGAAAGCGTTTCCCGCGTACGCTGCGTCCACGTGCAACCACACCTGCAAAGAGGAATCTTAATTCTTCTGAAAGAAGAACGATCGAGGACTGATCGTACGCCTGGATATTTCTTGCAGACTGGCCCTATCTCCTTGAGGTTGTCGAAGGAACAGCAAGCGGTCGTCCCGAGTGTCGTGGAGACGAAGAAGGGGATGTATCCCTCGGCTGTGTCAGCCTCGATTGCCTGACGATCATCAAAGAGTTGTTAAAATATGGACGATACCATTTTCAGCGCATTTTAATATGCAATCACGTGGTCCGCGAAGTCTGCGAAGATTACAAAGAGAATTTTGTATAGCTCGTCACGGTACCTGACGCAAAGTTTCACCGCGAAGCACGCTCTTCTCGTCGGGCTCCAGAATTCGCAGCTTCACAAAGCAGATCATCGCGTCTTTCTCGACGGAGCTGTGACTCTCCCGGCTGCAGTAAGCCATCAGCTTCCCGAGAAGGGCAGTTTCGTCCAAGTGTGCATGAGCTGGCGACTCCTTGAGCCTCGCGATCGCCTGCGCCCTTGCCGCCAGCATGCACACCAGGATGCATTCTGAGGCTGAACCCTGTGGTACGATTCGCGAGAAAGAAAATTGTTAAATATTCCGTTTGACGAGGATCGTTTTATAGGAGACCGAGAAGCAACTTTGTCTATGCAGGTTCAAAATTAAATTTTGAACTAAAATGAAATTCTCTTTGGTTACCTTATGAGAATATTACGGCAGCGCCTGTGTAAAATAGTTCGTTATCGAATGCATTTTTTATTAGACTTCAACGTTTCGACCTGAACGAAGGAACGTGATTGCAAACAGTGTTCCAATTTTGAAAGAATAATTCATAAAAGGGAAACATAGAGTTGAGATTTTACCTGTATTACACCCCCTCCCTTACTACCAGGGTTAAAGTAAAGGAAGTCCGTCGGTAGACCGATGGCTTTGCCTGAAATTCAGATGATATTTTGAATGCTCGAATCGTTTCCCAAGATTTACGATCAATTCGAAGAAGCTGAATTACCAAACCAATCGCACACTATCGTCTCGAGCTCCGTGCAGGCTGGACTGGCCGCCTAGAACAAATAAGACGTCGAAATCTACGGTTGATCGGACAAACGAATCACCGATCGATCAGTCAAGTTTGACAGAGTGGCGTTCAGCCCTGAACTTCGCGAAAATTGAGTGTAATTATCCGATCATAGAAGAATAATTTTTCTCTAATAAATCTCCGGCTCACCCATGAGAATCCAATGCAACCTATGGCGTCCGATAGCATATCGCCAAGAATAGATGGAAACGAATTTCCGGCCGGGAAGTACGCGTGAAACCTCGGATGTTGCCAGTGGGTGATCTGCAAAAATGGTCCCTCGAGTTCTGGACATCGAATTTTTATAAAAAATTCTAAACGACCGGTTCTCTTCGCTTACTCCGGGCATGATTTTCGACTCTACGTCCTTCATAATGTCCTCCCAGGCCTCGGGCTGCTGGGGTGGCTCCGAGGGTAGCAACGGTCTCAAATATCCGGGTCCAACGTCCGGTGTTACTCTTCGGTTGTGGATATTGCTCATAAACTCGCAAATATATTCCACCATCTCCTTGCCGCGCGCACGGAACTCCTGAATATCCATGGTGGTCCGTTTCACTTCCTACCAGCGGTACCTTCTGATCAAATTACATATCGTTTACTCGCACGATTTTCAAACTTTGAACCAAGAAACGCGAAATTCTTGGACTTTAACGAATTACCTAACACTGATCTTACTTCGTCACTTTACTCTCGACACTGAAGACTTCCGGTGGCCCTCGTCCTGTTCACTGCAGGCACAGGCACTGTTCTTCTGATAAGAAAAATTAGCGATCGTTCGAATGGTAAATCGTTGGAGGGAATTTCGTGGTCCCCGGTGCGTCGTCCTACCTGTTGCTAGTCACAGCGAGGAGGATTGCGCGTCCGATCGGTCCACGTTGTACGAGCCACGACCGAACAATCCCGAGTTTCGCTTATCAGCGCGGATATATCGAGGATCTCGGCAGCGAGAAGTCTTGGACTCGTGCGCAAACGCGTCCTTCCACGAGGATCTTCCTCGCGGAACCCCGTCGAAAGGACGAGCGGGAGAGGTGGGCGGATCTATGCACGGTCCGGGGCAATTTCCGTCAAGGGGATGCTTGAAATAGACACGCGGGAAGTCATCGTCTGGCTGAGCCATCGCGAGCTCATTTTTGTCGTTCCTTGCGGAACTTTAACGACCGTCACGGCCACCGTGGGACGATCGCACCGGTTATAATACAGCTTTCGATCCGCCACGATTCCCCGTAATATCCGTCGTAAACGACGAGATCTCGCTACCGTGAAGCGACTTCGACGAAAGTGGCTCGCGGAACTTCATTATTTGTCGAGTCCCATACTGATTCTATCGCGCAAAGACGCAAAACAGAGAATTAAGAGTACGCGTTACGCGATGAAATAAGCAAGAGGGGTACCCCAAACGCTGAATCATCGAAAAATCCCGCGAATTCGTGATCTGGGGAAGGATCTCAAGGGCTGAATTTCGATCGACACGGAATTCTATTCTCTTCGACGAGGAAACTTCTCGAAACGGTTCTTCGTCGTTCATTCGCGACCGAGGCATCGAGCATCTTCGGTACGAAAGAGTTGGCCACTCGAACAAATTGGAAGCGGTGCTTCCAGCAGCAGCCCGCGATGGTTTATTACGGTGGGAAAAGAGCGCGTAGGCATCGTTAAGAAGGTGTCAGACGCAGAATGTCTCCGCTACTCAGGCTCCCGCTGTTGATGATGGTGTACCGAAAGCAGTCGGAATCCTTGACCTTTTCCCCGCTTTTTTCTTTTTTTTTTTTGCAGAAACCGCGGCACATTAACGATATCTCCGCATCGTCGACTCGAAATTAGATTCTTTCGTTCCCCGGATCGACGCGAAACCGAACAAAAAAGTACCTTTCGGGAACGCGACACTTGAAACTTATTCACCGACGGTGAGCAACGTGGCTCTAGAATCGGACGAGTCACCGACTACCCCTTTTATCGTTCAACTCGGTTCTTTAAATATCGGTTAGAGGTTGCGAGAGTCACTATTTAACGATGCAGACTCGGTGACCACGACTACCTGTGACCACACGCTAGACACGTAGATACGAAAGAACGATATAGGCCAAATAATGATTTCTGCCTAGGTGCGGAACTAGGGGTAGTTCCATGGAAGTTTACGGTTAAATGTTTAAATGGAATCGATCGCTTCGTGGATGTCACTGTCTGCCTAACGAAGTTTAGGGCTGCGTATATAGTGGATAGAAAATTTATGACGTCTGTAATTTCGAATTATAATTCTCAAGATTTATTATAGGGTTATAGCATAATACCTGCCTCGTTACGGTGTCCAGAGACTTAATACGCCGTCTTCAAAGCCGGTATACGTAGTTACACCCTTCGTTAAGAAAAAACCGTGTCGTTCGTGATAAACAAGGTTTTATCGGTCTACTGGAAACAGAAATAATAGAAGGAGGGGTGGATATGGTTCAACCAGTAGAAAGGTCGGTTTGAAAAAGAATTTCGACTCGTATTCGGTCAGAAGTTTTAGTCGGTCCACGTATGTCTGACCCTAAGCAAAAATTACTCGACACTGTCCACATTCTACTTCAGGCATGTAAAACGCGCGGCCCACTTGACCACATTATGAGCATTATTATTTGCTCGGTCTTTCAACGGGTTCACTGTTACCCCATTTGTTCAAATTATAATGCCAAGAATAGAAATATTCGATAATTCAATGGTGTACTTGTTGTTCTTTCACTGATGTTATAAAATATTTTTTAGAGCTCGAGTCTCCCGTTTCTTGGGACTGTAGACGTGTCTCAGGAATTATTTAACCGATCGATTTGAAATTTAGTGCACATGTAGAATAGATATCTATTTATAGATCTTACCAGTCTACTGGTAGATAAATTTTTTATTTTTTACTGCTCAGGCTCTAGACTCCCGATAGCCGAGCTATCGTCTTCGACCCTCGCCACGCCTCTTCCGATTCTTCCATAATATCCATGAGTCCTCGAATTAGTGTAACGAACTCGAAAGTAGCCAGTGGCGAGGCTGTTCGTCGGGCGGTTCGTGCCGCGTGAGGTGAAACGACGCCCTTTAGGGATAAAAACGTTCATAATGCTGGAATGCAGAGGCGAGGGACTGCCAGGGGTGCTTAATAATGCAATATGGCGTCTTAGCGTCGCGGCGCTATGCCGGCTATGCCGCATACCACCACCATATACGCCTACACAGCGACCCCCTTACGCCCCTTGGAAGAAGCAACCAGGAGGGGGATGTACCGTGCAATCGAATGCTGATTGGAAAATATCGATGCGGCTTTCCGCAACGAGGAACCCTCCCCCGACCGTCAGGTGCTTTTTCCAAGCTCGCCTCGGAATTCCAGAAATTATATCGGACGCCAACTTTCGAGGAACGTCCCACTTCCTGCGTTAACGATATTAATTGATCATCATCGAAACGAGACTCATAGGAGTCGCGATCGTCGAAGAGTCGTTCGAACGATCTCGATACCGTCTGATCTCACGAGGAATACTATTCTCATTTAGAATTTCAAGTTTGTAACATCTTATAAAAAAAACTCAGCGACCCTCCAGCGACCCTCGTTTTAGACTTTATTAAGATTTATACCTGCATCATCGTCAGAAGGAAATTGTCACTGAATCGACCTAAAAACAAAAGAGTCAAAATTGAAGATCAAGTTCAACGACCCTAGTAATCCACAAAGATTTAAGTTCACATCACCATGAAGGAACCTTCATCAGGCAGAATGTTCTGTGCAAGACTGTACAAGGTCGATCCAAGTTCCATGAATGGTTCTGGTGGTGCTTGCGAACTCGTGACCTACTGGTAGAGAGACGTGGTGTCTCGCTCTCACTTAAACCTTAGACCATTCCTGCTATTATTTTTCGAAGAAACCCGAGGAAGATCGTCGAAATTGTCCACGAAGTCGATATTCCGAACCAAGAACGATTAACATTGCCGATTTCGTTCTTTCAGATGGGTAGATCAAAGTTGAAGAGAAAGAAATGGACGAAAAACTTGGAGGACGAGCCAGTAGACTCAGGGGTACCGATACCGAATTTACCGGCGAAGTTTCTTCTGATGCACGTACGTTACGCTACGACGAAGAAACGATAAACAGAAATTTCGATATTCGATCGTAGCTTTTCAGGTGAAAAGCGGCACGAAGATCAGAAACGTTCTTGGACACGCGTTGAAAGAGTTTCCGAATTACGGAAGCGTCGTGTGGACCGCGGCGGGCCAAGGGGTTGGAAAGGCCATTTCTTGCGCGGAACTGTTTAAGAAGAAACACGAAGGACTGCATCAGATCACGAGATTACGTTACGTTCGGTCAGTCGTAGAAACGGGGATCGATGGAGATGCATTTTTATTTGCGATTAACCGGGGTGTGAGTTGCAGGTCAAAGAAGTCCGAAGCGGAGAACAAAAATGGCGCGAACACGGATACTCGCCACGTGCCGGAAATACACATTTTACTGGCGAAAGAAATAAAAGATACGTCCGAGTCTGGGTATGATTAACATCTTCTTACTTTCGATATCGGTTTACAGTGGTTTTTCATCGTCGCGTGCGAATATAGTTATCAGGCGCCCGACGATCGCGGAGAATTCGTGAACGATGAAGAAATGAAAAACACGAGGAAAGGTAGGGGACACGAGGCTGGTGGTAATGTGACCTGCATCGACGCCGAGGAATTCGCGGCAATGGGATTGAGAATCGGTCAGAAAAGACCAAAGAAAGAGCAGCAGGCGGAAGCGCCGCCGAGGAAAAATAAAAAGCGGAGAAACAATGATCGATAACGAAAGACAGAAGAATATTGAACGTCGTTGTAAAAAATTAAAAATAATTTAAAATACCCTATTGACGAGAATAACAAGTGTTCCTTTAATACAACCGTCTCCTCTGAAAGTATTATTGCACTTTAAAATATTGCAAAGTATTCTAACGTTTGTTAACGGTCCACAAAAATAGAACGAACATTCGTATTAAGTAGAAAGTTTATTCCTTGTCGGTACACATACACATTCGTTACAGAAGTAATCGTACAACGATATATTCCTGTCATCTCGGTCTCTCCGTTAATGAACGTACATATTTCAGTTCTTATTTACAAATCATATATACAATGGTCCAATAAGCGTGCAAGAACATCGAAAACTATACGTAATACATAGTACGATCATCGAAGTGCCTTCTGTGAAAATTCATTTGCAAACCGTAATAGTGCACACTACGATTTCAATAACAGTAAATTAAATTAAACAACCCGTGTTGAGTAGCCTTTGAATATTTATTATTCTAGAGCTACTTAACATAAGTTAAATAAATTAAACTGTTTAAGAAGTTTTGGTTGCATCTTTGTATCCATCATTGGTGAAACTGGGAGACAGGATACTTTACAATTTTCTGAACGCTCTTTAGTAACATTGCATCAAATTCTTACAAGCTTACAAAAATCTCTTTAATCGAAACAAAAGACTGTAGATATGACAGTACATTTGATTCTTTTAATTTTACATTAATCGCTGATGAAGGCTATCTATTTAGAGCTTATGTATTCGGCAGTGACGTGGATAATTATCCGGCATTAATATTGCTTTGCTCGGTAAAAAGATCGGAGAATACTTTTAACTGCGTGTATTCAGTGACAGTAACAACGAGTACTTGTATTCCCCAATTTTATCTGTTTAAATGCGAGAGCCCCGACAATGTGGCAGGACTGTAATCATTTCTCTTACATCTAACACTTCAGACAATAAAAATGTAACTTCTTTGAACTAGTAACAATAAGAGAAAAATCCAACATTATGGATTTATTAACACGAGAAATAAATATGACATAATTAAGCATACTACTACATTTATTACCATCACTGCCATTAGTGTGCTATATAACAGTTTATCTAATATGATTACGTTATTGCGATTATGATTATATCGTACCAATGAATTGTTTATATTGTAATAGATAAATCTACTCTCTCATCATGAATTATATGATTTAAATAAAATTTGCAATTCTATTTCTATTAATGTATCAAAACTTCAGTCAACTAAGTGTCTTATAACGACTTTACTCTTTAATTTAATTGTAACTTATACTTTATCCAATGTACTTGTACAAGGTACTTCTTCATTTAGTTAACGTTAAAAATAAAATCAGAAATGAATTGGTTTAAATAAAATACTTCTGAAGTTAACTATAATTATTTAAATAAAATCAAACATTTTTACAGAAATTTACAACGCTATAAAAATAAAAACATGACATATATAGTAATAGAAGAAAAATTGGACTTGAATTTCTTGTTATGTATTTAACACTTATATAGGTGATAATCACTAAAGTTCTGTTTTCAAAACACTTTAAAATTCATTTATTATATTCAGAATATAAACACATAAAAAGAGTTGCTTAATAATATAGCGACGAGAGTTTACTAATACAGAATTATTTCGAGTTTAATATACTGTAGAAAATATACCGAGTTTTATTATGAGAAATATGACTTTGTATGAAAAGACTAAGTGATAGTTTGTTCATGTATTCGGTTATCTTGTTTATTTCAATAATAAACAAATACTGTAAACGCGGTCGCTAAGCATGAAAAATTGCTTTGTACAATTCGTATTAAAATGATTTTTATTCTTAATCTGATAGAGAACAAGAAATTCTAGTGACAAATTTGCAAATTCACAATGCATTTTAGATGGAATAATTACTGACCAACTTTCAATACTCTTGCCGCGTTAGGAACTGCGTCAAGAAGTACTTCGGCAATACCAATGATCTCTCTAAATCTGACAAATCAACTTTGGGCAATATACATAAACATTCAGGTCCTAGGCTTCACTTTCTGTTGTTACATCTTCTTCCATTATCGGTACTATCAAACTATCTTTCGACATCAAGCTATATTTTGTTACAAATGCAGTAAACCTATATAACAAAGAAAATCATTCACGATGATCAAAATAAATGATTTTGCAGTCATAAAAATATTTACATATATTTAAAATCCCACAATTATTTACCTGTGACATAAAAATGTCTCGTGCTCAAATTCATCAAATATTATTTTATGATGGTAATATGCATGAGAAAAGATTCTATAAACCCTGCGACTAACAGATCCAAGTTTAGCAACTGAAGATTCCTTAATACTCACTCTGGAATAACATTTTAAAGTACAAATATTAAGTATCATATTACCCTTTATGTAATTTCCTGCAATAATGTATCAATGAGATACCTGCTAGGAAAGTATTTGTTACTGTTAAGCAAACAAGCTGCTCCATCAAGTGTATGCCGTGTATAATCAATAGCTGGACATTCTTTGGGCGTTTTGTGTGCAGCACACAAAAATATCCATTGTTCAGTGGCTGTCATTTGTGTACAAGTTTCTGGATGACATTCTTCTTGTAGCCTAACTGTTAAACCATTCAATTCCATACAAAATTGTCTGAGGTGTTCATATTTCCATACTGCTTCATCTTGTGCATCCGGCATTTTGAGTATCAAGTCAACATTAGATGGCTCTCTTCTAATCATCTGTTGGATATATTGTTGCACAGCCAGGGTGCTGTCCATTTCTTCAAATGGTTCATCTGGCCACCTGCAGAAGTCCTTTAAAAAAGTAAAATGTTAAACTAGAAAAACATTGCAAAAAATAAGATATCTAAATTTGATGTACAGCTCTTCATGATAATACTGTATCATTATAATTGCACAGAGACCGTAATGCAATAATAATACTCGATTATTACCTGTCGAAATTTGTATATTTACCGTTTAGACGTAACACAAAACAGAATACGCTTCTAACACATAAATAACCTAAACTCATGTTAAAAATGACAAAAATCTATGCTTTAATGAATACACAAAGTAATGTACACAGATTAATATGTATTATTAGGGTGTAAACAACCGCGTTTCGTGTACGGTTCATTGATTTTCATTGCATGTATCAAGAATGCGTTCGAATATTTCTGCAAGTACATTGCAAAGAACTTAATATATGCCAAACAATTGAACGCAAAATGTGGATACAACAAATCGTTAACAAAAACAGCATCATTATTAACCTTTGCTTTTGTTCCGGGCCTATTTCTTCTGAGGATCGTAGGTCCGTCCGCCATCTTCATTTTGCCAGTTGTTGCACTCGATCAGCGTGCACATTCGATCGGATCAAATAAAAAGATCTGGTATGTCGTAATGTCGGCCTAGCGAGTAGCGACACCATACCTCTGTTACATAGTGTTACGCTATCACGTGAACGTAAGTTTAATGCACATAGCGCCACAACGGGAATTAACTGTAACCCGATTATTCACCGTCGAGTCCAGAATCATGTAACTGCGTTTAGTTAAGAGCGAATTTCAAACGGACCAACGTATTATAATAAACAATACGATCGTATATTTTTCAACGTGGGCGATCAAGCTGGGGAAGGTAGAGAGAAAGGAAGGCACTTCTTTTCAGACACTTGGTTTATTTTCTAAAGGCCGCGTCGATGTCGAGATTCCATCGTTCCTTTAGTTTATTGTTTAGTCATTACGGACCGTGACCGTTTAGCTATTTCCGATAAGAGTTTCAATGGTCTTGACACGCAGCAGGGCCTCGCGACACTTCACTTCGAGTTTCGTTTACTCTCACGAGGGTCATAAATTTTCTTAAGGGTTGCTTAGGCCGCTAGCCTCATTTTCTCTCTCGACTCCCACGCTCTCTCTCACGCGCGCCGCTCCAACATAGCCGCGAAACCTCCACCTCCACTCGGCTCGGGGGTGGATCATCGATCGAAGACGATCCGGATAGAGGGAGCAAAGCACGAACCCCGATTGGACCAGGACAATCCAGAGGGAGGATCAAGGAATATTCCAGAGAAGGGATGAACACCGAGGACGACGAGAAGATTTTCCGCGGAGGGGCAGATCGATTTTGAGAGTCAACAGAATTGTATCTTTAACCAAGCTTAAGACGAATAAACTTTGATCAATCTTTTCGAGCAATCAATAGTAGTTTGATTTTTGCGCGCCTCGCCGAGCAGAGCGGGTCAGCGCTCCACGGGCACCAACCCACCGTCCTTTCTCCCCAGACCGCTATCTCGGGACGTAACAATAGTATCATTATGCTTTCTATTCGAAAACGATGTAGAATCTTTCTAATTAAATAGGAACGATATATATAATATGTATATATATATATATATAAATACATCGAAATCTGGTGATATTTCTATTTATAATTTTATGAATTGGTACAGGATATTAAAAAAATACCATTTTACTCTAATAAGTCGCTTTATTTTGGTAACAATTATTTGTCTATATACAGGAAAGATAGTAGTAAATGGTTGCTTGCAAAATAATATTAAAATTCGATCGTTTTTCTGTTGTTTGTACAATGCTTCAGAAATGAGAAAAATTGACTAATGCATTGTTAAAAATGACGAAAACGTTTAATCATAAACATCTTCTCTATCCCCAACATAGCGCACTATATCCGCAGGTCGCAACAGTTTTTCTGCATCCATATCTGGTATTTCAAAACCAAATTCATCTTCTATTGCCATTATAATTTCTACATGATCCAAGGAATCCAGGCCCAAATCATTCATGAAATGGGAGCTCACAGTCAACTGTACAGAATTAAAATTATTGGTTTATAATACACATACAGAGACATTTAAACTCATAATGATCAAATTTAATTATTTTCCAACTTTTTTTTTTAATTTTTAATTTTTTTTTTGTATTGGAAGGTTTGAAATGAGTTAAATTTGAAGACACTACGATTCAAGCAAGGTGTTAATTGATCATTATATTTCTGAGAAGTTATCTATCAAGATATTTTGGCAAACATAAACTAGTAACAATGAAAATTATAAGCTCTACATTGCACAATAAATTTTAATCAAGTATAACAACTTCATATAGCACATCCTTTATATGGAAATCATTACTGAAGTGTACAGTAATTGCAAAAACATCTTCACAAGTATCTTCAATAATATATATATCTTGTGATAAATAGATACCTTCTTAGGATCAATTTTATCATAGAGATTGAGTACTAAAAGTACTCTCTGCTGAATATAGTCAAGTGTTAGAGGTGGCTTATGGCTGTAGTGACGCACCTGCTTGACTCGAGTGTCCCTTATGCCCTGTAAAATAATACTTATAGAAAATATATATTTTATAAACCTTATCAGCAGATATTTTATCATAGGCTGCAACCACTTTTAACACACGTTCTTCAAGCTTCTTACTTTTGTCATCTGTAGAATATGAGCGAATATTCTTAGTTTTTACCTGTATGTATCAAATGATTCTCATATTATTATTATTATTGTTATTATTACATAAAATTACGTATATAACCTCAATATATATTTCAAAATATTCTTCAATAAAATTATATAAATTCCAAGTGATAAAGACAGAAAAACTTCGTTATTTCTACTTAGTGCAAACACGTGACAAGTGTATTTCGAAATATAATCAACATCGATGAAACGAAACCTAAACATCATTGTCACGAGAAAAAGTTTGTACCAGTTCGCATGTATCGAAATCAATTAAAACTGCAGCAACTTAAATTGAATCCTCCGATTAAATAAATATCATACATTTAAGAAAAGTTTTATTATTCTGCGTCTGCCAAAACAGAAATCATTTCAGTTACATAATATATGAATTTAAAACGTCGTACAAACCATGGGAAGAAGTTCATAAGAACTGTAGTATTAGAAGTACCCAGTGTTTACCTGTCTTATATTTGCAATGGCACTTCGTCTTTCACAGTGGAAAAATCTCTCATTTAATTGAAGTTGTGTGACGACGCCTCGTAAACAAAATCGACTGATCGAATTTCTAAGGGTACCGGTATTTCTCATCAAGAGACGGGCACTAGTGAGAGACGCCATTTTCTCGACGACGAACAGAAAATGCAGCGACGGACTCAAACTATAATCGCGTTCGTGAGTCTACCGTGCTGCAGGTGTCGTGTCGTACTATCCCATTGAGTTATCGATTCGTATGAGTTTATCGTAATGCTTTCATAATTTGTCATTAGAGGGCTACGAATGATTGCTAAGTCTTGCAGGTTCTCCAACAGCGTCGAATTAAAAAAAAGCATCTTTAATAGCATGCCACAAACCACGCTATTTGTAGTAATCTTATTCATTGTAGTGCATGCAAAATACATTTAATACGCCAACTAAATATTTTAAACACAGTATTTCACATAACGTGACAATGGTCAGCAGTTTATACTAAATTTGTTTATAGGGATATAAAAGATATGTCACTAAATAAAAGTTGGAAAACTTTAGTTTGATATAAAATTAATTTCCAGACTATTTTGGCCAAAGGAATAAGGATAAAATATAGTAACATTTTTATTTGAACGCATGGCGAAATTGTCAGGATCAAATTACTGGCGACAGTGGCGACAGATTATTCGTAGTGGAGTTCGTATTGGTATTTATCTTCGACAAGTATTTTTTTTCTATTCGACAGCCAGCGTATTTTACGACTGTCTTGGATAAAGCGTGTTTGAATTTGTATCGTTAGTGCCATATGTACTGGAACAACGGTGATCAATATGTGGGTGAAGCCACAAGAAGTTCTACTGGCAAATGCTCTCTGGTAAATTAATATGTATATACAATGCCCGATGTTCTATTATAATTACTGTTTACATCGTGTGTCAAAGACAGCTGATAGTATTTAGCATTAGAATTTAAACGGCTTTCATGCTTTATTGTTGCCAAAGCTTCACTACCTTATATACGTTTGATTGTAGCGGAAAACGGATTCCGTTTACACGGATTTTCGATCTGTCCAGCGATGTTATTTGTTTACATTTTGACGGGATACCGTTTGAAATTAAATTACGTTTCTGTCAAATGATCATGCCGCCCGAGAACTTTACATATTCTCAAAACCTTATGTCGGTATACCATTTTTCTTGTTATGATACATGCAATATGAGAATACGAACTGTGATGCATCGCGTGTCGGAGATAAGACATTTATGCTATATAGTGAAATCACTTTAACAAATTATCTACGAGATTGATTCATTCCTCTTCGGTGTTCTACGTTTATGAACTGTAAACTGGAAGTGGAAAATATAACAAACTCTTTTTGCTGTATTATTGATTATTTAAGTGAATGTATTGTAGTAGAATTTATGAATGATAAGTTCTATATTTTCTTCTGTTCTTCTTAGAAAATAAATAATAATATGTACAAGAGGACATAATAATTGTTTCTAGCAAATTTTGCTTTATTAACGCATTAAATCTATGGGTCTTTGTAGAGTTAAGGTTGAAGGATTTGTTTTGTTTTTATCTTAATTACATAGGGTAACAGAGCAGGCAACTGTATACTTTGTTTTACAACGTCGTAAGGGGCATGGAAAAACAAGAGGTCTTAGTTCTATATTGGTAGGAACAATGGATAGTGTCTTTGACACTAAACCCCCACCTTTCAGAATACTTCATCAAACACCATCATCAGAAGTTTATTGGGGTAAGATATTTTCTACAAAGAAAACATATATATAAAGTATATATTGGAATACGGTATAAAGAACAATTTAAATGCAAGACGGTCTGTAAAATTTGATAGTATAAGTGAAAAAATGTATAGCAAGGAATTTTATTTTTAACATACATATAGAAATTGCCTGTTCCTTGACACATGAAGAAATCTTGCAAAATTGGGAATGGCTTCACTCCAATCTGATGGATACTTTAACATCATTTGATACAGAAGAAGAAATAACTGAATTTGTTTGTTGCAAAATACAATCAATTATTGCAAGCAATGTTCCAGATTGTCAATTTGTAGATGGTAAATTGTTTATCAGACAATTAACTACAAAAATTCAAGTTTTTTTTCTAACTAAACAAGAATTGTATTATTCACAGAAGAAGATCCAGAATCATTTAAAACTGTGTCTTTCAAATTTCATCAACTTTTTAATATACCAAAAGAAGATAAATTGGTCAATTATTATTCTTGCAGGTATATATAATCAGGTTGGACATGTATAAAATTTGTATCAAATTTAGAAAGTGCTGTAATATTATACCTTTTTAGTTATTGGAAATCTCGTTTACCTAGACAAGGATGGTTATATTTGTCTATAAACCATATGTGTTTTTATGCCTATATTTTGGCAAGAGAAACAAAATTAATTATAAGATGGGCAGATATTACTGAATTGGGTAAAACCAATTCCATTCTGTTTCCTGACAGCATACGTGTTGTAACAAGAGATAATAAAGAGGTGAATATTTTATTTATAATGTAATATTCATTACTCATAATACTTTATTTATATGGATAGAAATAATGTAGTTTTATTTGCAGCATTATTTCTCAATGTTTCTTCACAAATCTGAAACGTATGCATTAATGGAACAACTTACAAATATTGCTATGAAAAGGTAGCGTTATCTGTAATAAAAAAATTTTAAAATTTAAAAAAAATTTGTTTAATATTATTAATTTGTGGCAGGCTTATAGATGAAAAAAGTGGATTCAATGAAGACAGAGAACTCTTGAGTAAATTAAGGTAATTCGTAATTTTAATATGTCTGATTAAAATTAGTTCGCATTAAGTACAATGGAAGTTACATTTCCAGCAAGAATGTACCTAAAAAACCGTCTTTCCTAAAAAGAGATCTTGATGCGCGAGCACACTCTGAAGCTTACAGACTACAGTTCAGATTACCAGGAAATGAAAAATTGGATGGTAGTATTGATGTTACTCTATGGACACCATACAATAAAAAATATGTACGGGGAAAGATATTTTTGTCTCAAAATTACCTTTGTTTTGGAAGTAAGGTAAATATCTGAACAAACATACTTATATACAAATATTTATACAGATACATATTAACATTATTCAATAATGTTTATGATAATTTAGGTAAACGGATTGGTAAGTTTAGTTATACCATTGAGGGAAGTAAGGCTCGTAGAAGCTGCTGAAAATCAATCCAGTACAGGAATAGATAAATCCATTTTAGTAACAACTGTACGACATTCGTCATTTTTATTTGCTCAGATTCACGACCGAGATTTTGTTGTTCAAAAGATATCTGAACTATTAGCAAAATCTAAACTATTGTCTTTGTAAGTTGTCACGTTGTTTACTTAATATTATTATTTTCAATGTTTAATAATGTTAATATTTAATATTGTTCATATTACACCCACCCAGTACACTTTATTTTTAAATAGGAGTATAGATAGTTTATATTCCCACAACACATTGCCTCACAAGGATAGTAATTGTGATGACGTTAAACCCGTTACTCAGTGGAAATCTCAACCGCCATTAATGACTTTATTTAAAGCTCCATTAAGTAGCGAAGCGACATTAATTCAAGAAGCTAAAGAGAAACAGTGGGAGCTACATTTTGCTGAGTATGGAAGAGGTATCACAATGTACAGAACAACAGAGACAGCAAAGCTGATAATTCAGGGTTTACCGCAAACACTCAGGGGAGAAGTTTGGCTTACGTTTTCTGGTAATGTTATAAATTGAATAAAAATAGTAACAGATCAAATTATTATAGACGCAACAAGCATCGGGTTTATTCACTTTTAGGTGCTTTGAACGAAATGGTAATGAATCCTGGTCTTTATAAGTCTTTAGTTGATCAAGCATTAGGTAAATCTTCCCAAGCAAACGAGGAAATTGAAAGAGATTTACATAGATCATTACCCGAACACCCAGCATTTCAATCCGATACTGGTATTAGCGCATTAAGAAGAGTTCTTTCCGCGTATGCTTGGAAAAATCCACAAATTGGTAAACAAATTTATTTTTTATAATTATTTCAATAAAAAAATGAGAAATTTCAAGGTTAACTTTATTGGGGCAGGTTATTGTCAGGCAATGAATATAGTAGCTTCGGTTCTATTAATCTATTGCTCGGAAGAATCTGCCTTCTGGCAGTTATGTAATGTATGTGAATCGTTGTTACCCGATTATTACGACAGAAGAGTAGTGGGTGCTCTTGTTGATCAAGGTCTTTTAGAGGAGCTAGCTGCTGAGTACTTATCAACCTTACACGCTAGATTACAAGAACTTGGTCTCATTAAAGTTATATCACTTTCATGGTTCTTAACGATATTTTTAAGCGTTATGCCAACCAGTAGCGCAGTAAATATAATGGATTGCTTTTTCTATGACGGAGCAAAAGTAATTTTCCAGGTATAATATTTTTATGCAAATACAAACGTACTTTCTGTTCTTTAATTAATTTTTGCTAGTGAAAGTATTGAACTTTATTGATATCCTTTCTAATGAATACAGAATAAAGTACATACAGAAGAAATTTGAAGTAAACAGGTATTTCTTCCTGTGTCAGATAGCATTAACAGTACTGGAATGGAATCAAGATAAATTGCTTAATTGTCGCGACGATGGCGAAGCAATGCAGTTATTAACAGATTATCTTGGAGGTGTGTACAATGATGAGGGACCTGTACTCCATAGGCCAGTTGACAGTGGTACTCCTAACAGAGTAAGAATAATTTCATGCACGAATTCCATGTATATAGTTAAATATAAATTCAGAATTGCATATACATATTTATTTTAGAGTATATCTGTTCAGACTTTAATATACGAAGCGTATTCAAGATACGGATCATTGACTATTGGTAGAATAGAAAGGCTTCGTTTGAAACACAGACTTAGAGTAGTTCAGAGTCTCGAAGATGGTATTGAGAAAAACGTAATTAGAAGTGTAATTGTTGATAAATACATGACAATGGAAGAATTACAGGTATCATTAATATAACAATGAATTTATACACATATAAAATACATAAGTCTATAAAATTAATGGTATCGATATTCAGGATTTGCTAAATTTAGTAAGGGAGGAATTAATGAGTCAGCGAAAATCCGAACCTGATCGCTACGATCCGACGCAGCCGCCATATGAAGCGTATAAAATAGATTTTGAATTGTTTAGAATATTATTCGGTGGTTTATCTCCATGGGGGAAATGCAGTCAAGCTGAATCTCTTTCTGCCCGGTTATTTCGTGTAAGTCAATTATAGTTATATACAATTTCAACTATTTCTAATAAATGAAAAAAACTACAGTATAAAACATTAGAGAATTGCAATCTACGCGTATCTTAATTATATTGAATAAGATCAAGCAAATACAAATAATGTTCATAAGTACTATTGTACTACCAGTTAATGGATCGTAATCGCGATGGTCTGTTAAACTTTCGGGAATTAGTACAAGCTCTTGGAATGACGGCTACCGCCGATTTAACGCAGAGATTAAAACTTTTGTATACTCTACACTTACCACCATTATTGACACCTATTGATTTCGAATCGCCAATACATTCTGGTAAGTGCTGTTTGATATTTGAATCTACTATGACAAAAAAAGTATTAACCTAAAAATACGATTAATTGAAGATGGAGCAGAAGTAGCAGCAGAAGCCACGGATTTCTTTGACAGTATGGAACAAAGTGTGGCGTCCTTAGAGATGCCAATTAGCATAGCAGAAGAACCAACTATGAGCACTTTGTCTCGGTCAACGAGTTTAAACAGCCAACAAGGAGATCAATCATGGGAAGTTCAAAGTATGGGTAGCTTACGTTCTATGATAGCGTCTAAAGACAGTCCGTTGGATCTTAAAACCGTGCCAAAAATGTCTCAGGGACATTTTATATCGTTATGGAAAACTCTTTATGATCTGTTTCCGGCACAGCCGGAGGAACAAGAAACTTATCATTGTATAGCTATAATAGGTAAATTATAGGTCCCAAAACACCTTCAATACATCGCGTCGTCAAATAAAATAAATTTATTTTCCTAAATATAGGTACGCTTTTGCTTCAATTAGGTGATGTCGGCAAAAAGTTTTATGTCGATCGTGACGAGTCTGAAGATAGTTTGCTTTTAGCTGCTACTGCTGCTCAACCAGCATCTTCGATTGTTGAACGAGTATGTATTATTTATATTAATCATATTGTTTTATAACACAAAAAGCAAATAATTATTTTTAGTCACCCGATCGCAATGGAAATCCATCAAGCGCAACTTCATCCGCCGATCCCGATTGGTCAATAAGTGTTGAACAGTTCCTGGCATCTGCTTTAACAGGTCAAGCTATAGTAGATTTTTTTAGTAAAAGGGCAGATCTTATCGAAGCTATTGCAACCCTTAAAAATCGTCGATTTGATCGTGTTCATTCCTTATCGGACACTCCCGTGTTAAATATATGATACACATATTCTTCTGTGTATAAAAATAGCGTAAGATATATATAAAATTTGTAAAGTGATAGATTGCCTTGGATAATTGACCAGCAATTTCATTTCTTAAGGAAATTTTTACATTCACAGCTAATCGGCTAAACAAATCTTAGTTTGAATGATAGGTTGATAATGCGAAAGAAGTTTTTGTAACGGAATAATAGCAAAAGTAAATCAGAAGAATAGTAACTCGACGCGGAGATTCAAATAATTTCTAAATTTCACAAAATATCACTCTTATATCTTTCACTTATCTTAAAATGACATTATGTATCGAAAACGTCCAGTTCTTTAAGCTTACAATATTCCTTTTTAGTAAGCGTATCTATTAATACTATATATACCGATTTATTATGTAGACAAAACATGATGTGATTAAGAGGTACATGTCTCTTTTTTTAAATATCATTAATCTTTGAATACATATAAATTCATTGGCCTACTACTACAGTGATGTATTCATTAAAATTGGAAGAATGAATTATGCAATAGAGTGTACTCAGGGTGAATACTTTAAATGCAGTTCCATTTACCGTTTAAGATATTTCATGCGTGAAAAGCAAGTTCCCAAGCAGTTGACATTAATATATAAAGAAAATATTTTTTAAAACTAAATTGTCGAATATTTATTATATACAATACTTTCCTAACTATTACGTCAATAACATATGCACAAAATTACATACCATCAGTTAATAGACATATTGCTTAATCTTGTATGTTTATCTTGTATACTCGAGTACCATAAATCTAAACAGTACAATTTTCATAAAAAAACTTTGCCAAAATTATTATAACAATACATTGCTTGGCTGTCAGCAGCTATAGTAATAATTCGTGTACAACAAAACAGGATTTTAAAACAATATAATAGATCGAGATTGTATGCAATACTAGGCATTTGCTTAAAATATTTAATAACTTGTACTAGTCTATAGAAGTGAAAGTGTTATGAAATGCATGTATGATGCCAAGGCCAAAATTAAATACGTGTTTTAATATATTTGGGAACATTTTAGTTGGATATTAATATTTGAAACTATAGTTTCTTGGCATATGCAACTATATTTTTAAAAATAATTTTATTTTTATATAACTGAAAGTTGCATAACAATAATTTCTGAAACAAAATTACGAAAAGGTATTATCCTACATAAACAAACTATGAAGTATTCCAGATTTTTCTTTCTGTATAATATATGTATATAAAGAGTCATTATTTCATATGTGGAACTATCTGTACAAAGCATATAATAAACGGTATATACAACAATGCTTTCGTAAATAATTGAACATCAACAATAATTAGTATAATGATACACATTATTTAGGTTTTTATAATTTTATTGAAACAGTAAAATTATCTTACATTAGAAATTTTTTGGTAAAATACCATCATTTTTTGCAAGGCGTACTAAACAATCGTCAGATTCGCCCTGAAAAAATTAAGAAATAACTATTATTCTAATGCAAGATATTAGAAACTTTAATATTAAATATTAGCAGCAATAGATAACATACCATACGCCGAATAGCCCCACAAATTGCATACATTTTTTGGGAGTCAGTCATACGTCCAGTTTCAGGATCAACATCAGCTAAGCTCAGCTGAATAGATGCATGATCCTTGGCATGAATAATACGATTGCTCGACGAGCTAAAAAACAATTTATTACATGTAATTTAATGTTAACCTATCACCTTGTTTGCTTACAAATGTAATGATATAGTCTGCACTTTTATAGGTTCACTCTTGGTATCGTAATTTCGTAAATTTTTTTATTTATATTTACAAAAGAGCTGATATAAATGTTTACAAATTTTCTATGAAAAAATCAAACTTGTTCCGTTCCATGACAACGCATGTAAACCACGTGCACCGCTTACCATTTCCTCGGGATATACAAGTCAACAAGTACTCCGTTGTCGTTCTCCATTGTTATTCCTATAATAGAAATTAAAATGTAAAATCTGTATCATTTTGCTACGAAATATTACGCTAGTATTTATTAATTTGATACATTTCCTCACTTTTGTTTGCTAGGTGTATGCCGTAAAATGGCTCCAAAAGGTAAGGAACTTTTTTCGACAACACTGCGGATACGTTGCAAAATGAGTAAAGCGTACCAACATTGTCAATAGATTTTAATATGTCCCTAAACATTCTGCAATATTTTTGAAATTTACTACCAGAGGGCTACGAGTAACAAATCAATTCTCATAAGTTCTCAACAACTTTAAAATCATTCAAACAGTGCTTTCATCAAAGTGCTTTCCTATAGCTCATAACGAAAGTTTTATTTAATTATTTAAGTACTTATTCATTTGTATAGAATATTAAATAACATTTTCAACTACAATAACTTGTTGCTTTCTGCAGTTTGCTCATAAACGCGATAAAAAGATTCATATAACCCAAATCTTACAAAATTGTTTTTCGAGTGGGCGCCAAATTAATGTATTTATAAAATCACTTATCTTACGAATAAACTCTGATTCAAACTTATGTTATTCTATATTTTTAAAAGGATTTACTATTGTATAATTTGAAATTAAGAATTAAGAATATAACTTATCAGTGATGGAATAAAAGAACAAAATGCGTGGTAGGTGGCACCCCCAAGTGGACATTAAGGAAAACGTTCCACGACTAATACTACGATCGCACAATTCCATCGGGCATTCGGTGACCGAAGTCGTTCGGTAAGTCATGACGTTCCCGTGTTGTGTCTTCGCGTTTCGTAAACACGAGAGAACGTGTTAGTGGTCACGCGCGTTTTAAATAGTCTGTGATACAAGAGTGTGTCTAATGTTGGAACATTGTTCGTAATAAACACATTGCAATTGACATGCGACATGCAACCGTAAGCATGCTCGATACACTGCAATGCAATTGCAACATTAACGTTAAGTGTACTCATCTGTCCGTTATAAGAACGAAACGTTGACCGTGCGAATTGTGCTACACGTGCACGTTGAACATGTCTATGAAGGTAAATCCCTTTTTCTATTCAAATCTGATCGTACGCAATCATATATGCTATTTTTTATATTGACAACATTTTAAATTAAATATTACAAATCACTCCTCCGAATATAATTCAAATTAGACAAAAGGACCCGCTTTGTGGTAACCCGAAGTACTACTTTAATCATATTAATACATTGTGCAGGAAGACTCGCTTTGCACTTGGATTATCGGTTTCTAGAAACTAAATTTTATATTAATTAAACGTGACGTGGTATAGATATCGCGCTCAAAATATTTATAATCAATTATGGAATTCATATTTTCGAAAAGGTTGTGATTCTTAAAACGACAGTCTTTTTTCCTCGGAACAGTTGTTCACATGTTGTATGAGCGCCAACGTATGCGTACGCGGAAAGTAATTAACGAAAAATTGTGTTTATCGTAAATGGTTACATTACGTTCGTCGTGTACATAGAGAACTTAGAAATAGGTGAGATAAGGAAAACATAATAGAGAACTGATGTCATTCATAAGCATAGCGATAAAGTTTCGAACACTTTACTCTGTTGATCAAATGATTAACGATGATTACATTGTGACTCACCTTGATACTCGCCGGTAAGATTTGCAAAATCCCAATGCGATTTGAAACATGCTTCTTTCATCTTCGAAAGACGTACAATCTAAATGTGAAATCGATTATGGGTATGTATTTCATGAAATTGTTTTGTTTGAGCCTATCCGAATTACGATGTGTTAGCGTATTAATTATTGCAATTAGCGTAAGTGGACAAAAAATTGTAGTGAAAGGCGCGATCCTCACTTTTACACCGTGCCAGTTTACCCACTTTGTGTGAGAGACAAAGATAGTGCAACTGTAGATTTGCGTTTTCTGTCTTTCAAATGCAAGGGGCGGAGCGAGGTAGTCGAACCAAATAATATAGTGGGGATAACTGTGCTCAGTAACCTTGAATAACCAATATTTTCTACGCTGAATGTAGTTAACACACTACGGACGGATCACGAGATATCTCGTGTTTTTATTCAATTTAATCACCGTTCAAAGACTGATCATAAGATGTGTTGTCAGCTAGTAATATTGATTAGTCTATAATAAGTGATAGAAACAAACATTTTCTGCATGCATACACATTGAGCACAGATTGAAAAATTTAATTTCTGTTATGTAGTGAAAAAAAGCAGTGAACCAAATAATTATTTTGAATGGAACTTTTCTTTTTCTTGTATATTCTACATGAAAAGTATATTATATAAGACTGCACTACTTTTATATAAATTTAATATTTGTAATTGTTTATCCAAGTCTTGTAAATATGGATACTCATGAACAGAATGACAAAATTACAGAAATATTTGCAGACAATTTATCTGATATTCCAAGTGAAGATGAAGATGTGAAAGATTTAGATATCTGTGAGAATGATTTTGATTCAGAGTATTCACAAAGTGATAGTGAGATTGTTAAATCTGAAAAAAAACATAAAGTAGTAATTTCAAGTATTTTTAAGTCGAATAAAGTTGAAGATTTTTCTCATGAACTTGCTCATGATTTGGCATTTTCTTGTAAAGATGATAGTTGGTCAACAGTGGACATTTTACCAAACTTGGAAGAGTTCAAAGGTAATTGGGGGGTCACAGTTATACCATCTGAGCCTAATAGTATCAATGCAGTAACAAATATTATTTTTGGTGATGATTTATTTGCAATGTTTTGCAACCAATTGTTTGTATATTATAATCAAACATCAGGAAAGCACGAAGTGATAAATAAAATATTAAAATGGTCTATGGTTACTCCAACAGAAATGAGAACATTTTTAGGCCTCATATTACTAATGGGACAAACAAGAAAAGACAATTGGAAGGAATATTGGTCTACAGATCCTCTTCTAGCTGCTCCAATATTTCCACAAACAATGAGTAGAAATCGATTTCAACAAATTTGGACATTTTGGCATTTTAATGATAATGAAAAGATGGACAAATTTTCGTCCAGGCTCTTTAAAATTCAACCAGTTCTGGAATACTTTGTCAACAAATTTAAAACGGTATACAAGCCAAAGCAACAATTATCATTAGAGGAGGGTATACTTACATGGAGGGGACGTTTAAAATTTCGGACATACAACCCCTGTAAAATTACAAAGTATGGTTTACTTGTGAGAATGGTACGTGAAAGTAATACAGGTTACATCTGTAACATGGAAATTTACAGCGACGAAAGAAAAAGTTTAAACGAAACTATTCTATCTGTACTTGGTCCAAATCTAGAATTGTGGCATCATGTATATCAGAATAATTATTGTGAGAGTGTTTCAATTGCAAGTACTTTATTAGAACATAAAACAAGAGTGTGTGGTATAATCAGATTAAATAGTGAATTACCACAGGCTCTACAAGATGCAGTATCTACTTTAAAAAAAGGTGAAATAGTATTTCGAAGAAAGGGTGATATACTAGTGTTAGTCTGGAAAGATACAAGAGAAGTAAAAATGATATCAACCATCCATGATGCTTCATTTTGTAATACGGGAAGAAAAAACAGGGATAGTGGAGAAGAAATAATAAAACCAGTGTGTGTTGTACAGTATAATGCATATATGAAAAACATTGATCTTGCTGACCAATATTTTTCATACTGTAGCATACTCAGAAAGTCAGCAAAATGGACAAAAAATGTAGTACTTTATTTAATAAATTGTGGTCTTTTCAATTCATTCAGAATATTTCAAACACTGAATCCTCAGAGTAAAATAAAATATAAACAGTTCCTTCTTGTTGTGGCAAGAGACTGGATTACACCTAAAGGAACAGAAGACTTAGTAGATCTAGAAAGTAATGTTTCTGGTCCATCAAATGTTAGTAATAAAAGGCCTCCATGTAAAGATCATCCACAAAGATTGTCAGGTAACATGAAACAGCACATTCCTGTGAAAATTCCATCCTCAGAAAAAAAGAAATTCCCTACCAAGGTTTGCAGAGTATGTGTTACTCATGGGAAAAGAAGCGAAACACGCTACATCTGCAAGTTTTGTGCTGTCCCCCTTCATATTGGAGAGTGTTTTACAAAATACCATACCTTAAAAAAATATTAATATGTAAAAAATATTTGTATATACGTGAGATTGTATTTTAATACGTAGCTACTAAGAATAAGTGTAACCATCATTTTTATATTAAAATTAATGTTTAGTATGTAAATGTTTTCTTAAATGCGCGCAAATAATAATTCATTTAAAATCATTTGGGGTATGAAAATACCCACTGAGCACGGTTAGCGACAAAATCTTTTATACAGGGTGTCCGGCCACCCCTGGGAAAAATTTTAATGGGGGATTCTAGAGGCCAAAATAAGACGAAAATCAAGAATATCAATTTGTTAATGGAGGCTTCGTTAAAAAGTTATTAATGCTTAAAGTTCCGCCTGTACTGAATTTTTTTCTTGAAAATGCGCAAGATTTCGGTGGTATGTCTATTCACCAGAAATGATTGTAATTGACCCCGGAACCGAAAATAGTTTTTCCAAAACGATTTGAAATTTCTTTTTCCGTCGAAAAATTTCGTACCTTCTCGAATTTTTTTCTAGAAAGTGGGTAGTATTTTGGGCGTATGTCTATTCACCAAAAATGATTATAATTGACCCTCGCAACCGAAAATAATTTTTCCAGAACGATTTGAAATTTTTGAATTTAATTGTTAATAACTTTTTAACGAAGCCTCCATCAACAAATTGGTATTCTTGATTTTCGTCTTATTTTTGCCTCTGGAATCTCCCATTAAAATTTTTCCCAAGGGTGTCCGAACACCCTGTATACAATCACAGATTCTGGAGACCATAAATTGTAAATGGTCGATTGAGATCGAACGAGATTTTTTTATACAAATCGATCGTCGTATTTGTCGCGCGTCGACCTACAAACACGTATTGCTAGAACAAACTAGTAGAACGTTTCACCGATTTCCGACGTTTGGTCTATCTAAGGAATAAAAAGAAAATATCGATGCCGTACGAGAGTTAAAAAACTCATTTATCTCAAGGTTTGTAAAGTTTTAATATGAGATCGCTAATGGAAAAGAAATTCGGAATAACTACAGCTTCAATTTTCTAATTTTATCGATTCACAGTCTAATCGTGATTTCAGGTGTATCGCGATTAGCGTGGCACGCGCAATGGATTAAGCAGCTCCGATTACATAGTTCCGTTGATAGGTTACTCATGCCAGCTCGACATTCGAAAGGTGCTCTGTGTTCTAAAAATATTTTAAAAGTTCGAGTCGCGTGAGAAGCGGAGAAATTGTGAAACCGCGCATAGTTTCACAAAAACGATTTCAGTTACAGTCGAACGAGTTCAGTTCATCCACCTTCCTTGATGATGATTGCCTAATCGATATACAACTGGCAGATGGTAGCGAGTGCGTTTCTCACGAGCGGTAAAAGTGCAAACAGAAGTAGAGAATAGAACCAACGTTCATCCCTCGTATTTTATTCATGGTTGTAGGAGCATAATATGAAAGTTGACCTATAGACACTTTTAAAAGCAAATTCCAAACTTCGAGAAGCGGCTACTTGCAAGTTACGCGTCAGTTTTATCGAGGTTTCTGTATAAATTATAACAAACTTACTGCAGCAGGATAAGAAACGCTTGGTATGTTCAGAAAAATAAAAATTGCTTTGGGGTACAGAAAATCGAATAAGGTAATCAGGCTTACTTTCTACTTAACTACTATGTACACTTAAGCTACATCGTATTCGTGCACAAAATTGATAGTATTTCATGATAGACAGGAAAATTCTATTAAACTCTTATAGGAACTTATGTAGGCTACCGTTTTGCTTGAAAGAATAATGATATTATAAGTATTTAATGACTGTAAATTACGATCATTATTGTTTAATACTGTAAACTACCGAGTTATTGAGCAATTGATCGAACTGGGACAAATATTTTTATTTTTAGTATGTTGTGTAAATTTCCCAACGATGCAATGTGACGATAACGTTGTTAGAAAATTGACAGATGTCGCAGATCAATATCGATTTGAATTTTCGTTTCTTCAAAGCAAAATGTCGTAAGAGTGAGTTTACGACGTCCCTCGGAGTGGGGGAAATAGCCTCGAGCGACCGAAATGTTTGGCGCCGACCTAGTTTCGATAACTCAGTCATCCCTACGTATCCTTGCCCGATCGTTCGACGATCGTTGTTTCCGCACGCGACAACGAGTTTCCTTTTTATCTTTGCTCTGTTCTCATTTCAGAAAGAGTCTCCTTGGGACGTGGAATTGCACCTGGCAGCTGCTCGCGGCGACGCGAAGCGTCTTCGGATTCTGTTGGACTCTGGACGCGTTCACGTGGACTGCAAAGACAAGGTACAATAGCCCCTCGTTAAAACTTTCGAACTCGAATCCGCTCGGAACGTTTAAACGAATCGATCTTCTTTACCGCTGTTCGACAAAGGAAAGCCCAAACTTGTCCAACTTTTTACTCAGCCGTCGTCGAAGCCACTTTTCTCAGTCTTAGCAAGATACTTTGCTAGAAAATCAAGAAACTCGTCTGCAAATAAGTAGATAAATATTGCAGGGGATGATTGGATGCGTTTTATCGAGGGGCAGACGCGACGTTTTAACGAGGACAGTCGTTCGTTTTCGCCCGCACGTCGCTACGGGCGTCTCGCATGTAACCCTTCGTACAACGAAGAACAATTCACGAGGCGCCGGTCTCTCGGTGGGTCGGTCGGGCTCATTATGCAAACGACGCGGCGTTAAAAGGAGCGAGCAGCTCGTGCAACGACGCTCCTTGTCGCGAAAGTGGTTTATTAGATCACGCGCGGATACGCGATGCTCCACTTTGGCGACGCCGATGGACTCGCGACCGACACGTTCGAAGGGAATTTGGAATTCGATCAAGCTTTACGATCTTCCGGCTATTTTCGGACCCGAGGACTCCTCGAGTAACGTCTCTTCTGTAATTCGCAAACGATGACTCTGATCAACGAGGTCGTTGAGGACCCCGTCGCGGAGTTGCGTCAATTGAGGGAACCTTCCCAACAATTGGCTCGTTACCACGACGAATCACGGGGCTCGGAGAGTTTGGCAAAATATGAAACGCGAGGAGGAGGCTCCCGGACGCACTAGAAGAGATCGAGCGAGTTACGCGACAGATTTACGAGGCTTAATTGCCCGTTCAGCAATGCTCGTTGCAAAACTCGGACCGTTTAGATCAATTAGAAAGTAATGCGCCGCTTAGTTCTCATCGTGGATAACGTACCGAGTCGCGATTGCGTCTGATTGCAGCTCTGTCACAATGTGATCGATGAAAATCTTGTGGCATCGTATCGAAACTGGGTGAAATTTGAAACGAAACCCATCTCTGGCTTGAGATTAAAGTGGAATGTTTTGGTACGGATAGCAACAATGTCGGGAAAGGTTATACGTGCCAGTAATTATGAAAGTAGAGTTAAACTTTGTTGTAACCACTGCTCGTTAAAGTTGTTTGGTACGCTGAAAATAAATAGCGGGTCACAGGTCAATGATGGTCGTAGGTCTAAACATTTTGTAAGTCAACTTAGAAAGTATATATTTTAATTTGACGATAACGTCTACTCGATCCCTGGAAAAGCACCAGACTATTTCAGTTCGATACAGTAGGGCTAAAGGCTGGAAATAGACAATGTGTATTTTATCGAGCCCTGGCTCGAGTTTAGTAGTTTTGACGAAATCGATTCGCGTCAGTTTCGCCAGCAAGTCGTTGACCCTTCGTTTTCTTTTCAGGATGGAACGACTCCTTTAATATTGGCCGCCGCCGAAGGCCACATTGAGGCAGTCACCGAATTGCTGCAACAAGGGGCGGATCCTAATGCCAGAAGGCTGGTAAGTCCTGACCGCGCGTAGCCGAGCCATGAATGAACTCTCAGAATGAATGAATCTCGCTTAGCACGCGCGTGTCCGTGTCCTCGCAACCCCGTTACCCACTCAGCGGAAATAGTCTTCCTGGCGACCGAAACTTGCAGATTTAGCTGATTTATCCTTCCGTAATGCAGTTTCAAGCGTTTCTCCAGACGCTCAACTTCCTTATTGACTCTAGGAAGTCAATAAATCTTTCCTGACGTCCGACCTCGCGTACCTCCGCATTATTTATTTTATTCCCTTCAACAATGCAAGGCGTTTCTAAATAGAACGGTCAAACTGTGTCATTCTATTCTACTAGTAAAACCTTTTTTGTTTGGTAGTAAGAACGAAGAAGACCTTCAGCATATGTTGAAGCGTCAACGACTCCAACATATATTTTAATATTCACGAATTGTGTCATGCTATCTAATATATGTTATTACTGTGTATACGTAGGTAATGAGTACAATAACTGATAACGTTTACGCGTTTATCTTAATGATCTTTATCCCAGAGATACCGAGTATTATTAGCTTCCGATAACGAGCTTTGCAAATTACGCTCACGTCGATCGTAATCTCGCGCGCAGAAAAAGCAGTACGTAGTCTTTCTGGTCTCGCGACTTTTTCGAAAATAGAAACTCACGAGACTCTTTCGTCCGGCCACAAAGGGCCTGGCGAGCAAGAGAGAGTCCACCGAGACACAAAAAGCTCGCTCGCAGCATCAAGCACCAGGAAGCCGTCGAGTGGCCCTTTTTAAGTGGCTCCAGCGAGGATTTATCGTCGAGCCCACGTCTTCTTGGTGTCCCGCGCCATCGAGAATTACGGTATTGTATGCAAATTCGACCGTCGCGACTTTGGGGGACGGAACACATCCGGCTAGCCTTCGATTAAAGGAAAAACGATCGCGCGATTTGTTAAATTAAGTCATCATTGGGTTTGTGCGAAATAGCCTCGGTTTCCAGTTACTCGTCTGTAATTCTATTAGGATTCGATCATTCGGAATCGCATTCCGTTAGAATTAGGATTAAATTCCACGAGATTGAAACGCGACGCGTCTTCTCGCCTTTCTTTCACCTTTTTGTTAAGATGGTACCGGTATGCAAATGAGTCGAGATGTAGGAGCCGCGAAAGGGGGAAAAAAAGGCGAGGCCGGAGAACGGCGTTTCCGGTTTCTGAGATTGAATCGAAGCGACGAACGCCGTCGACAAAAGAGGACGAATTACGCGAACGCGCGTCCAAATCGCTCGATGACCTATTGCACAACTGATGCGATCACCGAGTTCTAGAATTATTTTCGTTACTCGTATGTGAAATTACTGATGACGAAATGCTCCCGTTACGACCATACCATTATCCGACGATCTTAATAAATTCCTAATGCGAGTTTTAATGCATTCGCAGCCGCTGACGTATGTAATTTTACTTCTTTCATTTCCACAAGCTGTGGAGGCTATTAACGCCAGTACTGTAACTTTTCATATACGGAAGCTGGGGAAGCGGTTTTCTGGATCGATCACTGGCTAAAATAAACGTTAACGAACAGACGAGATAAAGAATTCATAAGGGAGAACCGCAATTAGCCGCGAATCGTTCTGCTTATATTCGCCAGTCAGCGATCAGAACTCTCGATTGAATAGTTAAAAGATTAAGGAACTAAGATCTTCTAGATCCACTGTCGATTAACTTTTTACAGATTGCAATTCGATCGAGACTGGGTTGTTAGAGTAAATGGTGGAGATAAGAAATCTCTTGCTACTCGCGAGGGGTCACTGTACTATGCAAAAATCCTAGGAACTCGAGGCACATTTATTTCCGGTATTCCAAGAATATGAAAATACGCGCATGGCAGGATTTTATGTGTTCTCTTGTAGGTAAATGATAAGCGGGTAATGTTCTCGTAATCTTTTATGTATTTCTTCGATGCGTTCCAACAACCATAACAAATTGTATGCACAGTAGTACTGGTCAAATACGTAAGCGTTTTGTTTTGATTCTCTTAGTATAATCCAAACGGCGACCGTCAAATCTACTTATTTTCTACAAAATATTTTTCTTTTCCTTTCTGTTCCAAAATGAACCTTCAAATTGTCACCGTCGACGTCCTGGTCAACAAAAGGAGGTCGAAACGTTTATATTCAAACAGATACCTCTGCCAGATCACATTCATTCTTATTTTGAATAATTCATCACTGTTCATACGATACGTTTCGTAGCTGCCTATTTGCAACTTACTCTCGCAACGATCAACGACCTATTTCCACAAATATCTTCATTGTTCGTTTTTAATTCCAGATCATTTTTTTCTCTCTCTCCAAATCACGACGAATTCCGACCAGACGCGCTCCAAAGTGAAACCCGTAGGACTAATTAGAACAAAATCTCAATGCTCGTTGAGCTTAAGGTGTTACTGGCTTAGCTCTCGCGAAGTCGCGTCCCGGCCCTAATTGCGAATTGATTCACGTCGGTCAATTAGCCACGCTCGTTCTACAGTTTCTAAAAACCGCGGCCTGGTTACGTTCGACGAATATTTCGCCTCTTAAATGGCCTTACGTGCCGACGTACAAAACGAACGCGCGCGCGAGCATGATTCAAGGTTGCTGAAGCGAAACACCGCGTTTGTGCGCGGGTTCGCGTGTTTCCAGGGCGTTTTAACGGCGACGTCTGCCGTAATATGCAACCACCGGCTTGCAACAACTCACGCGGAGCATCGGGGATCGTTTGTAAAACCGTACGATCGACTTAAACACGCCGCGGCAAATTGCCCTCGGTATCGGCTCGAAAATCGTGCGTGGGCGTTCGTGACACACTGATCCCTCGTGTTTGACCTCGTTCGGGAACTGACTTTCGATCGACCAAAATGGTCTTTACAGTCGTCCGGGTTTACTATTCCCCGGATTGCATCGAGTTTCACGAACTTTACCATGGAAAATCGTTCGTCGACGACTCTGGTTTGCTCGCTGACGTTTTTTAATATTTTCAGATTCCTCGGGTATATTGGACGTTTACCAAACTTTGCGAGCGTTCATCGGAATTACAAATCGACGGTCGTGGCACGCGAAAACGCGTTGTATCGTATAAACGCGCGCGCGTTGAAGTAGCGGCGAGCTGGAAAGCAGATTGCGGCAGGAAGTAACGAGTTCATTATAAATCGCCGATGCCCGCCATCCATCGAAGCATCCTCTACGCTGAACGACGTGCATTAATTGGTACGGTCGTACGGGGCAGTGGACGGTAGAAGTGGTTAACAGCGAACTAATAAATCGAATCAGGCGTAAAGAATAGCGTTCGTGTGCAATATTATTACGTTAAATTTTAAGAAGCACGAATGTATAATCGACTTGGTAATCTCTCGAATTTGAAACGAAATCGTCGCATTAAGAGACACCAGATCTCCTTCGAGAACTGGTCCCTCGACCTGCAGCACGCTTCATCGCGTCCACGTAGAAGGCGGACGGGAAAAAAATGCGTGACCGCGACGCGACTTTTGCCGTGACTAGATGGACAGGTTGATCGCCGTTATAGAATTTCTGCGGTTTGTAATGGATAGGTATTATGTCCCTCGACTCGACACGGTTCGAAGAGCACCGGGACTCCGTGGAACGTGTAGCACGACGGAGGATTGATTGCATTGGCGATCTCTGGCTGGCCAAAAGCGAGTAACGTCCGACAAAGGGAAGGAACGTAGACCGGTGTACGGCTAGAGTCGAACGACGAACGGTATAGGACTGTTTTTGGTCGATGATCGCCGATGCTTCGAGACAAGAACAACGTCAGTGAAAGTACACGTATACCTGCTGAACGAACAGGTCCAGTATGCATCGTCCTGGACTGTTCCTTTCGGGGATATTCGTGACACGCATCGGCACTTTCTCTCCTTTGCCGATGAATTCCTATTCAAACTTGGAAGCTTAATTATGCTTATTTATTTCGGGGATGTATCGAGAATTTATATTGCTGGGTGGTCGCTGGCTACCATATTCATATGTATCAGTGGTGACCAAACCTTGTCAAACCTCCAGAGACTCTTGGAATAGTATTTCATACATAGGGATAATGTACCAATTACTGCAGTAGTGCGTTATGATATTTATATAGGAGCCATAGTTTGGCTACAATTGATACATGCGAAGGTTTATTACGATACCTCGCCTTCCATTAGCGTGTTGTTTCTTCTAATGATATTGGCGTTGCGTCACAGTCGCGACAAAACCGTTCGTGTTGTAAATTACCGTCGTGAGAGCTAGTTCAGAGTTGAACAGTGCGGAGACGATGATGAATAAGACGTGACGTTTCAGCACTCACTTTGTATACATATTTATAACTCGAAACTGAGAACCTAGTAGCTATGTATGCGATCACGCGATATTTTTTCTTCTCCTTTATAGTTTTGTCAACCTTTTGTTGATGATTGATAAATTGCCAAGTGGAATGTTCCTTTACTTCGACGGGAATAGGAAGTTAACCCGATGAAACATCAATTTTACATATTCATTAGACGATATTGCAACGGTTCTCCTGAGACGAGGACACCTCTGCCCCATTATAACGGCCTCTGTGTCGCGACAAGGCGGCAGGATGTCGCTCTCGCTGTCAATTTCCTGCAGAGTATTACCGTCATGGCAAAAACTGTCCCCGAGACACAATTGCAATAACACAGAACAAATATGAAAGGTATGACAGGCGGCAATAAAATTTGAAATTCATGGCCGGTTCGAACCAGTCTCGCGTGTGCATGCGGAACTTGCGGAGAACGTAACATTTAAATGCCGAATGCGCGCCGCTAATTATTCGGTGGCTAGACGTGTTTGACATTTGAGATAATCTATCGATGGAAGTTTTCGAGCGTTTCTGACTTTCTACATTGAATATACAGCGTGTTTGGCCACCCTTGGGAAAAACTTTAATGGGAGATTCTAGAGGCCAAAATAAGACGAAAATCAAGAATATCAATTTCTCGATTGAGGCTTCGTTAAAAAGTCATTAACAAAATTAAATTAAAAAATTTCAAATCGTTCCGGAAAAATTATTTTCAGTCGCGGGGGTCAATTGTAATCATTTTTGGTGAATAGACATACCCCCGAAATTCTACCCATTTTCTAGAAAAAAATTCGAGATGTGAAATTTTTCGACAGGAAAAAAAAATTACGAATCTTTTTGAAAAAATTATTCTTGGTTGCGGGATTCAATTACAATCATTTTTGGTGAATACACATACCCCCGAAATCCCACGCACTTTCAAGAAAAAAATTCTTTACCGAAAATGTAATCTGTGGCCAGAAATGGTTCCCCGAAATTCATCATAACTTCTGAACGGATTGAAGGATTTTAATGTTCCAAAATGCAAACAACGCCTATTTAAGTGGAGAATATGTAGAAATTGTAACAATAATGAAAAAGTTGTTCCTTGACACTGTAAAGTGAGAAAAACCCCATAAAAATGGTCCAATTTTCAAATGACCATAACTCCTACAATAGTAAAGGTATCTCATTGAAATTTTTTTCTGAAGCACAGCCCATGACTACATACAAAAAAGTATTAGACTACTTTTCTGTAGAGCGTCAAACAAATGTATTAAAAATGAAAAAGAAATTTTTAAGAAAAATCGACAGGGGTAGTAGGTGCCTAAATTTTTCGGCGAAAAGAAAAAATTTCAAATCGTTCTGGAAAAATTATTTTTGGTTGCGGGGTTCAATTACAATCGTTTTTGGTAAATAGACATACCCCTGAAATCCTGCGCATTTTTAAGAAAAAAATTCAGTAGAGGCGGAACTTTAAACGTTAATAACTTTTTAACAAAGCCTCCAACAACAAATTCGTATTCTTGATTTTCGTCTTATTTTGGTCTCTAGAATCTCCTATTCAAATTTTTCCCAGAGGTCGCCGAACACCCTGTATGATAAAATGTATAGTACACATTGAATACTTCGTGAAAGCAATCAAGATTATTGGAGCATTTCTTAGAAACATGTATATATATTCGATCTATTTTGAATGAGGACGCACTGTCGGTGTTGGGCTCTGATCGCTGTTTTCTGCCAACTACAATTTTGTGACACGGTGACTTCCCTTAAGATCACTCAACCTCCAGGGCGCCACTCAGACACCCTGTAACCTTTATTTCTCAACAATCTTGCTCTTACTCGAGACCTTAGAAGTACTCTTCTGTTCCTCCAGCGGATCAAAGTATTTCATTGTCTCTTTCACGGCATCTATTTTCAAGCGACACCTTTCTCTTCGTTCCCTGATAATTATCGTCCAATATACTTTCTTTGGAAATTGTCGCACCCCCCTCCCCTTCCGTCGGAGCCTTTCAAGCATTTCAAAGTCGAAGAGCGTTCTTGTTCGACGGCTGGCGCTTCTCTCGTAGAAATAAAAATGCAGATATTGATCTCGCGCTCGGTTGGAAACCGGGCAACAGACGCGAACACCGAGTTATTTTCGAATAATAAAATATACAGGCTGCTCGGATGAAGAACAGACGCAAGAGGAACACCTGTTCCCGAACACTGTGTTAACTCCTATGCCTTCTCTAGTATAATTTTAAATCGTTTTTTAAAGAGAGATTTATTTAATCGGTCATAAATTTTTTAGTGAAGGGAATCGGCCACTCAACGACTCCTTTTTTCGTGCTCCCGTTTAAACTTTACTGCTTTAGCGCAAAGTAGAACCAGTCTCCTGCTTCGTGAAACGCTTCGTCTTGCGTTTTTTCCCCCGGGCCATAAAATTGTAAAGCGTCTTCCACCAAAAACGTAAGCACTTTTATCGCTTTGCATTTTTAGACCGGCACCACGGCGCTTTTCTTTGCCGCCCAGGAGGGCTACATGGACATCGCCAGCCTACTATTGGAGCACGGTTCCGTGGTAGACTCCTGCAGCATAGTAAGTTTCTAGAGAAACCAAAAACCGCTTAACGAAGCGTGAAAAGGAAACTCGACGGTTTCTGGTGCGATTGCAGGACGGCGGTACCCCACTTTTCGTCGCGTGCCAGTGTGGTCACCTGGACGTGGTGGAAGGCTTAATCGAGAGGGGCGCCAACCCGAACGCTCACATGAAGGTAAAACTCGCTCGAGTATTCGCTAGAAATTAGCGAAAACCTCGATTAGCGAAGAATGAATGTCAAAAGAGTAAATGTAAATTCAAAGAGTGAATTTAATCTTATCGGGGCCTGAAGTTAATCACTACAAGATAGTATAGAACAAAAGTTATATAGAATAACGAATAAAAAGATTTAACTGCTTCTAACACACGCTGTAGACTGTTGAAAGAGCACTCTTCAAGAGACATAGGAAGAAATTTCTATAAACACATCGCCGAGATGCTAATAGTGCTAACACCTCAAACAAAAGAACACTTTAACAACAAAATTCCCAAATAACACCTTCCTCTGGTTACTAAGAAGAATAACTCCTTAACCAGCACCGTCGACTGAACGATCCCTGCATGTTAACCAGAACTATTGGCCGTTAGTTGGAACCATTTTTAAAATCCGATTTTTAAGTGGACTCTGAACCACCTAAAAGTCAAGCATGTTGTACCGCAAAACGTTTAGAAGATTCGCAAGAAGAAAAAATGTATAAAAAGCAACAATTGGTTAAACAGGACGGTGCCACGGCGTTGTTCATAGCCGCTCAAAATGGCCACGTGCGCATCTTGGAGGTCCTCCTGGAGCACGGAGCAAAGACGGACGCGGTGCGAACCGACGGCGCCACGCCTTTATGGATAGGAGCACAAATGGGACACGATCACGTCGTGAGGAGGCTTTTGAAAGCTGGTGCGAAGGTCGATGCCACCAGACACGTAAGTCTCGCGAATGATCGGAGAACTGGCAGGAATCTGGATTCCGTTATCGAGGCGGCCAGGAGAACGATCGGTCGGTTCAGAGTGTCCTGGATGCGTTCAGCGCTAATTGTTGTTGCACCTTCTTTTGTAGGATGGAGCGACACCGCTTTTTAAAGCGGCCCATAAAGGCCATACCGCTGTCGTTGGTGAGCTGCTCAAGTATCGTCCATCGCTCGGTATTCTTCCAGTAAGTAAACGTATCTCTTACGCTGGAATCGAATATTTTAATTAGAGAACTAAGAAGAATTCATCAGTGAATTACACCCCAACTAGGATTCCTTTATATAGTGAGGGTGAAATATAGGATTCTCCCTGTAACGTTTGTGTTAAATAGTGCTTTATTCAAGTAGTACTTTTCAAGAATTAGGCGTTTCCCAGACTTCTGCGAGGCGGAGCACGTTTGAGCGTCGAAGGCCGTTAAAGGCTGAATTCAGTACACTTCTTTTATACGCCGTCGAAACAAACTCTATTAGCTACTTAAGGCCATGGAGAGTTTATCCCCACCATACCCTTTGATTAACCCGTCGCGCAATTTGTTTCCTGAATAAACTCAAGTTGTAACAATAGGAATTTTGCAGAGATGTACCGAAGAAATCTGGAATCGAAAGTTCATCGACCCAAGATGGGAAACAATGTCATTTAATGAATTACATAACATTGTTTCAGAACGGTGAAAGCGCGCTACACGCAGCAGCTTTAACAGGACAAATGACTGTTGCAAGGCAACTGGTAGGTGCAGGAGCGGACCCTCTACTTGTGAATCAAGAGGGTGTTACGCCTCTTCAACTGGCTGTTAGGCACTCGCAAACGCAGGTCGCCAATTATCTGAAGGATAAAGTTAGAGCACGAACGGGAACGTCTTAGCAAAGTCCGCGTTTCTTATCCGCCCAGTAAAATAAAAATTAATATACAAAATAACAGAAGAAAAACTATAGACCTGTGAGGGAGAGATCAGTATTTCTAAAGAGAATATAATATATATATATATATGTATTATATATATATATATACACATGTTACACGTTGGATGTACTATATTAGACACTTTATACGTAAAGTGATCGAGTAAGTGCAATCTTATTGTATTCCGTAGCGTTACAAGATTGAAATGTAAACGGGATTTTAAACAGCTTTGTGCATTCTATAATGTAAAATACATTATAATGCATTCTCTTGTTGTACATATTTTACCATGAACTTTCAAAGCACTTTTACTGTCGGTGTAGTGTGTTATACATCCCGTAGAATTGTTTTTAGAATAGAACTATATATTTTGTTAGCATTGAACTCGTCGTTACATAAAAATCTTCAACGTTAACGGATATAATATATACCTTCGAATAATACAATCGTTTTGTTCTAATTGAGAATTGTATAAGACTGATTGATTTGCCTTGGAGAATACAAAATTGAATAATTTTGTAGTACGATATCTATTTCTTCCTGTTGATTTATATACTGTAAAGTTAACGCAGTACGCACAGTTAAAACGTAAGAATTTAACAAAGAAAAAATTAACCGCTTAACGTTCTTTTTTTTTTTGTTGATTAAATCTACTTATATAGCTTTTATATTGATTGTACTTTTAAATGCCCAATATGCATTATCAGAAGATACTTGGGTTAGAGCATTAAGCGGTTAAGTTTTAAACTTATGCTGTAAGATGATACTAAGATGTTTTATTTGAATATAACGTTATGAAATATTTTATAATTGTTTGTTTGGTGTTACTTTACAATGTAATAAATACATATACTGTTTTCCCAAGGTGTTAATGTTTATTTACATTTGCAGTGTTGAAATAACAAGTACTTATTCAGAGGGTTTAAAATTATATAAAACATATACTCAGTATATGTAATGTTATACATAAATATCGAATATTTTTACTTTGTATGATATCACAGATTAGGTAAAGTTTTTGCTGTACATATTAATACAAAAATTATAATCAAGTTTGAAGTGTTAATTACAAACATTTTCTTAATTCTATACAAAATAGTTTATTTGTTATATATTAAATATTATTTTTTATTATATACAAACAAGGTCATTAAACATTTTTTCTATTTAATTCAAGCAAAAAACATCATTATTTTCAACAATCTATTTTTTTTATTCACACTAATAAGCTAAGCTATACTTTTGCTCTGAATTCATTTGCATAAATAAGCATGTGTACATATTAATATTTCCACAAAAAAGAACTTGTATCAAGATGTATGTACAAAGGTTCGAAATCTGTATCATCCTAAAAAAATGAGTCACTGTGATAAAGAAAAAGAATATTACTGCTGTAACAAAAACAAAGCTGAAAGTACAAGGCAAAGGTGCATAATTCATGTCAAAGTCATCCTTGTATCCCATCTGCTAAGTGTCTGTTTCCTATTTCATTTTAAATGCAAAACATCTTCTAGTTAAGGTAATACAGTTTAGCTGAGAAGTGTGTCAAACAGTTCAGTACAGGGACTAACCACAAATTTTAAACTAGTTTTCGCAAAATGAACATAATCAATTATAAATTAGAATGCCTATGTCTCGTTGGTTTTTATCAATTATCTTTGTTACACTGATAAGATAGTATATAAGACACACATCTTATGTGTCGGATTCATAGAATTATCAGTTACACGCTGATTCTCAAGCAATACTCATCATGGTCCGCGATCGAATGTCAGAGTTACGCGCTGTTAGTATTTTATCACTCAGTATAATGAAGAGTTAAAACTATCACTTATATTGCAACATTAAATTTTATAAAATTACACGTGAAAACGTTATTCACATTAATGATACAAACTATAAAATATACCGCAACAAATGCTGAAACATAAATAACTTTAGTTTGAAAAGCTAATATACTCTTTATGTTCTTTAAATATTATTTTCAGTGCTTAGTTTTCTAATGAAATACAGATGTGCATGTAATATTTATATCTACTTATATTTAGGGTCAAACGGGTAGCACTACATTTGGTAAAGGATTTTTACAAGATGTACACATCAACATATCTCAAAATAGAAAATTGAAGGAAGTGTTGGATGAAGTATGTATTCATACACATATGTACATAGTTAAGTCACCATTCAAATATCACAGACTTTAAAATTGGCAGTAGACATATAAATAATATTAATACAGGTTGAAGAAGTTCGTGCATTAATACATCTTATTGTTGAGAATACTTCTATTGTTAAGGATTTACATAATAATGTTCTGTCACACACAAATAAAGGTAAGAACAAAGTACCAAATGTTTTCCATATTTCATAATTAATAATTCTCGTTTTTCAGATATACAAAAAGAATTGGAAAATCGTACGTATGCTATTTCACAAACATCATTTCGCGTCCAACGAAAATTACGAGGTATGTAAAATTTTTCTTTCTACTTCTATAAATTGCACCATAAAGAAAAATAAAGGAACAAAAATACTTTGCCTTACCTATCCTAATCAGACTCACTATCATCTTGAATTTGGGACTTGTTTATATCTACTGTTTTATGTTCAAAATTGTTTAATTTTTTTGCATTTTGAAAGAAAGTAGAAAGTTTTCTAGCCTTTAAAACATGGTCCACTAATGTATCACTAATGTGAAAATCAAAACAACTGGATGACTTAGGTGTACTTGTGCTTGGACCAGGTTGTGAGGGTGAAGGTAGTCGTAAAATTGGTGTTGAAGATGTAGGATGCCAACTGTCTAAAGAACTAGTTGGTGAAAGTGGAGGATAAACGTTTGTAGATGTACTTTTTGAGGTTGACAATTGAGAAATTGAAATACGTTGTAGCCGAACTGAAGGATATATGTTGTGTGTTTCTAAATCTGAATTCTTGGTTAATCTAATCTGATTACTTATTTCGGTTGGCGAATTTTCTTCTTCATTAGAGTTCTCATCCTCACAACTGACATCTCCCACTTGCCTGAAATACGTTATAATTAGTAAACAATTAATAACATATTAAACAGTATTTTTATATACCTCTTGAACTGTTCCACTTCTTTTTCCAAATTTGGGTATTCATTCAATATATTCGACAACTGATCTTTGTTATATTCTGAATATGTTTTCACCAAAAGTCTTTTCACATCATTTTCCAATGGAGATTTTAAAACTGATAATTTTTGTCTTAGTTTTATTAATAAAGGTAATAAAACTTCTAAACCATGTTTTTTTATTCCTTCAATAATAATGGTTATTGCATTAGCAGCTGGTGTCATTGTTTGAACTGTAGATTCTTCAGATTCTTGTTGATCATCTTCTCCATGTTTGTGAAAAGATGATAATCGTAAACGATCATTACCAATTACATATAATGCATCCCTTAAAACACATGCTCCTTCTTCTTTTTTAATATCAACAGAATCAACACAAGTTCCGCCAAATATTTGACTAGTTATTTTTACAAGTAACTTTATCTTTGCTGGAGGATCTAAATGATCCAACATAAAATCATAAATTGTTCGTCGTTTATCTTCATTTTTTTTCCCAGAAAGTGTTAATGCTCTTCTTTCCTTTTCACGCATTCTTTGATGGTAAATTTTGTGCTGGGATTGATAATTGTTATAGTGATATATACTTTGTAAAAATTGTTGTGATATTAACGTTTTATTCTTTGTTAAAAGCCTCTCTTTTATTAAGAAAATTGTTAATTCGCGAATCATATTGTCTGAATCTGACAACATTGTTAACATATGAAAAAAGAATGGACCCTTAATTTTTACATAATCTTCAAGAAGAAGCTGGATGAATATCACCATGATAGCTTCTCGAACTTGTGGACTTGAATCCTTCATACTGACACACATGTCTGGCAAATAAGGTTCAACTAATGCGGTAAATCTAATGCAAATATCAGCTAAAGCCTTTGCAGTGTTTATTTTAACAGCAATTTCAGTAGCTGAATTTAGATTTGTTTCCTGTCTCATTAATCTACCAAATATTGGTACTACTTCTTTTGCAATCTCACGATCCCGCACTGCTTGCTGACCAAGAATAATTACAGCTGATGCTCGTAACTCTTGTATTTCTTTTATTGCTTCTGGTAGAACTTCCCATTCTAGAAGTACCCCTTGTAAAATTCGTAATGTTAATGGTGAAATTTTGTAAGTACACAATAGTGTAGAATGTCCTAGAGTAAACATAGCTTTTAAATAGTTAGGTGCAGCTTCTACAGCCAAGTTTTCATTTTTTAAAATTTTCGTAATTTCTATTTCTGAAATCTTTATTAAATTCAGCATATTTGATTCCAGTAAATTATTACCCCTGGGATTTAAATACTGTATTATATTATGTATGATGTCCAAACAAATACTAATCAAACCAAAGTTGATTTTAAATTCCTGTATACATTTGTAAAGGTAAACATGAAGACATTCCAAAACATCATTATCCAAGGACTTCCATGAATATTTTAAAACTTGCAGAACTAAACTTGTATAAAAATCATTCTCTTCAAAAATTTCCTTGTAATTTGAAATGTATTTATTCATGTTTGGCAACTTGATATTTTCAGCCAGTGCAGCTAAAAAAATCCATGCTCCTATATTATTGTTTGTTCCAATATGAGACTGTATGTTTTTTACTACAGAATTAGTAATAATACCAGCTTTAACCCATAAGTTACAAGCCTTGGATAAATGTTTTCGCATTTTCATATTAGTTAATGTATTTAGAATATTCCATGGTAAAGTACTTCTTGTGGTATCAAAACACATAGAAGGATCTACTATTCCGTTTAATAATAACTCCTGTAAATATTCTAGTACTTTTTCTTGTACTTTAATTTCTATATCAAATATTTGTGGTACAACAGTTTTTGTCCATTCATCCAGAAGTTGAGAATTATCTGGGAATTGTTGTAAAATTTGAGATAATACTTGTACAGCAAATCGTCGGACCGTTAGTGTTGGGTCTCGACACCGGCGACTAATTACAGGTATTATTTCATTCATCAATGCTGGAAACATTAGAATTAAATTTCTATAAATCTGCAACGTACTTCGTCGTATCATTGCTCTTTCATCCTCTATTCGTTCAATCAGCATGTTTATTAAAACATTTGAACCAGGTAATACATCAATGTCTTTGGATAGGGCATCCTTTATTTCGTCGAACGAAAGGAATTTCTTATTTGGATCAGACTCTCTAAACATAGTTTGTAGCATTGCCTTGTCTATTTCATTATTGGACTCAGTAAACTCTGCAATTATTGCCATGGCTTTTCCTCTCACCATACTTGAACAGTCCATGCATCTACTTAATACAATTGCAAGGAATATTTTTTTTGCTTGAATCTTTAGACTTTCATTCATATTGCATTCCATCAAAAAGGATTCAATTAATAACTTTCCAATTATCTCTTGAGCAAATATTCTGAATGGTATTTTATTATGATGTGATAATAGTATTACATTTTTAAAGGCTTCTAGTATAATATTTTGTTTACATATTCCAAAGAGTTTTATCAGTACACTAGCTTGCTTTTGACGAGCTTCAAGTCTGTCTGGGTAATTCAGCATTAAGTGCTGTATTAATATTATAATAGCAGTTTTTGCATCTTTCTCATATGCCTCTAATAAAACTTTTAAAAAGTTAAAAGTACATTCACGTACAGTTGTGATAAATTTTACTTGTGTGTCCATATGACTACATAATAAACGAGGTAATACATATTTTGCAATAATTGTTATAGTAACTTTAACAGCTCCATGCTTACTATCACATAATTCTTCCAAAGCCAAATAAGCATTTTTTGTCAATGAAATTTCTGTGGTACCTTTTTGTCTAATATTACATTGAAAATCTACACAATCATTTTCTACTTTTGTAACTTCAAGCAATCCATGAATAGTAATATCTAATGATTGTGCATGATTCTTAAACCAAAATGATTTTATCATCATAGTAAAGCTAGAAATGATAATATTCAAATTTTGCATTAGACCTTTTTTTTCACTGGGTGAGAGGATATTATCATTTATTGATTCATCACTAATATTAAAATCATCTAAATTCACTGCTTTGTTACGTTTTTTGTTAGGCGGTTGTAATAGCTCACAGTTTACTCTCAGTGTTTCAATGGCTCTTTGATACAAGTTTGGATGAAATACATTAAATGCATTGCTACCAGGAACAGCCAAAAGTATGAAATATAAATTAGTTGCATACAGACATGATTGCCTTGAGTCTCTCTCAGCTTCTTTAGCCTGGCCACTTTTTATTATGTAACCCAATATAGGTAAAAGAGCATGCACCTTAATATCCATTGAAATTAATTTGCTCCAAGATATATCAGAGTAATGTTCCGAGTCATTTTGACTGATACCCTTGGCTAGCCAGGTTTTTACAGCTATACAAGACTCATGTAAAAGCAGTCTCATGCCTTCACTCTCCAAAAACATGAGGTACTCATCAGGTGGTTCTTTGAAAAACATAAATTCTGCATCCCAAATGGATTGAATCCAGTCTTCACTTAGATCACTCAATTTAAAATTGTCAAATATTTTTAGAGATTCCATGGTAACAACTGTATTCGATTTAAATCATTTTAAAACGAAACTACAATTATTATCACATTTCTTTAAATATCTTGCAAAATATAAACATAACCTTAACTTATCACGCGATAAAGAAAATTTATAGTCTCAGGTTATCATTTTCTGAGCGCGTATCGATAACAAATTTGTAATTCGATTATGATGTACATTAACAGAAAACTTTATTGAACATTTACTGAGGAACATCTCGCTCAAAATATAAAAAGTTCTACAAGGGACTCTGGCGTCCATTCGAAAGCGGGAAACTATCCAACCAATTAAATTCGTTGCAAAGTGCAACGTAACTTTGCACGCAACTCCCACACATTGTACATTTTTTCTAAATATGATCAGAAACTAGTACATATATAATTTATATATCATACAAATAATCAGTATCCTGAATAATTAATCGAGAGTATTTCATAATTGGATCATATTATGCAAAAAATATTTTAATTAATATTAGCTTATATTTTGCGCGGGCAAAATCATTTATAAAAGTATATGTATTAGGTCACGTGAGATTAAAAATATCGTTACTAACTATAACTTTATGAAGAAACAATAATTTTTCATTGAACGAGTTTTTCAATTACTTAAAATTTTACTTTATTTTGTATAAACTATTTAAATATTTTTATACATTTTTATAGAAATGGGAAAGGAAATTGCTGCCATTGATGATTTAACACTATCAAGTGCAAGAAATGGGCCCGTGCATATTCGAATTAAAGCGTTACAATACACGTCGATGTTACGATTGTTTTCAGAAGTTATGGAAGAGTACAACACGTCTATGTTGAGATATCACGAAAAATGCCGTTTACTTTTACAACAACAAAAAATGTTAAGTATGTTTTCACAAAAAGTTTCAAATTATTTTCCGTTACCTAAACTCCATGTTATTCCATCGTTTACTTTTTTAGTCAGGAAGCATATCACAAGAGAAGAACTGGAAAAGCTACTTGATTCCCACGAAAATAGTTTATTTGTTGATAATGTAAGTATTCAGAATGTAGATATCTCTGAATTACTATTTTGTTTATAAACGTAAACAGACTTAAACTTTTTAACTATTAGATTTTAGAAGATAGCAGAATTGCAAGACAACAGTTATCAGATATACAAAGTAGACACAATGACATAGTAAAATTGGAAAAATCTATTACAGAAATTAGGGACATGTTTACTGAAATGGCATTTCTTATTGAAAAACAGGTAAGTGCCAAAGAATAAATAGAACTATAGTAAGTATAGCAATGAATTGCGTAAATCGAGAACTCGCTGTATTAAAAATACATCCGTTTGGACTTTAATTTCTTTTTGTGCAGGGAGAACAATTAAATAGCGTGGAATATTTTGCTGGTAAAACTGCAGATAATGTTGATAATGGTCGTGCCGATCTTAAGAAAGCAGAACAAAGAAGTCACAGACACAGAAAGGTATTTATAATACAAAGTAAATATATATTTAGAAAAATAACTACACTAATACAGAATATTTTTCCAGAGGAAAATGAAATTTGGTATTATCATCAGTATAATAATAATTATTTTTCTTTTAATAATAGTCGTCCTTTTATAAAAAAAGAAACAGAAATTGGTATAAAAGTGAAAAATTTATTATATGAACAGTGGCATTCAGTATTTTTAAAAAAATGTTATCACTAAGATTATCAATAACGTATTAATATATGTATAATACTTACAATATATATAACAATAACAAAGTTATTCTTATGAAAGATAATTCAAAACAGAGTAAGATCATTTATTTTTTTTTATATATATAATTTTCAAAATATTTTAGAATACCTTTAGCACTAGGCCTAAGATTATGTTCACTGGTAGTGCATGCAAAAAATAATTCAAGTACTTTTTCATATTCTTTTCCTAGATTAATGGCAGGTAATGGAGGGCGTGTACCTATAATTATTAATGTATTGTATTTGATTTACTAACTTTTAAAGATGGCTTTAGATATATGTTATTCATGTACTTACCACATATAGCATGGGTCATTTTTTTAAGAAAATCAATGCCCTCATCTTTATTGTCATGTTCACTAGTTTCCAAATCAAGTGTTGTTTCCATTTCTGACATTGATTCCTTGAATGAATCATCATCAACTGTTTCTATATTTCCTACATGAGGTGGAGACAAAGCTATCATTTCCCAAACCACAAGGCCATATGACCAAATATCAGCTTTATTTGTAACTGGACCATCCTCTGAGAAATAAAATTTTATTATTTTCTGTTATAATTATTGGTACACATGAATTCTAAAACATGACTTGCCAAATATTATTTCAGGTGCACTCCAACACTCTGTTCCTACATATGAAAAATCTCCTTTTGAAGTGTCTATTTCTAAAGATTTTGTAAGTGGTACAGACACACCAAAATCACAAAGTTTAACTATGCTGTAATCCTCAGATAGTAACACATTATAACTTTTTATATCTCCATGTAAAATATGAGCAGTGTGATGTAAATATTCTAATCCTTTTACAATTTCATATGCAATTTTTAATATGTCTTTAGCTGGAAACTGATCATCGCCAACCTCAAGTTTCTCTTCTATTCTATCACCTGAAAAAATCATATTAATTTATTTGCTTTTCTAAGCTTCTAATCAAAATAAAATAATAGACACATATTAAGTACGATTTTATCATATAATATATTTCCTTATACCTAAAGAAGTGTCCAATTTTTCCATTGCCAAACATGGTTCACCGTTTGCAACTTCGGTGAACGCCCGAAAACCGACAATGTTTGGATGATCTAATTTACGAAGTATTTCTGCTTCAAATCGAATACGTTCGTTATACTTTCTATCTTCAACTTTGTGATTTCTTTTCTTTATTGCCCATGGCGATCGAGCGAAACCAACCCTTGGCGATCGTTCCAAGCTAAATACAGCAACACCTGGCAATGTATTTGAGCATTAAAATAATAGAGCATTAACAAATTAAACTAATTGCACTTATTTACCACATCCATAACCTATTTGTTCTAGAAACGGTGAGGCTGGTATTTTAATAGGAGTTTGCAATTCTGGATTATCTTGCATTCTACTCTTGTACTTTTTCGTCGTCGGTGTTCTAAATTCAGTCATTATATTGCTATTAGAAATAATAATATTTGATTTAAATTCAAGGCGTCTTGTAACACATTCGATCACACTCAACCCGTTACTTTTGAATTTTCTTAATCTGACGCTCAAGTATTGCCAACTTAAGGGGGTAAACACAAATAATGCAGCGCGCTGTATACCGACAGTACCGACACAATCTGGCCCGAAATATGGGTTTACGGGCCAAGATTTTACGCCCTTATATGAGCAGATTTTGGGTCGGACGAGGGGTCATTCGAAAGAGGAAGGTCCAATGCAGAGCGCTCTTTGTCAGATACTCGCTGTTCTTTTCTACACTCGCCGCCTCCAGTAAGCGTCAACAAAGTATCAAGAATCATTTCTCGTCCACACTACAGCCGAGTGTTGAGTAAGCTGGGCCTGAACATTTCTTTACACATTCAGAATGGTATATGGCAATAGCAAGCAGCTCCCTCGTCTGTGCTTCAGGCAGCCGCATATCTGCCGATATTACCATTTCTGTGCAGAGAATAGCTGTTGTAACACAGACGAGATATATGAATAGACGTCTCACGTAATGTAATTTTTCGGCCGGAGTTTCTGGGGTCCCGGGACCCCATTACCATTTTCGTGTCACTCGCTACGTTATCAACAGATTCAGAAATTAACAGAAGAGGAAGTGAGACAGAAAATAAAATTACATAAATTTTATTATTTTTTAACGGAATTAAAGCTGTAGGGTCCATCATTGGACATTAATCGATTAATTTAATTGGAGAAATCAATCGATTAAGAGTATTTAAAAATTTCAAGATTATTAAAATTCATAAGGATGTATTTCATTGATACGTACACCGCAAATTCTCTATTTTTTATTTTAAATTGTAATACATCATTTATTAAAAAAATAACTCGGCAGAAACGTATTTGCGACTCGAAATCAGTTTAATCAGACTGTGCATCGGGGCCCCGGAAACTCCTCATTCCTCGCTTTCGCACACTATGCTCAATTGCGTGTACGTGAGCTCGTTGAGTTTCGGAAGAGCCGAGATGAACAGGCTGATACTCGCTTTCCTTCTCGCTCTTGCATCGCTGACGTCCTTTACATTTCTCGAAAGCAAGCCTGGCATCGCAACCATTCGAATCGTCAGTAAACGACAAAAGCCATCGTGACTGACAGACCTTACATTTCTCGAAATCGGACCTGGGCGCTTTTTGAAGATTCATTGACTTTCCATACGAAGCGACCATGCGTTATATACATATACATGTTATACATGCTAGGAACTATAAATTGTATAACTTTCGTTGTATATCTACTTTCTAATAACATGGGAAAATTTTAAAATATAAAAAAATGTAAGAATACTGTAGAATTTTTGCAATGGAGAATTATTGAAAGAAAATGAGGTAATTATTTAGAAAAGGCCGGGTCTCACCGATTTCGATGATTTTTGAATATGTTGTAGAAATCAACATTTTGAGCAACTTTTTCCTATACATATAACCGCCGCTCGGCCTTAGTTTCCGAGATTTTTCTTCAAAAAGATCGCTACTACTACAATGAATTCTGTCTATATGTACATATCTGTGGCTCTGTATTGCATCAGTCCACGATCGTTGCTTTTTTCTCTTGTTTGTATTAGTCGGCATAACAACCGACGACAAATAATGTATAATGTGCCGAGCTAAATCTAGTTCTGCATTGTTGTCAAAGGTTCGAATTTTCTGAAGTATGGAACTCGCCGAATACATTATGTAGGCTATTTAGGTGAATTCTTCTTCCGTCGACAATATCATGCTAATGATCTAATAATTAAATTTGTCGAAATAATGGCTGAAATCTTTCCCACTTCTGATAATATCAATAAAGAAAATTGAATTAGAAAATGAATGCGTGGCCGCCGTTTGGCGGCCGGCTACACAAATCGAGTTTTTAAGCACAGCTGTTATACGCATTCATTGCCGGCCGCCTCGATGTATCTATAGAAAATAAAAAATAAAAATTTATTTCTCATAATTTTCTATGGTATGGTAAATTCTGAAACAATTCCCAATATACATAGCAGGTTGATTTATACATCTTTCACAATAAAATGTTGTTTGACGTCTTTCTCCTGGTGTTTTCCTGTCGGAACAAATAATGCAGTCCCGGTTTCTTTGGCCTACATTTGGAATATGTAGCTTATTATTCATTCTATTGTCCGACAAAGAACGTTAATTTATTTAGATTATAACGAAGATAGCAATAGGAATGGTTCGACTTTGAATGAAGTTTCGATTTTACGTTTATAGTTTTTTACGTTTACGTTTTATGTTCTTTATGTTAAATAATTTCAGTAAACATTAAATAATATAGTTTATATAGTTACGTTTATTGTCCACGTGTTTGAATCCGACCATACGCCTCTGACCATCATCGACAATCCTTCCACTTCCAACGTAAAAACGGCTGATATATTTCTCATTTTAATAGAATATTTCCCATTTTAATAGGAAAGTACAGGAAAACATGTGTTTCTTAAAAAATTGCGGTGAAATCAGTTCATTCTCCTTAATCACTAATAAACTTTCATGTCCCCTCAGAGGGGACGACCGAGTGCAAAGGGTTAAAATATGTTCATAAAATATTATCGTTTTAAAACGTGTATTTCCGTAAAAACAAATTTTTGTAATTTTTTCTTCATTATGGTATATTGCTTATACATTGTATATGCCTACACAGGTCAGAAAGTCAAAAATGCCTAGGCAGTCGAGAATCTCGGCTCGAGAATATGCGAGATCGAATTTCAGCTGTGGTGAGAGCAAGAAGGATAGACTGACATTCGCCGCCTTTCTCGAATCTACGAAGCTATACGAAACGCCAAAACTCATATACAAGGTGGTTGGCATTAGTGTGTGTGAGTGGTGGGGCAGTTCCCTTTGGGCACGGGTCTGCCGTCTGATAATACTCCACTGTCTTTTCCAATCCCTCCCATAATGAACTCACATGGATTTACGTACCCCCTCAGCTGGCTGCCCATCAATACTAATTCAGTGCCTAGTTTCTCAACTAACCGCCATTCATGAGAAGAGGCCGCTAAAATCAGCTCCGAATTTTCAGGTCGGTATGACAGTCAGATTCGGTCGCGAAAGTCCATAAGGTGAAACGTCTATTCATATATCTCGTCTGTGGCAGAGAATAGCTGTTGTAATACCGACCTGCCGAATCGGCGAGGTCACGTGCCGTGTCTACCCCCTTAATATCAATATTTATATAAGTTATTCAACATTTCATGATTGTCATTGCACATATAACGTGTATATATTTCATCTCCTCTTACTTTACGCTTTTTATTGCTTTTTATATTTTATGATTTTCATAAACAGCCAAACAAGGGATCATGTAGCTAGCTCTCTTTTTACCCGATTTCAGTACTTTCCTGACGCCTTTTACGACGCGCATGCGCTAAAACCTTGCCTGTCAGATAGTCTCTATCTAATGACATTGCATCTAGCATTTCAGTCGTGCGACAATTAGAAGATTGTCGAGAAGGAAAAGGGGATGCGTTTGGTGTATTATATTCTCCTCAAACGGAACAAATTAATGGAGCTTTGTGTTCGTCACTTCACATTGTTTCTAACTGTTTCTGTCAGTTCAAGGAAAGTCCAATCCGATGTTATTTTTTTCTATCGTGTATTGACGATATGTTGACAAGCGGTCAGCTGTTTCCGGTCTATGAAAATACAGGTGGTTCAATAGAAACCCACGAAAAACCCGGCTAATTACTTTTAATTAAATAAGTGGTAGTTCGTCTGCTAAACCAGAGTATATAAAGAGTGTGTGATGAAATTTTAACGCGTGGTAAATTTTCCTCCCTTAATTTCCTTTCGGTTGTTACGGATAATGTTGAAACAAGAGTTTGAAGCACGCACGCCGAGAAATGCTGATAACTCGCACACGAGTACACCAGACTCAGGAAGTAACGACGTGGCCAAGGAGTCGAATCAGAGGCTTGCGATAGAAGACAAACTGGCCAGAAAGATGTTTCCGTACGCCAGGGAAATCTGTTTTTTCCTTGCAGTCACTTTTACCGCCTTGACCGCCCTTCATAGCTCGTAAGTTTTAGGTTATGTCAATTCTCTGGTAAAAAATTCATTGTGATTCAACGTGACATTGGTTTCGTGCTAAAAGTAATGTAACATCCAAGTTTTTGACATCGTGGAACAGATGTTCTGTAACTTGAAAGTATTATAAAATACAAGTATTTTTCGACAATAAAAGTCGATTATGTTGTTCTTGGTAAATTACATTTTATACATATTTCTTTTACATGTTATGTACATTTATTATTTTTATTGTAGACCTCCTAAGATATCAAAGCCACCGTCAGCTAAACCATTTTTTAATCAGAGCTCGATTGTCTTAGATTTTTATAAAGGTCATCTAGGAGCTATGATAGAAAGAGTTACTGAAGCAGATTTTAGTTTTGTTATGTATTATGCTCCTTGGGATGCAGAAAGTCAAGCAGTACGTCCGGAATTTGAAAATGTTGCTCAGTATTATCGCACACAGGTATAAAAAGTATTTATAAAATTGACTCATATCATTGTGTACAGAGTAATTTGCAAGCAAAAATTGTATAATCTTTTAAACAGACCCTTCAAAATTCAATTTGAATCTGTATAAAATATATATTATAAGCTATCTACAACATCGATACTCAGTTGACAACTAACTTGTGTCATTGATAGTTTTACTTTCTCTAGATTATTATATTATTTGTAGATTGTTTCACATTTGATAATATAGGTAATTCAATGTTTGCAGAATATTCTGCATTTAGTTATATAGATTAGACATTGTAAAATTAAAAACAATGTTTGAATTTTAGATATTTTTTGCTGCTATTAATTGTTGGCATCCAAGCTCAGAGTGTAGAGCTCAATATAGCAAAATTCAAAGTTATCCATTGTTAATGCTTTATCCATCAAGGGACTCTGGCATTGAATACAGGGGTATTCGTACTTGGCCATACATGATTCGTTTTCTTAATGCAGTCATGAATCCAATTGTTAGAATAACTCATACAAAACAGTTGATAGAGTTATTTGTGAATTATGATGTAAATATGAATAACTAATTTGTAATTCTAGATTGCTTTAGAGAAAAAGAAAATAATTTATTATTGTTATTGTAGGCTGTGGTGGTAGGTTATTTTAATTTCACACGGTTGGATAGAACTCCGGGTTACAGAGAATTTTATAATGCTGCTATACGTGTATTAGAAAGAGATCCTAATAGAGAGCTGGCGTTTGCTATCGTCACCAGTGCATTGTCTAGTGAAAGAGACCATAATGTTTATAAATTTCCATCTGCAAATTTGCTCATGTGGAATGAATCTTTCGTAAGTACGAGAAAACATTTTATATTTACATGTATGCAATGGTATAAATACATGGGATACATAAAGCAAAAACATTTGCATATATAGCACAATTAAATGAGTTTGAGAATTGAAATGTGTAGAGGTATCCAGAAGACTCTGAATGGACTTCCGAAAACATATTAAATTGGATTAGCAACTCCATTCATCAATCAGCACTATGGCTTCAGCCTCCTGGGATAAAATCACTAACATTAGCACCATATTTGAAGGAAGGACCTGTACTTTTTCTCTTCACACCTCGCAATCCTTTACACCCTGAAAATTACAATTACAATCTGGTGCGTAGTAAAGTAAGCACAAATGCAATCTGAAGGATATGTAATAAGTATTACATTGGTCCTTTAGATCAGAGAAATTGGACTGCAAGATTATGTCTGTGTAGATAATCTGATGGCTAAGAATATAATTGAACATCTCAGTTTTAATCGTCGCACAGCTATTGCCAGGCATTTTGAGAAAAGTAGACAATGTATTAAGCTCTTAAAGGAAAACAAAAATCAGTCAAATGAATCGACTGTCAGTGTTTCTATTCAACGGTGGATTAATGATAGTTGCTGTGCTAATATTGTCATGAATAAATGTTCTGTATGTAAGAAACTTGAATTAAGCAATGCAGAAAGAGAAGCGTCCGTTTGTAAGCTTGTTTCCAATAAACTTAATCATGTATGTAAAGGTGCAGATATTTTTAAAATTTCCACCATGGAAGATCTGCAAGAGAAATACGATGTCTGTTGTAATAAGGATTATGTAACAGTAAAATTACAAGAAGGATCTAAATTTAGAAGGTACAAAAATGTTTAACTTAAATATCATTCTTTAATTAATAATTTTTATTTTATTTTTAGCCAAAGATACAAGACATCGTTAGTTACAGCAAATGATTACGATATACGATCTGCAAACGCAATAAAGCAAGCATATTTAAAACAAGATTGTAAAAGGTGGATAACTGGAAACAAGTATCATCAACCTGTATTTCCACGTGATTCCCCTGAACATCCTAATATAACTCTAACTGAATCAGTGTGCAAAATTAATAAAACATTGGCATTGATAGCAATCGATAGTTTGCATTATTTCCATTTTGCAGAAGGTCTTGGAATAGATATTCTAAAGAAGAAAGATAAGACTGCTGTTGTTATATTAGATTCTGCTGTAAGTTTTATACTTTTGTTTTGTCTTTGTATCATTGTGTATATTAATCTGTAATTATTTATTGTAGCATGAGAGTCAATATGTCATGCAAGGCGATTTTAATCGATATACACTTATACAATTTATAAATAATTATACTGAAGGTTTTTTACAACGTACACTACGGTCTAATAATTCAAGGCGTTTTGTTCAAAAGTTTAAAAGCAAAACCAATTGTGAAACGAAAGACGATCAGAGTATATGTATACCGGAATTAACGACAGAAACCTTCTTAAGTACTATTTTAGATCCAACAAAGGTAACTTGAATGAAAACTTAACACGCTGCAATGGTATATAATAAAACTATAATTAAGGAATATATTAACCTTAATGATTTTTCTCACAGGATGTGATTGTAATGTACTACTCTCCTTATTGTGCATTTTGTAGTGCAATCTCTTATATATACTTAACTGTGGCTCATTACTTGCGCGAAATGGATCATCTTTTATTTGTAAGAGTTGATGGTGATAACAATGATCTACCATGGGAATATAATATGAATCGATTTCCATCTATTCTTTTTTTTCCTGCTAAAAGGTAATTAAAATTAAGTTGATTGTAATTGATTTTTATAGCAGTTTTACTATAGTAAAATTATCTTTATTTCAGAAAAGAGGATAGCACGGTGTATCCGTTTTCTCTGCCAATTACCATTCCTAATTTCATTAATTTCGTTTTAGCGAATTTAGATGGAGATTCGCATGTCGAGGCACTTGTAAATATTTGTCAATCTGGAACCGGTGAATTATCAGATACGTGTATTGTTCGAACACGTTGGCTGTGCCTAGATATCATTCAACAACTACTTAGAGATTATCGAAAACTAATAAGACACGTAAACTTATTAGGAAAAAAGAATGCTAGGAACAAGAGAAAAATCATTTTACTAAAGCTGGCACATATTAAGGATATACACTTGATATTAGGTTCCACTACCGATCTCAGAGAGGATCAACACAAAGTAAAAGTTATCAGGAAAAAATATAGAAAATATTATAAAAGTATTAGGTTAATCGAATTAGATAGTAAAATGAATAGCCATCAACTTGAAGAAGCTATTCTACAAAAAAATGTTTTTGAAAGAAAAACAATTAAAAGCGAATTGTGATATCAATTTAATAATAGATATTTTCTGATAAATGTTATGTTATTTAAGTTCTTTAATGACCTCATACTAAATGTACAGTCTATACCTCACAAAACTTTGTATTCTGCAGAAGCAAAATGTGTCCTGTTGAAGTTTGAATGTCTTGTGCAAATGAATATGATAATATATTTAAACAATTCTGTGTTGCTTTTGTGAGTATATGTTCAAAAAAGATGTACGTTTTTTTTATGATTTTGGTACAGAACATTCCTTTCTAATACTCAAATTGAATATTTACGTACACCTACGTCTGGAAAGATCTTCAATTTTGTATGATGCGAAATAAATTACTTTAGGCTATTATATTAAGGTAATCGAAATGATTTTAGTTTTTTATTGATAAATTTATAACATTTGAATGATTATAAGACAAAAGTGATAATGAAGATAAATTTCAATTATGGAACAATGCAAAAACTTGTGCACTTATTATATTACATATGGTGCAGAAAATTTCTGCTATATACTTGTAAAAATATATGATAGTAAACATGATTTTAACTCTTATTTTATTTAAAAAATTTTAGTAAAAATTTTTATAAAAGGAAGATATTTATAGTTACTATTCTTGCAGAAATTTTCAGTGCATCATAGTTTTATGCGGGGCGTGTACATGCAGTAGAATTACTCATCATTGATTAATATTCATGATGTTTAATGCTAGAATAGAGAAATAAAATTCATACTGTCATAAACCTAAGGTAACAAGAAATGACATATGTAATAAGCTTTAATTTTCAAAACTTGTTTTTTGAAGTGTAAAATTTAAAGAAAACTTAGTACTTTCTGACTCTCTAATGTGAAATAAAAATTCAATTCTTCTATGCCCTATCTTCACCTAGTATGCTATGTAATTCTAGCATACGTTTACTAAAATATGTGTTACTTGTACATTTGTGTAAATATTGTTATACACAATAATAATAAAAACTATATGTTGATATATAAAAATAGTGTAAACAGTTTGATGAATAATAATTTACTCATAATTATATAATAAAGAAATGCAAATAATGAGGAAATGGAAAAAAGAAACATTAATACCTGTTACAGTAATTTCAAGGAAAATTGTAGAAATTTTAATATTATTTTCTAGTTGGACAAGAGGAGTAATGGACAGTATAATGTATTAAATAAGTTATACTATGACTCATTGAACTGTTCAGCACTGATTTTGTTCCCATTTAGATATGTTATTAAGCAATAAAGCTTGAGAGATACGCATTTTTTTATTTGTACTGAATCTCCAATTTTAGGGGTGAATTAGCCCCCCTCGTAGAGGAAACCGCGAACGATGGAAGGGATGAAATCGGTTATTTCGTCAGGGCACCATTTTTCATTTATAAATAAGTTGGTGTGATATAGGTAGATGTACAGACAGATAAGTGAAATAAAAAGGTAGACATAATAGGAATATTATATAATAATTATATAAGGTTTTTGTAATTATAACCTGTGATAAGATACGTTATCTTAAATTCTTTGTATATATGTAGTAGTATTACATAATAATTATATAAGGTTTTATATAACTATAACTTGCGATAAGGTACGTTATTTTAGTAATGATCGTTATTTTAAAGTAAATAATTTTAATAAGCGTTCGCTTTATAATACATGTTTCCACTATAATATATTTTATCTGCAAGATATTTGAAATTTTTGTTGATAAAATAATTTTCGAAGGGCTGTTTCATCCCTTAAATTTGAGATTGGATACAAATAAAAACGTATATGCCCATATAGATTTTAGTGCTCAACAGCATATCTCAAGGAGAAGAGTGTCGGATACTTTGATAATGCTCCTAGCCAAATTATAGATTGTAGTATCATAACCTTATATGTACGAAGATCGGATTAAACGCGTGATAAAATAGCGTGGGCCGAAAGTGGCCGATGGGTCGCGTAATCTTGCGTTAGTCATTCCCCCCGTTTGCCTGATTTATTTATGGGTTGGGCTACTTATTCGATGTAATGAAATTCCTAGTAAAATGACGCGTGATAAGAAACCTGTTTCTTCTATCGATTCACTTGCTGATCTCTGATCAATGCATGACACTGGACCAAAGAATTGTTAAGTATATTCTTAATAGTTTTCATAGTATTTACAATGGTGTCAGAATATCATTTTAATTCAGTATTATTGATTTAGCTGTAAAATTCTTTACTTATAATATATGTATATCATATTACATTATAATCGATCGATTCAGAACAGTTTTCAAAATTTTGTATACAATAAGATGATTGATATTTAAAAAATGCATTTAAGAGATTTTACTTTGCCGCCTTAGCAATAAAGTACAGTTATGTTTTACGAGATGCATAGACACGAGAAAGGCGTATCTATTACGTGAATATAAATAAGTTAAACAACTGTAATTAGAAAACTGGAACTCATATCGGTTTTCATTAGAAAATCTAAAGTATTATTAAAGATCATAACAAATCTAAATAATCAAATTCACGATATGACTGAGAAACTTCTTCATTTTAACCGTGTATTTGCAGATTCTGATAACATTTCGCACTTTTCGCAAGTTTAATTACATAACAAGTGTAACAAGAAAATCAGACGATTCATAAAAATGGCAGAATTAAGATGGCGCGATGCTTGATCTGACATTATTAAACATTCCGGTGAAATAGTATTTCAAATACATACATACTTACGTTCAAGTACTTACTCACGTTCGTATTTATTTATTTTTAATAAATTATTTTAAATAAAACAGGATTTCTATTTTCAAAGCGTTGAAAATAAAGCACTATTTTAAACATTTGAGATGTTTACATTAAACTCTCGCTCGACTAGAATTCTTATCGTATATTTTACGTTGCTAGACAATTTCCATTGCCAAGGTATAAGATAAAGATAAGTTCATTCATCGTTACGTTGAGGAAAATAAGACATATTAACCGTAATTGTTCTACTATTATTTTCATATCGGTATTTCAAAAAAATAAAATAAACGAAACATTTCCACTACTCGAAAGAGCTTATTTTAAATAAATCGATATTTCAATCAATATCAAATAACATTATTGTAAATAAAAGATTGAAGTATTACTTCGAGTGGTTTAATGTTTCTTGTTCAATTTGAATTAAAATTTGTCCGACTCCGATCGTCAGCCCCTCCTAGCGGCAGTGATCGCAAAACGAACCCAAAGAACCTTGGCTCCTTTGGAGCCTCCCCTCTATGTAGAATCGTAACTGTATGACTGTGTGTACTGTGCCGCTGACAATGAGCCGCGGCGGTGACTGTGATAAGTGATCGCGTACCCTTCCTCGTCGCTAAACGCGTAGTGGCAGTGGAGAAAGATAGTACGTCGGCCAAGGAAAGAGTCTACCTCTTGATGACTCGCGCTTTACGTAGGGCGCAACGTAGCCGGAGCTCACAATTATGTTCGATGTACCGCCCAAGTTTTACGAGCTGTGTCGCCTTTGTTTATCGTCGGACGGTGTCAAATTGTCCATATTCAAGGAGGAGGGCGCCCAGCGGAACTTCGCCGACAAGATACTGACGTGCCTCTCGATTACGGTGAGTCTTGTTCAGAGTTTTCACCGGGTCCTCGTGCCGTAACGATGATAAATCAGACGCGACCATCTGTGGTTCTCGCACCAGTAATGTGTCTCCCTCTCTCTCACGCGTACTCCTATGTCTCTTGCTTCGTCTTACCCAGTCTGCCTTCGTCTACGTTGGTCATCGTCTCTGTTTCTCTTGCTGTCTCTCAAGGGTGCGTATGTGTATGTGTATGTGTAAGTGTGTGCGTGTGTGTGTGGTGTGTGTGTGTGTGCGCGTGCCACGGGAGAAAGTTTGGCAAGAGATGTGTCCGCGAGATAAGCCGACTACTCACGGGGGCATTTAAAATGGCAGTGATAAGCTCTGCTCCTCGCTTGTGCAGAACTCATGGAGAGGGGAGCAGCTCCTTATTTAGTCGGCCTGTTATCAGGTTTCACACGCGGATTCCACGAGTCGCTGTCACATTTCACTCTGCTCTCTGCGTGTTATTATTCTTCTCCCTGCGTGTTTCATGATTTCTTCTTGTACACAGTTCAATCTGCTCTTCTGGAGGAAAGCTCTGCTTCCGTCCAACCTACTTTAAACAAAAATACTTCCTATTCGGCACTGCTGTCTTTACTATAAATCTGCGTAGGAACTATACCGAATTACGCATGTTCGTATTTTGTTGGCCTTAAAGTTGAGAAATTATTATTTATCGTTTTAAATGAATCTGGAGAATTGTTAAAATATTATAAGTTATGACTAAACGATCGATAAACAAACGTAATTGTTTATCATATAAACAATGTTTATATTATACATTCTACTATATATATTATATACATTTAAAACTTCACTTTATTTTTATATCATCAGTTTTTGTTTAGTTTGAATTCTAAAAATAAGCTTGCTACATGTAAATGAAAGAATAAATTGAATTAAATTTATTATAAAAACATTATTGTCATTAGTGTTAGTAACATAATAAGTAGTAGAATTATTTAAGTTGTAGCAATGTAAGACCTTTGAAATAGAGATACAAGAATATTTAGGTTGATTGTAAAATCAATCTAGCTATTGCAATTTATTCAGGTAAAAGATGGGGATTCTTTGCCACCAATTATTTGTCACCGATGCGTGTACAAATTGGATGTACTGCACAATTTTCGTGAAGTGTCACACAAATCTGATGTCATACTCAAACAGTACCTGGATTATGCCAAGCAGTTATCATCACACGATGATCAGGTATTTGTTAAGTAGTTTTTGCATGCAAACAATGAAAATATATTGCAATGTTTGTTAAGAGGAGTCATTAGATGATATAGACGTATCATTTGTTAATTCAAAAATAAAAATTAGACTAATATACCAACGGTAGTAGTAGCCATTTGATTCCAAGTAATGATGCAATTGTGAATGTGCAATGTCTGATTGTAGATAAGAATGCTTCAGCACATCTGTATACCATATATTCCAAACACATTTGTAATACGTGTAAGATACCATTCATTTGCTTCTGTACCCTGATATGACACTAATTATATAAGACATTTCAAGGTTTCCTTTGATGCAGTCAACTTTAACCTTATCAGTTTGATTCTGATTGTCTTGTAGAAAAAATTTTACATGGCTAATTATTTTCTTGCAAGTTAGTTCTGAACAGGTGCAAGGTACAAATGTCAAGATGTTATCTTTAAGTGTTTGTGTTAGATGAAACCTTGTGTGAAATCAATAAACATGTGTTTATGTGTATTTTGTTAAAAATTAAATGCGAATGTATTTCTCTGGATTTACTTATTATTGTTAAATCATTTAATTGTACGATAAAATTGTGTTTTGTTGTTTACATTACAGAATACTTTATTGTTTTCACTCGCATTGATTGTACTAGTTTGATGAAAATATAAACTATAAAGTACTAGCAAATATTAGAAAAACAATATTGATTTGTTTTGTTTCAGAAGTCTTTCTCCACTGCCAAAGTAGCAGGTTTAAGCCCACTACAGTCATTTCTCCAATTGAACAAAACATTGTTCAATGAGGAGCCTAACTCTCCGGCCAGCATTAATCAAAACATTATACCTCAGACGCAAACGCATCATTTGGAATTACGCACCAATGACATGCCTGAGCATGACAACGTTAAGTGTGAACCAGAGGATGACACGTATTCAAACAGTTCCGATCCAGACAGATTAGAAATAGAAGATCGGGATGAGCAGGATACAGAAGGGGAAGAAAATGGTTATGATATGACCATTAACAAGAGAATGAAAGTGGAAACAAATTATGAAGAATCGAAACCAAGTACCCCTAATCACAGTCCAGTGAATAGAATGGACACACCAGAGAGCAATTGCTCAGATACAAATATCGATCAGGAAACAACAAAACTGTGGCAAGCATTAGCAAAGTAAGTAATACATTTTTAAATTCTTTCTATAGTGTGCGTTTGCAAAAATATTTTGTATCGTGTAAAGTTAATAAGAGTGTAAAGAAATAATATATCAGTGTTGAGCGTTCTTATTTATTTAGTAAATACAAACTTAACTAATCTTACAGTCCAAACATTCAAACATGCTTTTGTATGCTTAACACATTATGGTATTAAATGAAATATTTGATTAACTACAAAACTGTTTACCATAGTATATATACTTTTCCATCATTGTATTACTACATCTATGTAGTATTTGAGCAACACATCTTTTGTTTTACTTTTCATATAGCAACAGGAGTTTGGAGATTACAAGGACAAATGGTGACAAACTCAATAATGGATTTACTGGGGAGGCAACTAATCTTCTTCGTTCTTTAATCAACAATAGACAAATTGGTATTACTGCTGTCGATTCTGACAAAGTATCGCCACAAATTAGGTTTTACAGGGACACTCAAGGGACAACAATCGAACGTACCATACCCGACTGTTCTATTCTCGGCAATCGTACTAATGTCTCGTGTATAGAAAATAAGGTTTGTATAAATTACAGTATTATATATAATTAAATTTTTATATTGTGTCAATGTTTATGGTTGTGGGTGTTTTAAAAAAAATTCAAGAATGCTGTATATCCCTCTTGGCCTTTCCAAATATATTTTTAAAATAAAAATAATAAATTGATATTAATGTAATTTTAAATCTTAGTACATGTAAATAGAAATAAAATCTGACTTTCTTTCGAAGTTATAAGTTCAGGCAAAATTTTACGACTTATGAAAAAACGGGAAATCTTTGCTTTCGTTTATGTTCATTTCCTTTTGATCCTGATCTTCGTGCAAATAAAGTTTTTCCATGGGAAGTCCTTGCAGTTTATTCAATGCAAATACCAGAAGAGATCTGCAGGTATAGAAAAGAAGACAGATCAGGTGACCCTTGGGTGTCAAGGGATCCCTTTGGGACTATTCAGGTCCCATCTGCTTGCAGGTAAGAAACGTGGTAGGCCTTGTAGATAATAGATAACTGAGAAGTTCTTTGTGATAGGCCATAAGCGCAAAGCCCACCATGTCGACCCACTGTTAACAGATGTTCAGATAAGTTTGGTTTCTATAGATTTTAAAACGTGCTTTGTTCCGCGCAAGGAATTCTTCAATTTTGTCTATAATAAGAAACAGGGCTGGTAGTATCCTTTGTGTCACTTTCTATTCTATTGGCTTTTTGTCCTGATAAGAAGTACCTGTAAGGAATTACTGCAACTTTTCCAAATCCTTGGAAAAGTACCTGTATCGACCGAATTTCAAACTACAAATGTTCCGCATTTGTAGTTGAGTTTAGTCGACTAGAAATTCACATTTAAATAATTATAATATATATTTAATTTATGTAATAATAAATAAATGTTTTTTTTTATTGTACTTAGGGTACTTCCATGGATAGCAATCCATCTAGCCCCGCCAGTATTGGACGAAAAGAAACCAAGGGTCGTAGAAAACAAAGTTATCCCAGTAAAGCTCCTATGAGTCCAGATATTGTTAATTACCAACATGAACCTAATGAAGAACAAGCACAAGATTTTACAGCATGGACCAACAAAATGAAAGTTAAGGTATGTTTGTCGATATAAAAATCGCGATCACGAAACACCATGTTTAATTTAAATATATTATGTTTACTGTTGTCATTCGTAGGTAGAGGATCAAAAACAACAATTTGATCAACACAGTGGTAATATGGCAAAAAAGGTTGACATGTCCTGCACAAATTGCGGTACTATGACCACAACTATTTGGAGAAGAAATATGAAAGGGGAAATGGTTTGTAACGCTTGTGGACTTTATTACAAACTGCATGGAGTAAATCGTCCAGTTACCATGCGAAGGGATACGATACACACGCGTAGACGTAGACCGAAAGGCGAAAAACCAACGAGGCATAGAAGTAAGAATTACAGTTGTTTTTATATCTTATATATATTGTGATTTATATCTTATATATAGAATGTGTATTATAATAATAATAGTAATGATATTTGTTACCTGTCTTTATTATACTTTTCAGAAAAAGGAGATACAATTTTGGCACCGCAATCAGAACAAATGGATGCAGAAAGTGCAGACATGTTAGCGGCCCTACGACGACAAATCCAGCCCCATTTAATGATGGCTGCGTTAACGCCACCGCGTTTATCTGGTGCCCATCCACCACCCCCCGCCGCTCAACTTAATTATTCCCTTCCTTTACCTAGTTACATGATGCACGTAAGTATCAAACGATTCAATGGCCTATGATCGATGGAGTATAGAATTGTCTATCTAATGTCATTTTTGTGGCAGCATGTAAAAGCAGAAGGACGAGAACAGTGTCATTTATCTGCGGAGGCAGAAGAAACAGAAGAGGGAGATGAAGAGAATGTTTCGGATGTGCCGCTGAATCTAGTTGCGACGTCATTATCCGAAGAGACACACTGAAACACTTTGGCCAGCTTCAGAACGACTTCGCTAGGTATATATAACAAAGAATCTCTAGACAGGGTAGTCTGTCCAGTGATACACAGGGCGTAGAAGACGAGATTGTTCTCCTTCTCCTTTTTGCCACCAGTTCTCGTCCATGAATACCCCTTATCAGCTCTCTGTTCTCTCTTTTCTCTCTTTCACGGTCTCGAGAATTTGAGGTGGTAGAATATTGGGATATATTTCCCGTGAGCTACCAAGCCCGTGGTGCAGAGCGCACGAAGGAACGATGATATTAAATACGCAGTATTAATTACGTGGTTATTCAAATTATGTACATATATATACATGAATACGAAGAATATTTTTATACAAAATTTTCTACGCTTGCAGCTAGAGAGCGACGGGCGATCGTTGTACATACACGCGCAAATTGTTCTTTCGGTGTCGCACGTATTTTCGCGTCGAAAAAATGGTGGTCGTTGTCTGTTTTCTTAGTGACGTAAGGAAATCCGTCACCAGTGAAAGTGTCTAGAACGGTGCTAGATTTACTGTTCGGGAAAGTTTAGAAGTAAAATAAGAAAAAAAAAGGATTAGTCACTAAAAGATATTGACGAACAAAATTTCACCGTTTTGTTCCACGGGCTTTTAGCTGTCAGTGACGTAACAATCATAATACTCTCGTTGTCTTGCGTAATATTAAGCTAAAAACGACTCGGCTGAACTCAACTAGTGAGCAAAAAACATGTATTTTTTAATCGGCTTTAATAAGGAACGTAAATGTTTCTCGGGTTAAGAAGGAAAAGAATAATCAGAAAAACTAACAGAACAGAAAACGGTTGCATGATGTGACAAATGTTTACTAAAATACCCGATACGTACTCAGTAATTTGAGCTTCGTCAAATTACGTTTATGCCAGTATCATCATATTCTAGTGGCCTTTCAACGATTTATCATTTTCCTCTTCCTTGTTAGCTCTTATCTTGCATAGTAAGTGCAGATAATTTACTTACAGATAAAATCTTAATTTAGACGATGTAGGTACTTTTTTTACATGAGCACGAGACTGCCGGTGTAAACACATTTAATACTGTTTCTACCTTTTACGTATTATCTCCCCCTTTCCCATTATGTATCGGAAGGCTTCTCGACTGTTGACGCAGTCATCAATAATTTGTACTTAATAGGCAAAGCAGCGCACCACCATGTAAGCTAAGACTCCGAAAGCAATAAGAAACGCGATGGTACGTAGGATAGATTGTCGTCATACAATACTCGTTGACATGCTCTCTCGACGACAATTAACAAACATACAAGAATTTCAGGAAGTAATACTTAGATAACATTCACTTGTATGCCGGATGTTAAAAGTAACAAATTTTATTGCTCCACAGCTACTGTAGGCATCCATAAACCTCGCAATCTTTTCAAAAATTTCTTCCTTAACTCTTGTGTTATTGTATGTCGTGTTAGTCTTATTTTGTTCGTATTATAAAACAGGAATCGATATCTCGATGATGATAAATAGAATTGCTTGTTATCGAGCATAATAGGATCAAACTTTCGATTTCCGTCATTGATTAACCCATTATTTCCCTAAGGGCTATCACTGATCTATTTTTTTCCAGAATGTACAGATCTTGTGTTAATAAACAGGTAGTAAGCAAACCTAAATAGCACATAATACGATGGCCAGTGCATCTACTCATGTATCGTTATATCTAACATTGTATACCTAAACAACTTTGCCAAAAATAGATTTAGTCTATGTAACATAGAGTATAGTTAAGGGCATACGATAAAAATTAATGTTTTATCTTTCTCTTTCACGTCATGCACAATATTTACACATTTCTCCTTCATTTTTCCCCTTCTTGTGTGTCTTCTTATCAGTGATATCTCTTGGTCAGCTGCTTTGTAGAGCTTTTAAATTTGCTTACAGTAATTTGTGGAGCAACTTAGTGTTAGTCATTATCAAAGGAGCCTTATAAACGCACTCGTATATGTATATATGTTATATATTATTATACGAGTTCAATCGATACCACAAATCAGTGCAGTTTCTTTTTTTGTTCGTTCATCTTTTTTAAACTTAAAGGTCAGTTTTTATATACATTGTATATATGAAAATCAATGATTGGTTTAAATGATTTACATTGTGTAATGTTCTAGTTTCAATTAATGGGGAATAGTATGTATATAATGTATTTAAGGAATAATAATATACGCAATGTATTTCAAATCTACTGGAACTTAATTTCTAAACGAGAAACACACTGTGAATGTGGTATCCCAATATTAATAACACGAGTATTGGAGGAAGAGACATAAGCGATGATGAGATTTCTTACTAGTGCGATCCGAATTAGAGGTCGCTAAACTTCTCTCATGCGTCGAAATGATTCTTCCATTTAGTACGTATTCAATATATTTCTTGTTTCACAAGTAGATCGAAGAGTGTCATCTTTTAAATAAGTCTTGAAAAACACAATCTTTGTGTCTTACTTGCTTTCGCTACAGGAAGAGTTTAACAAAAAAAAGGATATTTATTTCAGTCTTTTTACATCTGCTTTTCAAACATCCTGCATCTTGTTTATTATTATAAATTAAACGATTTAGCCAGTTACAAAAAATAATTTATAAAGTTTTTTAGTTTATAATAATTGGTGAGAAACGAAATTTAATTTGCAAACGTTTTCCTGCGTTAAGTGTGACACTTATTTAAAAGATACTTACCGTTTTTAAGCTTAACATCTCCTTAACAGGGAATGAAACTGAAAGTAAACAGGTATTAAAGTACGTAGGATTTGATACTTTGTCAGTCCTAGATCGCCAGTTTTAAATTATGTTGACAAAACATTGTGTAGCATACCATTTTAAGTGTACCATACGCGAAGAGAATGAATTAATTTATGAATAACATCGATAGAAGAAGAAAAAGAAATGGGCAGTTAATTCGTTAGGCATTTTTTTTTCTTTCAATTATACATTGGCTCGTAGTAGTATATTAAACAACATAGAAACATAACTATTATTATTCTTATATATATATATATTTTTTTTTATTATTATTACCAACGTAGGCGCGTAAGTAGAATATAGGTTTGAGCTCTCTACTAATTCTGAAAACTAGACGATATTTTTTATAATTATTAGAAACGAGGAGTCGAATATTGCTATTATATTATGGAATATCAGTTGATTAAACTATAATGATAATATGTCCTTTTTTCAAAGTAAGATTTAGTTGCAAGGTCGCCACTCGAATGGCTCGTTTTTAACAATGGTAAAAAAAAAAGCTGAGGCTTCTTATAGATTTTTTTTATGTATCAGTATTCTACGCGTTTGACTTTAGCTGTTAAGAAGTTTTAACCAACACTACTTAAAATGATCCCCGACGGCGAGATTTGTCTTACTTAATTATTAAATTATTTAGTTATCTTCTCCGTTCCCTTACCTTATACCCCACCCCAAATCCCTTCCTTGTTTTTGTACGTCTATTTTTACATAAGCGATCATCCCTGAATATTATTTAAACTATAATTTATTGTATTCACTGTTTTTTGCACCGACGTTTGCGTAAGACATTTGGCAACGACTGGCTTAATTTATTGTTTCTACATTGTACTTTATATACGAGTTTCACTCTTTTTTTCTCTCTTTCTTTCTTTCTTTCTTTCTTTTTTTTTTACAAGTAATAAGTTCGTATGATCAGGCACTGCGCGCATATGGTCATTTCCTCCAGAGACACTCGACATATGCTGTACGAGATGCGGACGGTCAATGCTTTAGGTGCCTTCACCTGGCGATTTAGTTGAATACAAATGTTCAAGTAATACTACTAATAATAACAACAACAATAATAATGTTAATAATAATAGTGTGTACAACGTGCGTGTACACGACTAACCGCTATTAACGCGTGAACAATTCCACCGAGTCGTTCGCTGTTACGATTCGATCCAACAAGATTGTAAAGTTCTGCTTGCAACCCATTGGCTTGATAAGCGTGTCTCTAAGATTTGCATACCTCTACGGTTTCGCTGACATGAAAAATCTGATTTTCTACACGATGATCGACAGTTGAATCGCAGACGCGAACTTAATTGTTAGAAACTCGGCGATGCTGTAACGCGGAGCCGGTGGGTTGGAAATAGATCGTAACGACTCGAGGTGCTTCGCCACTGCGCGGTAATAGCACGAGAGCTTGTCTTTTTGTAAAGCGACCGTGACTACGAAGTATCTCGTACAATAATGAACAAATGTATACGAAAGCCTCGAGGACGAGAAGAAGAAAACAAAATGAAAACGACGCATAATTGTACACGACAAAGAGAAGGGGTTTTTGCGAAACGATAAAGGAGGGCCATCGTCGACGCCCTGCTCGTCGAGAGAGTAACTCGCGGGGTTGCATTAAAATCACCGACGCCGTATTTGTCGTAATGTATTTTCAATGATACATTCATGCATTCGTTTCGTAAAAAAATCTTCATTCTACCGATTTATTACGATCGTCTCGAATTCCTGTAAACTAGGATTACGAACTTACGTTCATGTGAACTTTTTCTTCTTATTTTTAATGATCGCGTGCTATCGAAGTTTATTCATTCAAATGATTGGTAAACCTTACGTTTAGGGGAGGCAGCTCCGATGACCTTGACCTTGGCATACGTTGTCAAGGTCACCTTCCTGAGTAACATCCAAGAGGTTTTAGCCGTCGCTCGTTTTTTATTAAAAAATTATTAGCATATAAAGATGAACACAATTTACAAGATAACATATTTATTTAAATAAAACGATTATATTAAAGTATATTTTATTAAAAATGCGTGTTGGTATTAGTTAGTATAGTTTTAAGAAGAGGTCTGGAAAACCCCCCCGGTCAGCGAAACGAATTTAATATGATACTGTTTAACTCGTGGGGGATGTTTTATTTTATGCTCTGCAGGGCTCATAGAACTAATAACTTTTTAATAAAAAACGAGAGGTAGCTATAACTTTCTGTGGGATGCTCAAAAGTGTAACCTTCATAAACTGTGTGAACGTCAAGGTCACATTGAGTATACGTATACGCAGCATAAAAAACGAGCGACAACTAAAACCTCTTGGATGTTACTCAAGAATGTGACCTTGACAACATATGTCAAGGTCAAGGTCATCACAGCTGCTTCCCCTAAACGTAAGGTTTACCAAATGATTTATTACGGTAAAATCTGTTTTTGTCTCAAACAAAAAGACTCATTGTTGACACAATACGATGAATAGAGTTCTAATGTAACATCTTTCACATAACAGATGCGTTGTTAGTCGTTATTTATGTTCGTGATAGTCGGTATCGATGAAATTAATTGGCATTAACCATCTACATTGTTGGTGAAACGTTCGTTGGTGATTTTAATGTAACCCAACTCGCAGCACTGTTCCGTCCGTCTGCTTGACCCATGGGCGTTCTGATTTCACACCCGGGTTCCTCCAGCGGGACTCCTAAGTCACAATGTATGTAACGTAACTCATAAGTAACAGAAAATGGAACAATAACGCAGAAGAGGTATACGCGTGAACGCGCATTGTGCAGAACACGCAAACCGAAAACGCCAAGACCCCTTCCCCGGTTCTACACTGAGTATTAAATTTGTACTAATCGACTGAGTATTATTTTTATATCGAGCGTAATATTAATGGATAAATTAAATGCGAGGCGGAATGGTTATACCGTACGGTGAAATCTGAGAGAATTAAGTAAAGCAGTGGTAACGATGCGTTTTTTTCTCTTGTTTTTTTTTTTTTTTTAAAGAGGAACGAGAAACGGGAATACGATAATAGCGTACCAGTGGACCATTCCGTTCCGAATGAACGAAAAAAAAGAAAAAAGAACGCATGTGTCTGATGATTGTGAGTGCCCTGATTACAATATTTTGTATACAACCGTGAAAAAAACCAAGCAAGCAAACGAAAAAAAATACAAAAAAAAAAAAAGTGAAAAACTAGAAGCAACAAAGAGGAATATTATAGCGCGGAAGATTGTAATAATGCGAAAGTTCGTAGAGCGTTGCGGAGCTATGGTTGGCCAGAAGCTAAACTTAATGCTGATGGCACGGAAAACGCGTCATTAGCAATAGCGGGAAATAAAAAATTACTTTTGTATCCACGATCTATGACATAAGTTAGTTCGAGCTAAGGCCAGCAGCTGTTGAGATTATTCAAGGTTGTGTATATCATTATAAGTATTTTGAATTGTTGAATAGTAAATAGTGTAAGCGGTGGCTTGAACGGGGCGACGTCCCGCGCCCACGGATAAACCAAGAGACGTCGCGTCGTCCAAGTTCGGTCTCAAGTATTCAAATGTCAGACTTGTTTTTCCCTCATAAATAATGATAATGTTTACCCCGTGCGATCGACCTGCTGAGTTTACTTCGTCCGTGTGTTTTATACAGTCTGTCCGTAATCTCTAATACAATCGGAGAGAAAACGATCTCCCGTACAAAAATAAATCAAGAACGTAGAATAAAATTTTTCCGCGCAAGGTTTCGTTTTCAAATAAATCGGCTTTGAAGATTCTCGACTCTTGCTTCAGTACAAATCACCATTCTCTAAAGATTCGACGGTTCAAGTTTGAAAATAAAGCCTCGTACGAATCAGTTTTGTTCTATATTTACGACTTGTTTTTGAGCCAGAGGTCGCCTCTCTTCTTTTTTATTCCATTCTGAATTACAAGACTCTCTGTACATACATATATACACACACGAATATGTAGTGTGCTTCATAACATTTACTTAATTCAGTGATGGACGAAGACATCAAAATAATGAAAAAAGTTCATATAAGCATACTGTTTGTTTCTAAATTATAGTTACTTTGTGCCTCGGTAATATATAGCTGCTTATCTTCATAAGAAATGCTTGAAATATCCACCTCCAGCTTCGATACAAGCTTGTAGTCGTCATTTTATAAAGTTTCTTAATCTTTAAAAAAACTTCAAGTATTTCAATGCTGGTAATAGACATTGAGTAAATAAATGTTTCAAGTGACCCGGAAAATAGAAATACATTGTGATTAAATCTTAGGAACGAACAAGTCAGGCCATAAATCCTGCACAATCCATCTATTTATTAGAAATCGTTCATTTAAGAACTGGTTACTCGACTGAAACGTATCAGTGTACTGTCATGTATAAACTACATATAATATACATCTAATGGAACTTCTTTCAATATCTCATGTAACTGATTACTCAAAAAATTGACGTAAGATTGATTTATTAATTCTTCGTTAAGAACAACAAGCAATTATTGAACATTGTATATAAATAATTTAGTAGGATCAGTTATACTAGTTTCATTTGTAACTAAGAATCAGTGGAGTACAAAAATGGTTCTAATTCGGGAACAATGTCAAATAGAGCACATGTTTATATGGTGTTTTTTTTTCATTATTTTTATATCATCTGTTCGTTACTGAAGTAAATAGAACATGTTATGAAACACCCTGTATAAATACATATTTTAATATCGTGCTGTAACGAACCGTGGGTCCTGCACACGGAATCGTTGAGACGTTTTAATTTATAAATATCGAAGCACATTATACAGAACCTCCCATGACAGGTGTACCTAACTTCGATTAACTTACGAGTCTAACTTGAAACCATCGGATGTTATTTTAATTTCTAACGTGTCTCTCTCATTCTATCCTATTTGTCCGACTCTATCTTTCCTAATTCAGACTAACTTTAAATCTCTTTTTGTATTGTAACGATAAGCGGAAAGCCTGTTAGACATTTTAAGCTATTTATTGGGCTCCTATGTGATTTGTTGGAAATTATTTTGAGATAACTTTTTCTCTACTATTTCCGAGACGACACGTTACGCGTAGAGGCCAGCAGCGGCGGTTCGTTGACGAATATTTCGAATGAAAAGTAAAAAAAAAAAATTGTAAAAAAAAAGAAAAGAGAGAGAGAATTGTGATCACTCGACGTCTCTTATTTTGCGCCTACCGCCTAGCTAAGTCAAAGAGTATTGCGCGGAACTGTGTTTGTTGACGCGTTTGCCTTTGATTTTCGACGATCAATTTTCAGTTTGCGAGACGAAAACCGCGAGATGTTGTTTCAATTTTTCGCGCGAACATGTCGACGCAACAGACACAGGCGATCAGCGGGCAAAGGACCAAAATGTACAACAATTACGTTTGCCCTTTCTTACGGTTGGTACCGATTCGTTTTTATAACGTGTAATAAAACGATCGAAGCTGTAGTATGTATCGGAAGTCCGAGGATTTTTAAGCGATGTTGACAGATTATTTTTTGGGGAGCATCTAATTGCAAGGGCATTGTTGTGATACTACAGATGCAGCTTCATTGAAACTTAAATAAAAAATAATGCGTTAACGATTCGTTACGATTAATGTTTATTACCATTAACAGCGAATATTGTATAAATTTAATTTTTTTATATAAAAATTTACTCAGAAACGAAAAAAAAAAGAAGATCTTGTCTGTTTATGAAATTATGTACCATGGTACATTATTTTTTGTGTAATGCAATTCAATTTAGAAAATTGCTTTATCGAGTTACAAAAAAAGATACTCCTATTTCCCTTGTCTAGTAAACAAAACAAACGTAGCGTAGATAGTTATTCTTTGATTCGCTTCTTTCTCGTGAATTAAAATTTGAAATTGAGCGGAAACAAACAACGTAAGTCATTTTATGTTTTATATAAAATAAAGATAAATGTGTTCGTAAAAAAAGTAATCTTTTTACTTTTATAATATATTGATTCTTCTATAGATCCGCGTATAAATTTATAAATTTAATTCTTATTAATAACATCATAGCAAACTTAGCGGAAGAAATATTAATTATGGTATAATGGAGTATATTCGTTGGGAAAATTAACGTTTACATTACGTTTGATTATTGTAATGCATCTAAGAAGATAAGTAGTAGTTTTCTATCTAAACAAACTTTATTCAAATGAATTTAGGAGAACAATTTCTTTCACAGATAAGTTTCATCGGTTCGCATTGAAAGAAATTTGAATCATGTAGTAGGAAACTTTATTTACGTCATTTCCCACCATATTGCGCGTAGTTCGTTCTTCCGTCACTCGCCATCTTGTCTTTGACGTGAGTGGACGCGTGCCATTTAATCTGAAATTAATATTTCCGATTTGAGTGTTAATTTTACATTTCTGGAAGTGCTCAACAATTAAAAAGGCATGAGTTACGGCAGGCCACCACCTCGGATCGACGGGATGGTGTCCCTGAAGGTGGACAATCTGACCTACAGAACGACGCCCGAAGATCTAAGACGCGTGTTCGAAAGATGTGGCGAAGTCGGCGACATTTACATACCCAGGGATCGTTTTACTCGAGAAAGTCGCGGATTTGCATTTGTCAGGTAAATAAAAAATCAAATTTTTCTTCGTATTTGTTGATGGTAAATTTTACGAAGCACAATATGTAAGCATGACGTCATCACGCTGTTTGAGTAGATACACTTCAACTGGCTGATACCAACAAATGTTGCGTGTGTTCGTCGCGTATATTATTTATTTATATATAGTGAAAAAAGAAACAAAATCTCATTTTTGCGAATTTTCAGATTTTACGATAAACGAGACGCAGAAGATGCGTTAGACGCAATGGATGGAAGATTGTTGGATGGCAGGGAACTTCGAGTGCAAATGGCACGATATGGTCGACCAACTTCTCCACATCGAAATCGTAGTAGCCGACGTCGTGGAAGGTAATTTATTATACAAGTATCTTGCTTAGTTTTTGTAAATCTTTAAAAACTGTAAATTTATCACAAATTGTTTTCATAGATCACGCAGCAGAAGCAGAGATCGCAGACGGTCGCGTTCCAGATCACGTAGTAGATCTAGGAGTCGCGATAGAGATCGTAGGCGATCCTACAGTCGTAGTCGCAGCCGCTCACGTTCTGATAGTAAGAGCTCGCGTGGAAAGTCTCGTTCTCGCAGCAAGTCTCCAGACAGACAAAAAGACAGTCGTTCTAAATCAAGGTATATCTTTTAAATGTAATTACAGAATAATATATTTCTGTTGCAATTTTGAATAAATATTCACTTTATGGTATCTTTGTTTATACAGGGACTGAAGTAACTGAACCATATGCGAGTACGACTGTGAACAGATGCACGTGCCGCGAGTGCAGAATTATCGTTTCTTGAGAACGAAAAGGTATTCTATTACCCTCTATACCTAGAGCAACACTGTCGCACGTTCACATTTCTTCTATCACTTACATATTAATTATGACGACGCACTTCTTTGGGTTGAAAAAGAACCCAAACTAATTTTAATGTAATGTATCTAGACCATGAGTTTTAACAAACTCATGAAGATTCTCGTTTGCAAGTTTTCATAATTATTCTTACTTCGTTAAGTGACATTGTCACAAGTAAATGTTTACTTTGATCAGAAGAAAGTAAATGTATTCTGTTTTTCACAAACAATGCAGCTGTTGTAACAACTAAAACAGCATCTTCTGATCATTGAATTTAAGTTCATTATATCCTTAATAAGAGTTTTAGAATGTGCACTAGCACTATATATTTGATGTTTGTTTCTGCTCTGAACGAACAAGTAGAATATTAAACTTTGAAACTAGAGCAGAAAACATTTGAATTTACACTTGATGAATAAAGAAAAAAATTATTATTAGTTTGATCGTAACAAGGTTTTTTTTTACGTTGAAGTATAGTGTGCACAACTTCTAGTACTCGTCGGTTTAAGTCGGTTATAAATGATAGAAGTTTCTTCCTTTCTTCCATCTTTTCCATTTCTTCGATCTTGTTATAACTATTTTACGCCATATGGCATATATAAGTAACAGCAGGGAAGCACCTATTTCCATAAAATGCCCATTATGAAATTGTTCGAACCAAGCAAGGTGGATTAGATATTCCTGGAAATACATCAGGGTGTTGATGTGTAATGGTATAATTAGCAGGTAATGTAAAACGTGTGCGGTCGATTGAGTCCGACTTCTGTACAAATTTTTGAATTCATTTTTAAATTTCAATAATTCGCTGATTTTCTATTATTTACAACTAAAACTCTGCCGATCTTAATAAACCAAAAAGAAAAGTTGAAAATCGTGACACATACGAATTATAGAAATAAGTTCTGCGTTTCTGTAATAGTATACAGATTTATTTATGTAAGTTTGCCATTTATAATAAAGTGTAATAAAATGCAGAAGACGGAACTGTTCGCATAGTTTTAGACAGTGATTAAATACTAAGTATATAACTGTAGGCAGTCCGGCCAGTCGTGCTATCTCTAAATTTATTTGCTAAAACTCGTTTTGCATGATAGTCGATTATTTGAGTTTAAGTAAAATTTCATTAATCTTCAAATAGTAATTTGGTATAATGTAAAACGTGTAAATATTACTTATCTGTCTTTTTAACTTTCATAGAGATCTATGTTCCGTATATCCAAATGTTTAATATCTATAATCTTTTCAAATTTTTCAATATTTATGTAGTATATTTATGAATTTTGAAGTACTCCACCTATTGAGAATAAAAACATTGTAATATTCACAAGTAATATTGTGATCAGAAAAATAATAACAGTAACTCAACACTCTGTTAACAAATTTTTAGTGAAGACCTGATTATAGTTGCATATGCTTCGATTAAGAAATATTCCACACCTTAATTGCTAGAATAATACTACTCGAAATTTCCGCCGTATTTCTAAATTGAATATTAATAACTCTATTAAATTTAATAAAATTCGATTCTGCATAGAATAAATGCTTTAGGAATTAATTTATTAGTTCGTTTAGGTATTAGATTTCAATAAAAAAAAAAGTTAAGATTATTAGAGTATGGTTTAATATTAGCATATTTTCATTTATGCACAATCGGTCGCGAACGTCAATATCTTCGAACAAAAGAAAAAAAAAAAAATGTTATCAAAATCCTCACACACGGATATGACACGCTTATTCGTTGTAACTAAGTTGTAATTTTATGGTGCCACAGGCGGTGGAAAGGAGTGGCGTGGCGAGTGTAGCCGATGATGGGGTAGCTGAGAGTAAGCAGTAAACCGAGTAGCAGGGCTGTAAGCAGTTTGCAGTAGCGAGCGGTTGGTGGTCTGGTGAAAGCAGGTTCGCGAGTCGATCAGGGCGAGAAAAAGAGAGAAAGTGTGAGCGAAAGCTGTCTCTCTGGGGGGTCGGCGTGCAGAAAATTGCAGAGGGTACGGTCGAATGCAGAGAAATAAGCAGAGAGCACAACCAAAGCCACGCGGTTGCTGGTCTCGGCCACCGTCCGGTTTGCAGGTAGCACGTGAGCATCACCAGACCTCGCGAGCAACAACTCACATTTCAACTGTTACGTCTACCAGTTACTTCGCGTGTTACTTGACGATCACTTCCAGCAATGGCGTTCATTAGAGACGAGCGTGTACTTTGCTCCCATCTATGTAGGTCAATTCGTAAGTTGTACGAGGTTAAAGTCGGCTCTTTAATTACTTAATTACTAAATATCTTGGTAATTATTTGAGACTACCGTCTCGTGGTTCAAATTTACTTCTTATTTTCATTTGAAATTGTTAAATTTGTTGTTTCGGAGATACAATAATTGCTGATGAGGCTACAGACGATATCAATTCAATTCCATAAGATTTTATTTACCTTTTGTTATTAATCTTAATAATTTTGGGACGAATAATTTTATAATACAACTGTTTCAAGATCTCCGCGAAACAAAGTACCTTTTCCGGCGTAAATAGTTTTCGTTCGCGTCTATGAAAATCTAAATTTGATTGATCATCGCTTGAAACACTTGCCGCCACTTTGTATATAATTGGGAAAGTTGAGTGAGGGTGGGGGATGGAATCCTTTCGTTTTTCCTGTGTTTCTTTTTCCAGGTATCAGCAAACGTCGATAGAGTAAGTATTTTAGAGGTAATGTGGTGTTGGAGTATACAGACGATTAATTTCTTTTTTTAAAGCAAAGGAATGAATCATTGTAGACAGATGGAGGATACGATCAATAAAGACTACCATACTAAAACAAATGGAATTTTTTATTATTTTTGATTTACTCATTGTTATAAATGGAAGAATAGAAACCCTCTTAATATCCAAGAGCATTTTCTTTACGTTTTCTAAATAGCGTCTATGGAAGTAATAAGAATATTTTCATTATCATATTGACTAGTTCAACCATAGTGTACAATGTGTCATACGTACGTTTCTTAACAATCTAATTGTAGTATTGACATATTGATAAATGTTACTATAATTCGTAAAAATTCAATATTTAACAAAAAATACCCTAACCTATTTCGAGAGATTTGGAATTAATTCGTTTAATTAAAAATATGTGCATGCAGCTTTAAACACTAACGTAGCAGATTATTTGTTCTTATCCTTATTCTATATGGGTTTTCGCTTTCAAAAAGCGGAAAATTATGTAAAGTGCGATTGCTACACCATGTCCAGCAAAGTATACGCTTTTGTAATAATGTAATGATTCTCCAAAATCTAGCAACAAGAATGGTACTCCCAAGTATGCCATACAGGTTGTTTTCTCATACCATAAAAGCAACTGCCATCCTTTCTTAGCCTGAAAATAAATGTTAAATGAATCGAAATTGTAGTCGAGAATTTTAAATAAATACAGGAAGTGGTACTTACCAAGCTATTTTCTTCGCTCTGTTGATAAAATTTCATACCTATATCCTCGCTCAACAAGAATATAGGAATTTGACAAATGCAGATATAATAACCAGCTGACCAACCGTGCCAGGCAGCAGAGAGTGTAAAAGTGGCAAGAGTTCGTAAACTTTTATATGGAAACCTTTTATATACATAAACACCCATCCAATATTGGATACATGCATTCCATGATTTCATAGCTGTCCTTGTGGAATGACATTTTTCTAACTTCCAAACGTTCATATTATATACGGTATCGAAGTTGAATTCTTTATCTTTCAATTTGTCTGGCACAGTAGATCTATAGAGTTTGATTGATTAGTTTTTGTTTCGGATTTAAATAATAAAAAAAGAATGTACTTACAAAGTTTCAATAGTTTTATAATCTCGTGGTCCTAATCCTATTGCTGGTTTGCTTTCTACAGGATACGCTCCGAGTCCAGCCATTTGGCAAGCACATTCAGCAAGAGCCATACCAATGTACATTCTTAATTTAAAGGTAAGAAAAGTGGGATACATATAAAAGTATCTGTACAAGAAGGCCCGCTCTGCAAAGTCCTCTGTCAGAACATACTGAAATTTAAAAGAAAACTTTAAAATTACTAATTGTATCTATTTTTAGTATTAACAAAGTAACGATATTACTCTGGTAGGGTATAATTCACTTAACACGAGATATAATACAACATAACATGCAATTTGTTTAAGTTTATACAATGTAAGAGGCCATGGATCCACATATTTGGAAAATGGTCTATGCAAATGATCCCAATATGTTCTGTATCGATAATATGGGCCTAAAAGAAAAAATATTATATTTAATGTAATTGAAGAATCAGCTTGATTAGAGTTAACTATAGTATCAGAATTACCAGTTAAGATTCCCATGTAGCTAAAACCATAGTGGAATACATCCAAAAATCCAACATTTTTTATTGCTTCAGAATTCAATCCTTCTGGATCATTAGTTGGGGGATTAGTAGCTGAATTTATTTCAAAAGCTAATCCAGATAATTTTAATGTTAATATCATGAGAACAAGATTCGTGTGAGATGGCGATGTTGGTAAACCAACATAATCTCCTAATCGAAATATAAATAGTAAATAAACGAATGAAAATGTAAAGCTAGCCAGGTGACATTTCCTGTAAATAAAAATTATTAAAATTTAGTATTAATGAAGTTCTCATTTAGGAGAAAAGATATGAAAAATAATATTTAAGAGCTTTTAAATAAATTTTTTTTTTTAAACATAACAATATGTCAAAATAAAATATAATTTGTCAAAAGATGCCTTTTAATATTCTTTAATAATAACAATTGAAATTTATATTTGGTCTATGTATATGTATATGAAGTCATTAATAAGGACAAATATCATGATTTGAATAACCAATGCAGCAGTGTCTAAGAACTTGAACTTTGACATTAACACATTCGAGTATCATCAAGATATTGATAATCCTTTGATGTTGAAATTGCTACTGTTATTAATTCTATGCTTTCAGACAAATTTCTGTCAAAAAAGCTCTGAAATATATTTCTATAATTTTAGTCAAACACATAATGAAACTTACTTTTATTATTGTATACTGTGATAAGATCAGTATCAAACGGAAAAATACATATCAAACAAATAGCAATTATTAATATTTCTAGTCATGCAAAAACATTCTACACAAAATTAGCACAATTTTTATATAATGTTACAACACTCTATTAACAGGATAAAAAATATATTAGAAGAGTTATAAAAAATAATCGTATGTTACATTTATAAAATAAAATAAGTTATCGAAATATCGTACTTTGACGAGAGCTTGGTTATGATAATCGTATTAATCAGAGTACAGATTATAGGGTGAATTACATGACGTCCAGAAACGATTGTAGCCAGAATGAAACCCATGATTGTGCACATCCATTGTTTCACGTTGATACACTCGATTTTTCTGTACAAATGACCGACAAATACGCAGAATAAAAGTATTCCAACATAAATGACATCCGCCCAGAACATCGTGTTGGCTTAACTGCAGAAGCTCGACTGTCTCCTGCTGTCTCCCTTACTGTATTGTATTTCACTCTGCATAAAGAAACGCTATAGGTAGTCTAAAGGACCTTTGTACTTTGCAGTATATCGCTCATTATTAACTTGTTAAAATTTATTCTGTCGCATTGATTCGCATTTTTACGCGCGTTTATTAAAATGTAATTTCTAGAAATATTTTCAATCTAATTATTACATTTATTTTAGATTGTAGATAAAATAAACTATATTATTGATTTTTATTCGTTCGTAGATATAAGAACGAAAAATGGATTGTGGGATAAGTGGTGGGAAGTAAGATAAAACTAGCTTTACTTCAATTACTATAATAATTGTATTTATACAAACAAAGACATCTTAATCAAACGCATATTATAAATTGCGTGAATTGATTTAGTCAAATAGTATCAATATGAAAGTAGAGTTTGAACTGCTTGCAATGTTAATGTAATAGAAGCAGTGACAAAATATTTGTAATTGACTCGAATTTAAACGTCATAGGATTTTTTGCCGAGTGCTTTTTGCGTAAGCTCCGTTTTCTTCTGTTGAGCAAGTTCCTTCTGCTTCTTTTCAACTTCCCGTTTTTTCGCCGCCTCTTCTCGTTGTTGTTTAATTATGGCTAATCGTGCTAGATCTGCGCGAGCTTCATCGGTTTTACCTGCAGCATGTAGTTTCTGATAATTAGCATACGCTCTCTGCTTTTCTAATTGCTCTCTACAAAAGACAAACTCATTAATTTTAAAATATACAGGTTTGCTGAAACATTTAATTTTATCTATTGCTATTACCGTTCTCTTCGAGATAATTCTGGTTTTTTCAAGGCTATAGTCTTATTTAATTCTGATAATTTTTTTGTTTTCTTTTGTACTCTATTTGGATTTTCAACTTGAATTAAGTTTTCTACACCTTTTGCCTTTCCCTGTAAATATATCAAATATAAAAATCACTGTTTCTTAATTATTAGAAATTTCTATCTACCGTATTACCTCTGCTTTAGATTCTGATTCTGAATCACTTTCACTATCAGTTTCTGAAGCACTAAGATAAGGACTTTTAGGTTCTTCGCCACTTTCGTCGCTGGAGTTTGCATCGTCACCTTTACATTTCTAAAAAGAACAATTTCATTATAACTTTTAGATAAGAAGCATTCAGTCCGTATTAATGAATCTTCATTTACCAGCTTCTTAAGTAATATAACATTTATGCAATATTTTCAAAAGGGCAAACGCGAGAGGAAGGAGGCAGAATAGATCATTTTAGGCCTCTAGAATTGCTTTGGACTTTAACAAATTTTTAAGGTTCTGCTTGATCTTGCAAATGAAATATGCACCAACATATAGTATTGTGTTCCATCAAATGACAGTTCGACCTTACGTACTTAACAATAATATCTAAGCTGTCGTACTGTCGATTAACCTAAAAATACTGACTCTCATATGGAATTTTATTTCCTCCTGACGTCGCTGCTCCTCCAACTCCTCAGGATTAGTAAAGTGGCGATTCCGGCCTTTGTGACCGACAAATTTACCTGCAAGAAAATTGCATTTGATCTAGATTCGTTCTTTGAGGTCACAAAGTACGAAATTGCGTTTTCCATTCGATAAAATGTGGTGGGGACAAGGTAGAATATCTTTTTTAAACGAAAACTGTAATAATTTATGCGCTTACCGCGCGGCATTTTTTTGGAGCGAAGGCTTGCAGCAGTCTAAATAATATTTTACAGAAATTTGAGACGAGTATGGTCTTTTTTTTACTACGAAAGAACAAATTCGTTTGATGTCAGATCAACACTGCCCTGCTGCTGATTTCAACGTCAACTACAAGCCAGTGTGGCCAGATTCAGAGATGCCAGACGGAGCAACGGAGCCCCGGGTGCACCGAGGACACCTCATTCGACTTTCTCACACTATGCCAGATCACGCGTACGTGAGCTCGTTGAGTTTCGGAGAGTCGACAAAGGCAAACTGACACTCGCCTTCTTTCTCGATTCTCCGAAGCTGCCCGAAGTAAACGCGATCGCATTTGGGACTGTAGATAATCGTGATTGTAGATGTGTGATAATCGTACACGTTCGTTAAATAAGAAAATCGAGAAGAGAATCCGAACTGATCCGAAGGTGAGTTATCAACCTGTATTTACTGTATCATTTTTTCATTTCCGCTAATATACAGGGGGTTCCCGGGTTAAACCGGAAAACTTTACGTATGAATCGAAGACCGTAAAACAAACACATTTTTCCTGTAATAATATATGCCCAAATACTTCCTTCAAGAGATTCTTTCACGTACATTAATGCAGAAAATTGTTGTATCTATTACTCTAGATAACTGTAATAATTACATATATGTGTATGTTGTTCAAAATGATTGCTTCCAGCTTGGAGACGAGCATTGCACTTATCAATGACAAAATAAGTAGTCTGTCACGATTTACTGGATTTCGATTTAAGATTTATGAATTTTGATAACAAAATTTTACATATACATATGCATATTTCAAGGAGCAATAACAGACACCTGTTACATAATTCACTTCGCATCAGAGATGCCAGAAAAGCACCGTCGGGTGCACACGCACACATGCCAGATACGCGTACGTGAGCTCGTGGAGTTTCGGAAAGTCGACAAAGGCAAACTGACGCATGCCCTCTTTCTCGATTCTCCGAAGCTGCCCGAAGTAATTTCGGATCGCCTCGTGGGAGTCGAGAGAGAAAGGCTCACATTTGCCTTCTCGCTCTAAACAACTGAAATCCGACCTCCCGTCAACGGCATACGATTTGGATTCTCGAGCCGAGATTCTCGACTGCCCAGGCATTTTTACTTTCCGACCTATGTAGGCGCACATAAGCAAAGTACCCATAATGAAAAAAAAATTTTGTAAAATTTATTTTACGGAAATACACGTTTTAAGACCTCCTGATCATATTTTAATTATTGAAAAAAAAGAAATTTTTTTTATTAGTCCCATGTATGAGCGTACATATGTACATATATTATTAATACGATTTTTCAAAATCAAAATACTTTAAGATTGAAAATTAATAAATTAAAATGAGATTCCACTCTTTACCAGTATTGTGCACGCTGTGGTATTTTTCAATAAGAAGAGTTCTTACTTTTATAACATAAACAAAACAGTAGAATTAATAATTGCAGAAATTAATTAATAATGATTTTCCTCGATTGTTTTGAGATAAACCGTATCAATTTGTTATGACAAACTAAATAGAACTAACTAGAAACAAAGGAAAAGTGATCCCGTTTGCCAGTTTAATACAAAGTATGGGTTGTATCTTAAATTTTAAAAGGACATAGTCGAATATTTTTAAAGGTACAAAACATAGCGTTTCATTGTAGAACAGTAACATAAGTTAGCAGGTAATGTCATAAAACTGTTTTTCCCAGCTATATCCCTTTTTACCTGAAGTATAAGGTAAAAAGTACGAGCTACAAGGTACGACTATCCGAAAATCGTTCACATTTTATCAATGTAAATGAAGCGGCCTTTCCATCAGAGTTAGATACAAAATTTTGTTATTTCTGTGAAAACAGAACTTTCATTAGATGTAGGTGGTGCTTGAAATTGTTATGTTTTCACTGTTTTTACGAAAAGTACCATCCAGATTCATGTACTTCGTACATTGAAAATAACATATGTTAAATGTAATCGGTTAAATTTAACTTTAAAAAAAAATATTCGAAGGTCAGACAAAAATATAATGTCATATTTAGTGTACGATTAAAGTATGATTGAAAAAATAAAAAAAAAAAGTTCAAGCAGGGTTCGAACCAGCAGAGAAGAAGAAGTTCGGAACTTGCAGGCAAAGACCTCATCACTTACGCCACGCTGGTTAGTAGTGAAGATAGTTCTATTTCTGAAAATAAGTACCTGTAATAACTTTAATAATATCTCAAAGTAAAACCTAACCCAAAACCTGGTACCATTCCAACTTTTCCTTGTTAGAAACGAGTTTTCAATTTGTCTTAGCGAAAATCGCAATCACATTTTGCACATTATTCTAAAACATTTGTGGTATTCGTTTTCAATGCGATTTAAGTAAGCATGTAATGTATAAGATTTCATTTAATGTTTTCTTTTCTAGAGAAGATAGAGAAAAAGTTTATATAATTTTTTTTATATAAAATTTAATTCGTCGTGTTTAGGTTTAAGCTGAAATACGTTTTAGAGACTGCGTCTCGAACGTGCGTTTTGTTTAGATCATTATTATAAGATAGGAATAAGGAAGGGTCGACTTTGACTGCAGGAACGTCACTCTGTATCGAACGTTAGTCGAGAGCAATCACAGTTTTACGTTTACGTTTTATGTCTTTCTTTTATGTTCTTTATGTTAAATAGTTAGTAAATATTAAATAATATAATTACATCGTTACGTTTAGTGTTCACGTATTTGAATCCGTCCACACGCCTTTGAAATGAGAACATAAAACTTAAATGTAAAGTTTCATTTAAATTCATTCAGCTATTTATATTCAATCGTATTAATAATATACATATGTGTGCTCATACATGGGAATAAAAAAAATTTCTTTTTTTTCAATAATTAAAATATGATCAGGAGGTCTTAAAACGTGTATTTCCGTAAAATAAATTTTACAAAATTTTTTTTTCATTATGGGTACTTTGCTTATGTGCGCCTACATAGGTCGGAAAGTAAAAATGCCTGGGCAGTCGAGAATCTCGGCTCGAGAATCCAAATCGTATGCCGTTGACGGGAGGTCGGATTTCAGTTGTTTAGAGCGAGAAGGCAAATGTGAGCCTTTCTCTCTCGACTCCCACGAGGCGATCCGAAATTACTTCGGGCAGCTTCGGAGAATCGAGAAAGAGGGCATGCGTCAGTTTGCCTTTGTCGACTTTCCGAAACTCCACGAGCTCACGTACGCGTATCTGGCATGTGTGCGTGTGCACCCGACGGTGCTTTTCTGGCATCTCTGCTTCGCATTGCTGCTTCATACTTCTTTCCGTTGTAGGATATCGATAGGGATATTGGATATCTGTCAGAAATTTGGACGCGAAAATACACGGAAACTTTGAAATAAGGATTTATTTTAACAATAAAAATACAATTTGTAATGTGTCAGAGGTTTCGCTGTACGAGAACGAATGGTTCTTGGCGTCGTTTTTGAAGACGAGGCTTTCCCTTTGCCTTCGTATGTACTTGCCTTTTCATTGGTTCCCCAGTTAGGGGTAGTAAATCCTGCGTTTCGAAATGCATTCGCAAGGAGTGTTTCCAATGACTTTGCTACCGCGCTTTTCATGTAGCTGTCGCTGCAATGTGGCCAGATTTGACACGATTGAGTGCATCGACGTCGACACTAGAAACGACAAACTTCCTTAGCGCCTAACGGAGTGGTGGGGAAAGCCACAATATGATCAGGGGGTCTTAAAACGTGTATTTTCGGTAAAAAAAATTTTCGAAATTTTTGTTCGGTATGGTACTTTCCTTATACCTACACAGGTCGAAAAGTAAAAATACTGGGGCAGTTGAGACTTGGAATCGGATGCCGATTGTCACGAGGTCGAATTTCAGCTGTCGTAAGAGCAAGAAGGAAAAGCTTACACTCACTTTCTTTATCGATTTCCCGAAGTTACGCGAACTACCGAGCTCACGTACACGTAGCTCGTGCGGTAGTATATGTTAGCTTTCCCCACCACTCCGCTAGACTTAGACGTCGAGGAAGTTCGTCGTTACTAGTGTCGCCGTCGATGTACTCAATTTTGCCAAATCTGGCCACACTGCTACGAGCTCTAACGGCATAAAACCGTTGAATAGAATATTTGCGAGTATGGTTAGTATCATGCATCATTTTACTGTTACGTCCAAGGACAAGTTATAAGCACATTGATAAATTGAACATTATTTCTTTAAGAATAGAAATGTCGAGAAGTATTTAATATTTTATTTAATGTTTATAACAGACCTATGCTTGATTATATATCGCAATTACATGATAATAGGCGGTAAATATTAATATATCTTAAAATAAGTAATTTTTATTACAACCTTGAACGCATAGCTTTTATACATATATGTAGTTATGTAATTTTATCGTAGAAAATTGTTTTGATTGAAATTTTTAATTTTTGTCTAGTATTTTCTTATCTTGTATGATATAGTTCATGCTTTAATGCAATTTAAGCATAGGACTTCTGGAGAAAGTGTGTCCATGGATTTAATAGTAGCGCATACGTCAAAGAGTAGAGATACTAAGAGGCGTAACTCCCTATTTAGAAAGAGATGAAATTAGACATCTAATTTAAATGTCCATTCGGTAATAATCGGCAAACTTTGTTAAAGTTGAAATATTTAAACGTTGTTTATTCTGCGATAATTCTATGTGGGATTTATCCAAATCTAGTTTCTAGCGTGATCATTGTTTTTTAAAAGCGGGAAGTGAGTTTCATATATTCTTACACGTCTATTGTTTCGTACATGTTCATTGTCGTTCATTTAAGTGAATTAATTCTTTTTCTTTAGTGCTTACGTTTCTTTTTTTATTTAAGACGTATTAATTTTCTGTTTTTTGAAAGCATTATTTTCTTTAAGAGTGTCTTTTTATTACTATAATGCGCTTCAAAATAGAAGGTGGCCATGCGTGCCAATGGTTTTCATGAACTACTGAACATTCTATATTTTCATTTCGCGACATTCAATAAATCAGTTCTTACGCGAATGTTCTCATATGTTTACAGATTTAACGACAAATCATCCATTTGCCAATAATCAGATGCATTTGGCACGGACACAAGGTTTATTAGATACAATTTGCAAGTCATGCTGCCCATGAAATTTCAAGCGGAAACATCAAATGCGAACTTCGTCATGCAGCTGTTCGAACTTTACATTTG